AATTTATGAACACTAGTAATCCTGATTATTTACAATATATATCTGAGATCTATAAAATAGATAAAGAACCTATAGGATTTACGAGCTTTACGATAAACATAAAATCTACCAATATACAAATTAGACAAAATAATGTTTTTATCCAGATATTACTCCAGTTAATTGAAAAAGCTAATAAGCTTGAAGAAAAATTAGAAGTCATACAATAAAGTATTCCCCAGCAGTCTTTTAAAGAAATAAATGATCTCACTGACTAATATTTCATCAATTAAAGACACCAAGCGTGCAAACCTTCTTTAACCTTATAAAGAATGGCTATTATCCTTAAAAAAAGCCAAAGAAATAATACGAGTAGAAGATTTATATGACAATGAGCATGATGCTCAAATTTATATAGAAAATGGTATGAAGAAAGTATCTAATAAAGTTAATCTTTATTCAAATAATTTGTTAAATTTTCATAGTAAAAACTACAACCATCGTAGCCAAAGAAGGATAAGTGTGGTTAATAATCAAGTGATACTTGATCTAATAACACCATAAGCTTATCGTGAATTAGATAAAACTAAATTAGACCTTATGCATCTTGGTGTAATAATGATCGGTATAGTATGATTAAACAGGTCAGAAGTAGGAGCCAAAGCACTAGTCTACATCTACGATGATAGATGGACTAACCATCAACAAGCACAAATTGATAGCGCAGAGATAGATTTAACTGTTAATTCAACCATTTTAGAGAATTTGGTAAACATATTAAGATAGCAATATCTACAAAGGGATATAATATGTTAGAACAATATGAAAACTTATTAATTAACATTTTATTTATGGAAAAAACAATTAATCAGTATAACCTAAAGTTTAAAGCTCAAATTGATGAAATAGTCAAACCATTTAGTAGTAAATATGTTCAGATGATTGAAGCTAGAAAGGTAAGTAGTGAACTTATGAAGGAACTGAATGGGAATTACCAAATCTTAATAAAACAACCAAAAAGATTCTCGAAAATAATAAAATATATGTAAAACACAACGAATAAGCTAATATACGATTCAATAATTATAAACAACATGATACTCTAATAGATAATAATATCCAAGAAGAGTTTATAAATACTCTAATAGAAATAGAATCTCCCGAAGAAATTAATGTCCTCTATGATAAATTAGAAAATGAAATTTTAAATAAAATTATGTATGATTTTGACAATTTAGAAATAGATGACCTAAATGATAAGTATCCAGAACCTAAATATCAACTACTAGAAAATATCTACTTAGGACAAGAAAATAATGATGATAGGACAAAAAACATAATAATGATATAGATTTTTTACTTGAAAACGATACCGTTTAACAAAAAGTCATGATAAAGACGATGTATATTAAGATCAGGTCCTAAGTTGTATTAAATTGACTAATGTGAGAATGTCGTTCATTAATTTAAAGTGTTAATTATAGTACACGAATATTAAATTCCAGAGTGTTCAAAAATCAACACTCAACCTTTGGACAAAATGTCACAGTAACAAAGATTTGATATTTTGATTGCCGCCAAAAAGTTAAAATACTTTATATTGCCAGCATACCAGATATCTCCTATCACAATCAATTAAAATTCTTTAGATTTTCTGGGTCATGTCGTAGTATAGGACAAGAGCTTTTTTTAGCAGTGTCACATTTTCAAGAGTTGTTGACAGGTCACACACAAACTAACACTTGGACAGCATAAATACAGTGATTAAAAATGGCCATTCGGCATTTTCTCGGGATCCAAACACATGTAAATCGTTGAGAAAATATGGATACAAATGTTGAATTGAAAATTCCAAAATAGAAATGTTGAAATGTATAAAGGACTTTTTGTAGCACCATTTGAAGTTGGTTAGTAAATTACGGAGGATTTAGGGAACGTACAAGTATATTTTGTTTTTCGTTTTTTTTTGTTTTTTTTTAAATACATTACAAAAATTTGGGAAAAAAAAAGGAGAAATTTTGGTTTTAAATACATATTTGCGAATGCATATATGTATGCATATAATACCTTGTATAGGTTAAAAATTTAAAACTAAAAGTTAGGCTATGCACAACAAATAGGGATGACAAAATTCAACACCACCTACCAACACGACTCAAACACGATATGAAATTAGTGAGTTTGGGTCGATCTTAATCATGTCAAATCGTTTAACTCGTTTAATTAATTGTATATTTTAGAGCTCAACTCATGATGTATCTCGATTTGACCAGTTTAATTAATTGTGTCAAATCAAACCGATTAACCCATAATCTGTTGTAACCCTGTTACAAAGGTCATTTTTATTATTTCAATATAAAATTCATTGTCTTTTTTACATTTTTAATTGAATTATCCACATCATTCTTGTTAGATTTTGGGTTTGGACCCAAATCGGAGAGTCCACGGGTGAACCCAACTTGATTAGGAAAGTTTAGATTATATCTAATAATTTTTCTTATGTAATAGTTGATTAGGGACTAAAGAAGGAAGCAATATAAAATATATTATAATGTAATACAGCACAAAAAAAAAAATTCTCTTTCTTTGTCAATTATTTTTGGAGGGCAAGAAAGGTTTTTTGACTACAGAGTAGAGTGAGATTGATCGAGGCTCTGTTGGCACGCGAAGCATTCGATAATTCACTTTCGAGTATCACTACTTTGAGGTAACCCAAACACGCTTTCTACTCGTTATTACTGTTATACGGAATACTTGATTTCCTGCAATTCGTATTTTTATGAATTTTGTTTTTTATTTCTCAATTTTTTTTAATTTTTTTTGTACTTATTAATAAATGAAGATAACTTATTTTAAATTAAATAGGTTAATTGTTACATTTAATAAACGGATTGTATTCATATTAAAAATTCTTGACATGATTATTAAACGTATTCTCAACCTATTTAATAAAAGAATACTCATGATGCAATATGATTATGAAATGGAGTATCACATAAACAAAGATGTAACAAATAATAGAATAAATAAATAAATATTACTAATAATAAAATAAATTCCATTTGACTCTAGACAAACGTGATTTGACTCTCAAAATATCTCAGGATAGTTTACACTATCTTTTTGCCCATCTTTCCTTGGTAGCCTGTATATAATTTGCATAAGTATAATTTTTCAAAATGAACTTTTGACATTAAATTATATCAAAATATCATATAATGTATTTATGCACAGTATTGGTTGGGATCTCTTAATTATAAAAATATCTTTACAATATCACTAAAAGATTTATAAAATTCAAAAAATAAATAAATAAAATATACAATTACAAACAAAAATTAAAAGATCTAAAAATAAATAAACATCTGTAAAAATCCATAGTTACCATTAAAAAGATCTATGAGAATCTTATGTAATATATATTAAATTTGAATTAATCTCACTTTTTAAACAATTCATAACCACAGAGTATATATATATATATATATATATATATCACTGCTGGATCAAAGAGCATGCTTATTAGCATCATAGATTAACATGGACCAAAAAGAATATTATAGTAAATCTCAAATCATAAGAATAATTTTGAATTATTACGTGATTTTTTTATATTTTTTTTTTACATGAATAATATGAATTATTACATGAGTTTGCATTCTAATATTGGAGCCTCTAGATCAAAGCATTTTTTAATAATTGTTCCTAACCGACCTTTTGCATGAATATGACTCCACCTCTAACCACTACATGGTGGGGCTTAAGTCATGAACCTAACTTCGGACCACCACTCCCTAATAAGTGCCTCAGTGTCATAGAACCGTAGCAATTGAAACCGCACTTCTTGTCTTTTTTTTGTTTAAGGGATGGTAAGACGTCACTCACGCAATCAATCTCATTGTCGCGAATAAATATTCAATGCGCTTGATTTGAGCCATTAGTAATGTGCATGTATTAGTGCGTGTTGTATATGCACAACTCAGATTAGTTAGGTGTACGATACATCGAATGTATCAAATATCTATCCTCAGGATCTTCATTTTGCAACATACCTTTTATATTTCAACATAAAACTAAAAGTATTTCTAATGTATTTTAAATAACATTAAATGTTTACTATATAATCAATCATATAAAATATATATATATATATATATATATTTAAATTTGCCCCCGATGATACTGTTATAAGAAGTGTCCCATTCACATTTTCTTTCAAAAAATGATATAATAAATAATTTAGTTTAGTCGAAATAAAATCGACTCAACACGTGTTTGATCTTAAATTAACACTCTCTTTTTATCTTAAATTAACAATCCTTTCTCTCTATGCACGTCCTTTTTTTCCGTTTATATAATCTCTTTATTCTATGCAGCTTAACACACCCCTCTCTATTATATCCTAACAATATCTCTTCTCTCTCTCTCCCTACCATCTTCTTCCTTTCCTTTTTTCTCACACTTACAGTGATTTTGATGTTATGCTTTATTCTTTTTAATTGAATTTTCGAAACACATAATATGTTTTCTTTAGATTACTTCCTGCCCAAAAAACAATTTTTCTATTTTATTCTTTCAAATGCAGAACCGCCTGACGATTAGGGTTTTGTTTCTTGTATATTTCCTCCAATTTCATTATTTATTTTTCCAATTTTTTTCTAATTTTTGTCAACAATTAGCCATTTGAATGGCACTTTTCATCCGACATTCTTTGATTTGAGTTTGCTTTTTGTGCCAAGAGAAAAATTTAAAAGTATGATCAATTTTGTTCAAGATTCTTAATAAATAAAAAATATTAATTTGTGATAAAAAAAAAAGAAAAGAAAAAGAGATGAAATAATAAAAAAGTTATACCTACCCACTGTGGTAAAATTTGTTTGAGATTTAGTTAATAAAGAATTAAAAAGCAGAAAACAAAAAACAATAAAAAAGGAGAAAAGAGAGAACACCATTTGGAGTCGGCTAAACGTCGGGTTTTCCGAGTCGTTCTTATTTGTTCTCCTTATTACGTCGGCCAAATTTTTTTTCGTAACTGTCTCTCCACTACAACCGTCAAAATACCTCACTTTCTCTCTCTAAAATCTCCTCCCTCCCTCATTTTGTCTCTCTAATATTTACATCTATATATATTATATCTCTCTACTTTATTCCTTTCTATAATTTTTCCTTGTCTCACTATTATATGCAATCGATAAAGTTTTTGATTTGTTCAGTACTACGTTTTCTCTGAATTGCTCTACTCTGTTGCAATTTTCTCAGTTTAGTTCAGTTTAGGGTTTGAGTTCTTGGGGACTTGTTCGGCAATGGAGGTTTTTCAGTTCCGGTTGTTGTTTCTTTGACAGTTTTAGGGTTTGAAGTAGAGGACGAAGGTTGAAGAAGAAGAAGGAGAAGAAGGAGAGGAATCGAATGGCGGTTGAGTATACTTGTTGCGAGACGCAGTTCTTCGTTCACATAGTAATCATCACATTGCTGGTTCTGTTTGCTGGTTTGATGTCTGGTCTTACTCTGGGGCTCATGTCGATGAGTCTCGTTGATCTTGAAGTGCTCGCCAAGTCCGGAACTCCGAAAGATCGAAAACACGCTGGTATATCTTCTGTTTTTGTTAACAATTTCTTTCATTGATTGTATTTTTTTCTGCATTAATGGCGTGTTTGGATGTTCTGCTAAATTTGGTAGTTAATTACTTTGTTTTTACATGGTATTTAATACGATCTATCCTAATTAAGGAGTTTATTACTTTATATGAGAAAACCATCAACAGTGCTGGAGCCAGGATTTTACCCTAGTGGTGGCAGCAACCTTAAACTATCAAATAATATATATATATATTTAAAGCAAACAACAAGTGCGAAACTTAAATATTGATTGATGCATTCAGTACATTATGCACGCATTTGGGTAAGCATTCAATCTGTTAATCTGGTTTTTGTTCAATTTGTAAAATTACACTTGAATTGTGACTCCATTTGATTATAGGAACTCAAAGGTCAAGTATTTAAATGTTTAATTTGTGAACTCAAGAACTCAAATATGTAGGTGTTGATTAGCATGCTCTCGAAAATTTTGGAATGATTGTTTTAGTGTGCATCAAATACTTTTCATGACAATTCTGGTTTGGCAAGTCTCCGAGAAATGGTTTATTTAGAGCAAAGTTAAAACTACATATTATCTGAAGTCTAGTTTAGAAAGAGAAATTCAGACCATAAACACAAGCCATGGTAAATTAGGAGCAAAAGGGTTTTTATTTTTGCAATTTTGAGAGGGGGCATGTTTACAATCAAAATAAATTTTTTTTGATAAGTAAAATTGTATAAAGAAGCCTTCAAAAGGGGAACACATCCCTCAGAAAATCCACAAGGCCTAATAGGGCCTCTAAACTCTCAGAGAGTCCAAAAAATCAACTATCTCCTCCATGGATTTACAATATCTCCCTATAACCCAACAAAAAACGAGTGCTAATAATAGAGAATTTGAACTCCCCCATAGGAGTCTCCTTTCCATGAAAAATCAAAATATAAAAAGTTAAGTGGGTGCATTTCCCCCCACTGTGCACCATGTGGCTCCACCACCGACCATCATTATGGATGCAATGCATTAATTTATTTTGCAGTGTTTAGTGAGATTTCCGTTTTCTCTATGGACCTAATTTGGATGATGAACTTGTATAATTGCTAATCCATGATATGTAAGAAATTACGGAGCATTTTAATTTTCTTAGGATGTCTAAAAGTGTAAGAAACTGGTTTAGCTTTTGTGGTGGGTAAGAATAGGTGTTCAACAGGTGTTTATTTCGGGAAGTGTAATCAGTTCCTCAAATTTCATATATGTTGTGGAATTTCTTTCCATTTAGACTTAGAGGTTTGTGCTATTGTATACTATAGCTGGCTTACAACCGTGCGAGCAAAGGGCCAACGACGATGGTTACCCAAAGGGGTAGGTGTATACGTTTGGGCTGGGATTGAGACTGCTATACTTTGTATTAGTTGATGTGAATGTTTCTAATTTGGTAGATTGAAGGGATTGGAAATGATATTCACTCACAAAATCAAAGCGTGTTGAGTACTATGTTACCTAGACTCGGATACGTGCATCGGGTGCGGGTATGTATCTCAAGCGTCAGACATTACAAATCCCCAAAGAGAAGGACACAACGCCACTACTATAAATTTATACATTCTAACATTTTTATTTGATTTTATAGGGGAATAAATTCTTAATGTTACATAATGTTTAGTATAGGCATTTCACTTGTATTGAAACAATAGTATACTAAAATTGAATCATTAGATATGCTTTTAGGTGCATTCCAACCAAAAATGTTGAACATGTATCCCATACCCATGTCCAAGTATAGCGTCTCTGACACGGGTATTTCAACTTCTTTTGAAGAGTCCATGTAACATAGGTTCAGTATTGTAGTATTATGAGTTGTGGCAAATTTCGTTGACACCATTTTGAGTTGTATTTTTTAGTGGTGTTGAAGATTTTTCATTCAAGCCAACTCAAGTTTAAGTGGATTGAACCACACATTTGGTGAATGTAATTGTTTGTGTATGTGGACACGAAATTTGATTTTGAGCTTTTTTCTGTATTTACAAGTGTTTTGGAAAACAAAAAAAATTGTCAAAAGTTGAATTTTGGAAGTTTTTTTAGAACTGGAGAGGGCTTAATGTACCAGTACATTGATTTCCATGCACCGTTGCATTGAACTCTAGTAGTTCCTATGCGCAGGTACATATAAGGAGGCAGTGAGTACAATGCATGGACCAGGGCACTGAGTATGAATTTGAATTGGATTTTTGTTTTCAGCTTGAATCAAACTTGGATAGCTATGAAACTTTGGAAAACATGTGTGAATGAATTTTGAAGGGTTTTTTTCCCTATCTATTTCTATCAGAATTGTCTCTCAAAAACCTACAAAAACTTATTATTTAAATCAAGTTTTTTTAAAGTAAAGTGTTTTTCTTTAGCCCTGCGCTATTTTGTACACACATTTTCACACAATGTTAGATTGTGCGTGTTCTCATCTGGTCGTAGTTCTCGAGCTTATTCTGCATTCACCATTCGATTAGCAGCAGTAGACATTGGACAGTTCAAGAACAAGCTTGCTTGACATTCACTAGGAGAAGTAGAATATAATGAAGTTATTGTATTGATGTGGACCAGTGTGGCTGCTTGCTGGTAATTGTGAAAGCTCTGAAAGCACTAAGCGTCATAGGTAAATGAATGAAAAATGATGTTGAGAATACCGGAGACGACTAGAATTCTTTGTACTATTTTTCAAGTACAATGGATTAATTTTCTTTGAGATGACATAGTATCCTTGGTTTTTCCTCTTTTGATGTTTCCCACATTAAAATATTCTAATATCCAGTTTCTCTCTTCCTTGTCCCTTTTTTTTTTTTGCTTGCTTGTGTGCTTGGATTTAGTAACAGTTAAATTAACAAATTAAAATCAAACAACTTAGCAAAAAAAGAAGAAGACTTATTCACCCCCTCTAGGTCAGTTTAACAGAGAATCTAAATAGGTAACTCCATCTTGTACAAGTGCGCTCTACTTTCAAAGTGGACCTTCTAGATAGGACGATAAATGAGTTGACCTGAGCTGGGTATTCGGATGCTTGATCTCAGACTGGTAGAATTTTGGAATATTGAAGCTGGCTGCTGCTCAAAATGGACCAAAACGAAAGCTCAGGTTGAATATTATTAATAAAAATCGTGAGCAGTTCAAGCTTGCTTAGTTACAAGCCTAATGCATATATACCGCATATTTAAAATTTAAAAGTTCTACTGGTAAAGCAGTAAATATATCAAGATGTGAAATGTGTAATGTGAAAAGCTGGCAAATGAAGTCAGTGTGTGAGCCTTTGTTGTAAAAAGGCACTTTACCACCATATATATGTGATAATGACAAGCAGATATCAAACTAACATAGAAGTTTGACACAACTACAAAGTTGGGCTCGGCTCATTCATGCTCAGGCTTGCTCAGTTTTATTTCGAGCTTAGAAAACTGAATTCAGCTAGGTTCTTTAGCTTGTGAAACATTTCCTTTCAAATAATTTTTTATAATTTATAATTTTTCTATAATTTTGTTATATATATATTTTGTCTTTCTTCATCAATGAATAACTATGAAACGATACAAAATTATAGACAAGAAATTTACTGGACATGTGTTCACAAGCCAGTATTAGTTGAGCACACCATTGATCAAGCTTGGTTTGTTTAATAAAAGAGCTCATAGTTTTTCAAGTTTGGCTCGCTTACTTATTGAATTAACGATTGAACATTCTAACAGGAACAACTTGGTTCATTTGTGGCTCTACCAGTTAGATGTTTGCCACAATACTTGGGCATTCGCGAGCAATAGTTGAGTGCAGGCTTACTTATGATTCACTTGTTATTTAGATCAATGAACTATCTTGAACATGCTTCTAAGTGTGTGTGTGTGTGTGTGTGTGAGAGAGAGAGAGAGAGAGAGAGAGATGGGGGGGGGGGGGGGGGGGGGGGATTGCTTAGTGAACTTGGTTTGAGTTGTTTATGAACAGTTCATCGCACTTGCAGCCCTACTTCTACCTTATTTCTGATCAATATTTACTTATAGAGCTAAAAGAACAATTCTATAGAATAACTATTAGATCAATCATCCTTTTTGAAACTTAACTTTGGGTAGTTATGAGTTTATAAAAGAAGCACTGTTAATAAGCAGATTTCAAGATAGACGTATTATAACACAAGGAAGGATAAATTTTAAAATGAATACATTTGTAATATGATGGACGGAGCACCAACTGGAGACAAAATGTGAGGAAGTCAACTAAGATGGTTTGGCATGTGCAACAAAGATCAAAGTGAGGTTTGCATTATAGATACTGTTAGGAAGGATATATCAAGATTAGTATATGTTGAGATAGTAAGAAAAGATTTGGAGGCCTTCGATTTCATTTAAGTTATGGCGCTAGATTAGGTGGAATGGTGAAATAGAATTCATGTAGTTGATTCCAACTAGTTCGGGCAAAGTTTTGTTGAGTTGTCATATCGTCAGTCCCTGTATTGCTTGTTTTTGTGAGTTTTGGAAGTAGACTTGTGTCATTATCTACTTTTAGGTTACATCTACCAATCTTTTGAATAATGGAACTTTATTGATTGATATTTTGTTTGAGAGAAGGGAGGACTGGGAAGAAGGAAAGGGAGAGGGATTGAAGGCCCTTCCTTCTTTTGCTAGAGGGAAAGAGGAAGCAATGAGGAAGCCCTTTCCTTTTGGACCACCATATCCCTTTTTCCGAAGTGGGATGGAAAAGAAAGAGAAGCATCTCCTCCTTCCCCCCCACCTTCTCTCTATCTTACATTTTTGCCTTCCAAAAGTCTTTAATTTTGGAAGGATATTATGGTCATATAATACTCCTTCCTTCCTTTTTACAATTTATGATTTAGTTAATGCATATGCATATTGAAGGATATGTGTGCATTAATTTACTTCACTCTTTGTTATTATTATTATTATTATTTTATTTTATAAGTAAATTTTCATTGAAAAGACAAAGGAATATCCACAGATTTATAATTAAACTCATGCACCCAAAAGAATAAGGAACAAAGCATAGGATATTTAAGCACACCAATAGAAGACTCTGCCCCATCAAAGGATCTCCTATTTCTTTCCCTCCATGAGGTCCACCACAAACAGAGAAGAGGAGGGGGTTTTGGGTTTGTGGGGGGCAGCCCTCCACACATATCTAGCTTGGGACTGAACTGAACATCATCCCTCCCCAAGCATCGATCAAACTCTTTGTGGACTCAAAAATGGTATAAAACAAGTTCCATCCACAATAAAAGATGATCGATCCACCAACTCCTCATCCCTCTTACACTTGCAGGACCAATTGACAATTACCTAACGCCTCCTCCTTAGATTGTCAATATCCTCCCCAAGGTTGTCGCCCATACAAAGAAAGCCACTTTAGGGGGCTTTTGTGTGCCAAATTCCTTTACACAGAGAGGAAGACCCTAATCCTTTAGCAAACTGCAATAGAAGGATCTCACCTCAAATCTCTCATGACTGGAGCCCGTCTGATACCACTCATCCGTCCCCTCCCCAGGAACTGCCTGCCAATAAATTAGCACCAAAAAATCGACCATATTCTCCACCTTCCAGTCCTGCAAAGACCGCTCAGACTGCATGTCTCAGGTCAACGTCCTGCTATCAAGATGATAGCATTGAGCAACCAACACCTGACATATCACTCTCTTAGTTGATATCTCAAAAAATCCATTTTTTATTTTTTATTTATTTATAAGCTGTGCTGTAAGTTTTGAGTTGTTTGTAGGTTACACTAGTTTGTCTGAAGTTATTTGCAAATTGAAAGGATATATATGCATTGATTTAGCTAATAAAAAATATTGAAGTCGTCCTTCATTTTAATCTTGTTTAGTTTGGGATGCATATTTTAATTTTTTTTAATAATTATATTCATATGCATTTTTATCCAAGGTGCTCCTTCTTCGTTCAATCAGAGTCACGCTTCACATTGCGCCTTGCGCGTAGGCTCCAGTGGCCTTGGAGCTTTAGTGGGCCTTGATCCTTCAATAACTATTGTAGAAACTATATTTCCTGATTTTGTTGTTGTAATACTTCAATGCTTCACAAACGAAGTGCCTCATAATTGTATTGCTTTCCTGGGTTTTTCTTTTTTCATTCTGTAGAATAACACTTGTGTTGACAGCTTCTACTTTCTCATGACAGAAAAGATACTGCCAGTTGTCAAAAAACAACATCTATTGCTTTGCACGCTGCTTATCTGCAATGCTGCTGCCATGGAGGTACACATTATTGTGATTTGATAAAAGAAGCCGGTTAATAAAATATATCAAGAAGACTTCATTTTTTAGGTGCTTTTTCTTTTTGGCAGGCACTTCCCATTTTCCTTGATAGTCTGATCACAGCTTGGGGTGCTATCCTTATTTCAGTGACATTGATACTTCTGTTTGGTGAGGTGAGGCATTTATCTTTGGTTATGTTTACTTTTGGAAGACAGCTCAAAAGTCAGGTCAGATGGACATAGGTTACCACAAAATAGTGATTTTTTAGCTCCTGCATCTTGCTGCATATATAATAGGATGCAATTTGTTTGTCTTATTGTGCCACCACAAGAAATGCTCCTAGAAAACATAATCAATCTGTATTATGGTTATATTGATAGTCTTTGTGAAATTATTAGTTAAAACTGCTTGGTAAAATCAACATGTTGATTTGCATACACTTATTGCTGTTAATTTGTACAAACAGATTATACCACAATCTGTCTGTTCTAGATATGGATTGGCTATTGGTTCAACTGTAGCCCCATTCGTCCGCGTCCTTGTTTGGATCTGCTTCCCTGTTGCATTCCCAATAAGCAAGGTGAGACTTGTTTGTCTGGTACTTTCTCTAATGAATTTGCTGTTTCCATAAAGTAGTCGGTTACTTGTACAAATAAGTCTTTGGTTATCCATTTTTTCCTCTATTATTTTTCCCCAGCTATTAGACTATCTGCTGGGACATGGACATGTGGCTCTTTTCCGCAGAGCTGAGTTAAAAACACTTGTTGATTTGCACGGGAATGAGGTATGCGGTTTTTGTAGATTAATTTATTATGTTTTTAAATAAAGATATCGCCATCATCCTTGTCATTTTGTTTCTGCGACACAAAACTGGTTTTTTTAGGGCATCTTCTTCCTTTACATTTGTCTATTTGATTATGCCTCCTAATGGGAACCGTCAACACTTGTCTCATCTGCTTTGCTTTCAAAATTTGCCTCAGTTTGTAGTTCTTTTTTTCCCTAAATGAAAACGTGTCTCATTTTTCTGTTGTCTATGTCAATATTGACTTGACTCATATTTCTGTTGTCAAATTCAATATTGACTTTAGCCTCTGAGAAAACTATAAGACCAAACCCTAAATTTTGATGTAGAGTTGCGCTGCACCCTTGATCTAGACCTAGAGGCGGGGTGAATACATCTTGAACTCTTAACGAAATTAAACCTTAAGCAAATGGTGTGAACCAATCTTAGTGATAATCATGCATGTGATAACTACAAGCAATAAAATATCAATCATACTGATCCATGGAATGTTGTCCAGAAGGTATTGATTGAATTATCTATTGATCGAGGAATTGAGAAAGTTTGAGAGATTAACTCGAGAATGCATTGATCAAAGAGTCGATCAATCCAGACTTTTCCAGAGAACATTGATCAAAGGGTCGATTGACGGAGAAGTCGGCAGATGTGAATCTTAAAATATCAATCATATTGATCCATGGAATGTTGTCCAGAAGCTATTGATTGAATTATTGAATGATCAAGGAAATGAGAAAGTTTGAGAGTTCAACTCTAGAATGCATCGATCAATTGAGACTTCTCCAAAGAACATTGATCAAAGGGTCGATTGACCTAAAAGTCGGCAGATGCTAATCTCAAAGTCAATCTTGGTATTTTAGGCAATTAAACTATTTCCAACTTCCATCAAACCATAATTCTTGACTACTTATTAAAAAAAAAAAAAACCCTATAATTCTCTACTAAATCCTATTTAGTGTAGGACTAGGGTATAGACCCTATAGACCCTCTTATAATCCCCCACATTACACTCATGCACACTCAAACCCTGGAGCACTCAAATCCTTCCCTTGCCTCACCAATGGTTTTCATGTTGTGAGACTTGCTTTGTTAGTGCTTATGATGCGAAGCAGTGGAATGATGTGTAATCCTAAGAGCACACGGAATTATTTTCCTCTTCACAACCTCAATCGGAAAAATAGTACTCCTTCACTTAGTCAAAAGATCACCATCTCAACCCTCGTGTGAAGAAGAGGTATGCGGATATCTTTAAGGGAAGATCTCTTGTAGTTTAACGCTGATGACATTATCACATCAAGAGGATGAGATCCACTGTGTGCAGTTCACGGAGTACCTTACGTCACACCCGTTCAAGTCTTCTGTTGCTACATGCATGACTTCGATACCTACCACCATTAAGACATTCTATGAACACATTGTCTACACCAATACCCTAGAGATTATCGGACATGGTGTCATGTGGTCTAGTCTTACCTAGGGAAGAGGATGAGCAAGTGCTGGCAACCAACATCAATAATTTGATATTTGCTCGTCACTTTGCAAGGTTCATGTCCACTAAACTCAAAAGCCTAATTATCGAATATTAAACAAAATAGTTGAATTCAATCGCCTAAGAATCATTGCTAGTTGTTTAGGTAATGATTAGAATTTCTTTACCATTTGGGTATCAACTCTCTGATTGATCTTCCGTCCTCAATTGCTAAGCATATGATCATTATCGGCCTTGATAGCAACAAGTGGAAGTCATTGCCTTTCCCTCGCCTAATTTACCGAATCCTTGTGAGTTACTTTGGTGAAATGTTCGATGGTCAATGAGCGATGGCGAAAGGCAAAGTAATTTTGGATGATACTTCAATCACAAAGGTTATTTCTCACCTTACTTCGGAGCAAAGGCATGCTTACATGCTTTTTTAATCTGAAGAGGAAGGTGATCCAAGAGAAACACATGAAGAAGATGCACTAGAGGTGGAACATCTACAAGTCAACACTCCACCGAAACATCAGTATTCGACTATGGATAATCATAATTCAACACGGTTGGATATAATCAACAACCAAATCACTTCTTTGGATGATGACTTCATTGCCTTCCAACATGGCACCCTAGGATATGTTGAAGGATATAAATGTTAAAGTTACACCCTCTCTAGCAACTTAAGTTATTAGAGTAGATAGTTGTCAACATGGTATCAGAGCTTAACTTGTTTGGGCTGCCGGCGTGTTCGGTAGCATTGTTCCTCGCGTTCGCCATGGGTTCGGTGCTGTTTGTGACTTGTTTAGGCTACCGGTGTGTTCGGTAGCATTGTTCTTCACCTTTGCCGTGTCTCCGGTTTTATTGCCTTGTTCTTGGTCTGTGTTTGTGATATTTTGTCGTTGGTGACATCATTGTCGCCGTTAGAATTGGTGCTGCTACTCGTTTCAAAATATCACTAATGATATAGGTTAGATTAAGGATACTCTTGGGAATTTTGGTGGTGATGGTGCGAGTTGTAGTGGTGGTCAAGGATATTAGGATTTCTATGTGTATCTTGTGGCTTTTACTATATTAGGGTTAGTTTTGCTTTATATTTATGTTTTCATTGTCTTGGTTATGAGACATTTTTATACATGTGCTCCAATTTTTGGTATTGAATACAGGACTTAGCGACTTAGCTTATGGAGCAAAATTTGTGATCATTGCTTTCTCTCCATATATAGCTAATGAAATTTCAGATTGGTCGAGAGTTTTTTTTGGTGCTTCATTTAGTGTTTATCAACTTGTGAGAAAAAGATGGAGAGATATATGATTGAGGGGGAATGAAGTGATCTATACTTGAAGTTGATTACTTGATTGCTTAATACTTGAATGTTAATTGATAGCTTAATTTTTGAATGTTAATTGCTATTAGTTTGACCTTCTTTTTTTTTTTAAAAAAAAAAAAAAAAAAAAAAATTATGTCACCTTGATATAATGCACTTGGTGAAGATTCCCTCAAGTATTGTAAGTTTGACCTACAAGTGTTCAAACTGTAATCGAGTCTTCTATTTCTACTTATTCTGATATATTTAATTATTATTTGACAAGAATTTTGTCATGTTTAGGATATATGACTTAAGTTGGCAAATTTGTGATCAAAACTTGGGGTCTGTAACTCTGTATTTTTTATTATTTTAGAGTGTCTAGTTAATTAAGTTAATAGTGGTACCTTGGCCAAGGATAGATTAGGAATTTCACAAAGTTTCAATGATGAAAAGGTATTTTACAACTTGAACTGGGTTACTAATCTATTAGGGTTTTGCATATAGCAATTAAGACGAGGGTGAGCCTTGGTGCAACGGTAAGGTTGCTCCATTGTGACTTGGATGTCACGGGTTCAAATCATGGAAACAGCCTTTCCGCATGCAGGGGTAAGGTTGCATACCCTCCCCAGACCCCACATTGGTGGGAGCCTCATGCACTAGTCTAGCCTTTTTTCCATTTAGTAATTAAGATTGCATGTTTGGTTTATCTTAAACTCCTTTCTATGTGTTTTAGGAAATTAAATCAAATCAGAATTCAAGTCAGAATAGGACAGGAGACTTGAATTGATCAAGGTATCCTTCGAAGTTTACTGGCCTTGTGTCGATCAATCGACACCTGGCTCAATCACTTGAGCAGAACGGTTATGGGTTTCCTTTTTGAATTAAACTACTCCATACCCTATTTTTTTTTTTGTGTGTGTGCGCGTGTGTATAAAGACATGTATTCTTCAGAAATAGCAGAGACGAGACTAGCACAATTTATACGGCTTATTATTGCATAAAAGCTTTTCATGCATATTACTTGTGGATTCTAGTGATCCTTTGATCATTAGAGTTTGTGTTTGTGCATCCTTCATCATACATCTTGCATTGTGAGTGGATCATTTGGTTGTTGAAGCATTCGTTGTTGCGCTTGAAGGGTTTCAATAACAAATTCTACACATCCAAGTTACTAGCAAGGAGTTAGAAGATCCATGGGGAAGCAGAGTTTGTGAGGAACAAGACTTGTTGTTGATCCAAGAAGCAGAGTTTGCGAGGAACAAGTCTGTTGACGGATCAACAGCTGAAGGATCTGGGAGTGGTCTTGCGTAAATCTGATTTGGAAGGGAATAAGGGATTCGTTGTAGTAGAGTCTGTAACTTAATCTGTAACTTTTTTTCTACAAACTGAATTTTTATCTGCCTGGCTGCGCCCTATTGGTTTTTCCCTATATGGGATTGTCACATAAAATTCGGTGTTCTGTGTATGATTGATTTACTTTATTGCTTATATTGATCACATGCATGATTATCACTATGATTGGTTTAAGCTAATTGTTTGTTGGTTAGTTAGCTTTTTAAATACCAGTTAATTTAGTTATGATTCAAAATTTTGTTATAAATAGTTCAGGTTTAATTTTGTTTAGAATTCAAGACCTATTCACCTCCCCTCTATGTCTAAATAAAGGGCCTTGCTCTAGGGTGCAGTCCTATAGTTTTCTCGGCCTTTGTTGTCTGGATCTTCTGGATTTCTACTGTTCTATGCTATCAGCTTTATAATCTTCTGATTACTTGTAAGTAGGCTGGAAAAGGTGGAGAACTCACACACGACGAGACAACAATCATCGCTGGAGCACTTGAGCTCACCGAGAAAACTGCTGGTGATGCCATGACTCCTATAGCTGAAACTTTTGCAATCGATATTAACGCCAAGCTTGACAGGTGTTGCATGCTTTAAAAAGTTCTTGTAAAAGGTTTTCCTTGTAGGTGTTTTCAACTTTGTTGATCAGATATTTTACATATTTTTTATATCACATAGGGAGCTGATGAGTTTAGTTTTGGAGAAAGGGCACAGCAGGGTGCCTGTTTACTATGAGCAACCGACAAACATAATTGGACTTATTCTGGTGGGTTGCTTGAATATTCTTTATTCTTTTTGGGAAATTTTTTTTGATAGTTTTCGTTCCATATATAATGATGCTTCTCTTTTAACTGATTTCCAAGTCTGTTATGTTCATCTTCTGCCTTCATATACTGGATAAGAACCATCATCACTCATATTTTCCTCCTCCTCATCTGCTTCACTTAACCGTTTCTTGCTCTAAATTAATTCAATGCAGAAACAATTAGGCTGAGGGAACTTTGGTATTTTACCTGGTGGACTTGCCTGCATAGAGATCCTTATGGGAACTTGAGACAAAAATACAAGTTGATGTAAATTTTAATTGACAGATAAGCTTCCAAAAGAATTTGGCCACTTCTCTGTTTTTTTTTTTTGGTTGGATGCAAGTAGTATAATCTTGGAGCGTGATGGATGAATGAGATGAAATAGAAATTTATCACAACTTGAACTGCTTATTGAGGAAGTATTCCGTGGCATGTCTAGGCAAATAGGTAGAGCTCTGTCTATCTAGGAGATATTGCCAAAAAAGAGATGTATGATGTAGGACAGCAGCACTTATATGAGTTTTGGATTGAAGATATGAAGAATTGAAAATTAAATAACTCGTATTTCTTGACATGTAAAACATTGGCATTATTAGACCCTTGGCAGCTCCAGACCTCTGGGCAATTTAATTAGAGTTAGGTAACAATTCTAGAGTCATATAACATGTTTATTAGAGTAAATTAGGGTGTTGGCTCCCACTACTGGAGTACAGTTGTGGCATGCTCCCTTTTTTCTTTGCAAAAATGCTGTATTGCATGGATATAAAAGGCGAATGGGCTACGACAGGTTTTACTTTATTATGTTTAAATTTGATGGAATTACAATAGAACCTTTCATGGTTATTATGATGGATTAAGGTTTGACAAAGAATAGGAATTGGAAATAGAAACCTTATGAGTTGTATTTAATTATTGACCTCCTTCTCATAACGTAGAGTTGGAGACTTGATACAAATGAGAAAAGTTAAAATTTAAACTCTGCAACTATAAATACTAAAATTGAACATGAATATTTTCTTTTAGTCATGTGTATGTATCATCTTATTCGGTGATTGATGTTGTCGACCAACCTAACAGATGAGGCATGATCACCTTTTTTTACGTGGGTGCAAAAAAAAGAAGTGCTGGTCCAACTAAAGAATTGACCTACTACCTGGAACTGATTGACCTTAAAGTTACATCATGTGACCATGTTGCAAAATAGTTAGAGTTGGAGACTTGATACAAATGAGAAAAGTTAAAATTTAAACTCTGCAACTATAAATACTAAAATTGAACATGAATATTTTCTTTTAGTCATATGTATGTATGATCTTATTCAGTGATTGATGTTGTCGACCAACCTAACAGATGAGGCTTGATCACCTTTTTTTATGTGGGTGAAAAAAAAAAAGAAGTGCTGGTCCAACTAAAGAATTGACCTACTACCTGGAACTGATTGACCTTAAAGTTACATCATGTGACCATGTTGCAAAATAGTTATTATATCTTGTGATATTGGCATCGTATCATAAGATTTTTTTAGCCTATGAAATTGAGTTAAGTTACGTATCTATCTGCTTAATCATCATATCATTTCATGGCTGTATATCTTGTATAGTAGATACTAGCAAAAGCATTTTGTGAAATCAAATTAAATTCAAGTATGATGATGTAACAGTCTGTTATACTACTATACTAGGATTCATCAATGTGATATAGACATACCATATAGTCCCGTGTTTCAATCAGCCTGGTCCTTGTTCTCACTCTTTATTCAATTCTATATTTTATGCAACTGCCAATTCATGCTCAAAGGCTTCTCTATTAATCTCTAATATGTGCTTATGCACGCTTCACCAATTTAGCTCTGGCATAAAAAGTAGTAACTTCTTTTTGGGTTCAAAGAAGATGAAAACATAAGCTACTTATCTTGTTAAAGGATCGCAACTTAATCATGTGATGGTCAGTTGGCCATTATATGTGCAACCGCTTAATTTTGATTAATTATAAAGCTTGTTGATTAAGTCAGCTAAAAGTTTTATATGACAATGATTATTTATGGCAAAAGGGTATCCACAAAGAGCTGTGCATTTGTGAACTGGCACTCTTTTGGCCATGATGTCTTGCACACCCAATTGACCACCAACCCCCTGCCCCCCTCTCTATTTATTTGGTCATATTGCATATGTAACTAGCAGATGGAAACATATTGTTGGATATTACTCAACTTAGAAATTCAAGTGTATTAGTTCTGTCTGTTATTATTTGGTTTGGCTGTTTTTTCACACATTACTATGAGTATGAATTGCATAGCTTTAGACATTTTATTTTATCTATGTTGTTTAACCTACATAGTTCATATTTTTAACTTCTTGCCTTTTAATATATAATTAGTTGCATTTATTTGGGAGAAGATTTTTTTAGTTGGGTTCGCTTGAGTATTTGTCCATCTCTATTGTAATCAGATTAGATCTATGAACATGTAATTGAGATATTGCTTTGTCGTATTCTAGTAGTACTTATTTATTTATACATTTTTTTTTAATTCTGAACTTGTAGGTGAAGAATTTGTTAACCATCCACCCAGAAGATGAAACACCTGTAAAGAATGTTACTATTCGCAGAATTCCGAGGTACCTTATGTTAGCTGTGAGAAGTCATAGTAGGTTCAAGGAAAATTACACATTCAATATTGTTCAACAATAAATAACCTGGAGTCTTCATACTTTCACATGATACAATAATATAAATTAAATCACTCCATTGTTTTTGTTTAAATATTATTATCGATTCCATCCATTTATTATGTTTTTATACTTTCAAGTTCTTTAGGTCTAAAATATCACTTTCTTTGTGGTTTGAGGCTAGCTTGCTGATTGCAGCTATTAATTCTAGTTCTGAGGGGGTAAAAGTAGAAATTGGTTTGATAATTCTTCACCAAAGTAGAGCAGCAATTATGAGTTGAGAATGTAATGAAGGTCAGGAGAATATTGAGCACTTTCCACCTGCGGTTTGTTTTAATTTTCCTTTTACCGATATGCTTTCTTTGTCTCAATGGACAGTCCAGGATGTATAACCATGAAAGATATTAAGAGAAATTAACAAAGAATCATTTATTGAATATATATATATATATATATTTTTATGTTTGACATTATTGTGGAGAAAGTTTGGTATACATGCAATGAAAGATGTACAATATGGCTTTAAACAGATTTCTATATAATAGAATCCGGGCAGGCAATTATGTTGGGACTCGTGTCTCAAATTCCTAATTTAATTAGGTTTCTATTTTAGAGTTGTATTTTATTAGGTAATTTCTTGTTTGACAAGTCTTGGGCTCCAAGGATTTGCAATCCTTGTCCAACAAGGAATTTAGATTGGAACTCTATAAATAGATAACTAGGTTATGGGTTGAGACCTGTGAGATTGAGAGAGATGTAGTCTCGTGAGGGAGTTGATGCCTTCATGGGTAGAGGTACTATATGGGTTGGTGGAGTAGGAAAAACACCAGTGGCACTGGTAGTGAGGGGATTAGGCTCGCGGAGCGGTACATGGTCAAAAGTCATGTACGTGGTGTTGGTACTTTACTGTTATAATATCTCTACGGAAATCATAGTGGAATCTCTTCTCATCCATGGATGTTGGCCGGTTTTGGTCAAACCACGTTATATCTTGTGTTTGTGTGATTGCTTTGTTGGCTTTCATTGGATCTCGGTATTCGTGCGTTTCCGCTGCCCCAACAAATAATATGGTGGAATAGATGGAGACGAGGGAGAGAAGGTGGGGTGTTTGTGAATTGTGCACTTAAAGAATTTAAGAAAGATGAGTACTAAAATAATTATCTTAGCTCTTGGGGACTTTTGTAATGTAGGGGAGGTTAAGGGTCTAGGTTTCCGGATCATAAAGCATGAGGAAAGAGAGCAAGTGTGCAAGCACTGCAAATAGAATAATGTCCAGAGGGCATATCTAAATATACCTATGAACCATGTGTACAAATATGTTGTTTAAGTATTTAATAAATATAGAAAATTTGTAAAATATTTCTTAAGGGAAGTGTTAGGTCTCTTGTGTTTAGAGCTGAATTTTAAATGCTAATTATTAATTGAGAATATTTTTGATACTTCTTTTACTTGTTTTTTTAGTAAGTGATACTTCTTTTACTTTTAATGTTCACTGATAAGTGAATACTCCATCATTTTAAATTTTAACCTATTTTAGGTGGCACTTATGTATTCATATGGGTTTTCAATTGCTCTTTATTGAATAAATACTTAATCCTGAATAATTTAGTCAGAATTAAGTCATCAAACAGCACCTTTAGTGAGCCATGCTCGTCCAAATATCTTAGGTAGTATTTCAGAGAATGAACTGATCTGTGGTCGAATCTGTGTTTGGATGTTCAATCTGGACCAAATTGAACACACACACCCCACCCCCCCCCCCCCCCCCCACAAAAATAATAATAATAATAATAAAAACGAAAACAAAAACAAAAAATTTTCTGGAAGGATTAGGTATCTTACTAGGTGAGAGGACTAAATGACTACAAGGCTGAGGAGAAGTTAGAAATACAATATGCCCTATGGCATGCATCTGCTTTTGTTGCTGCATATGATGTGATAGAATCCAGCTTTACATTAGATGTTCTTTAGACTTAAAACACAGGTTGGTATGAGTAAGTTCAGAAACGATGTCCTCATATTGTGCAAGATAGTTTTTGAAGTTCCGCACGGGTCATATGAATCGATCCATTCTACCTATATGTTGTCATGGGAACATCAAATATGACATGTCCTCACATCTGTGAATTTATGAGGGGAAAGAGAATTGATATTCATGTGATCAGACCTTGATGCTCCATACTCAGCATAGCATTTTCAGCGTTGTATATGAATGGTTGCTTTTAAGTCTTAACTTTAAGGAAGATTATTAAGGAATTCCTTCCATGTTATGCCACATTTATTTTATCCTAAACTTGTCTGCTAAATTTGGTTACGTTGAAGAATATTTAAGGTGAAACAAAATGCAGCTTGTGTGAATATTGGTCAATTACCATAGGCAGTCGCGTCATCTCTCACAGTGCTTGTTCCTTCTGAAATACCCATTTTGAAGGCGTGTGACGTACATAGTATATTGTTTTATGTTTCAGGGTTTCTGAATCTCTGCCATTATATGACATCTTAAATGAGTTTCAGAAAGGTCACAGCCACATGGCTGTTGTTGTAAGACGGTGCAACAAGATGGAGGAGCAGCCTGCCAAGGAGAGCTCTACAGATAGTAAGATCAAACCTCATGCTTTTATTTGAATTCTAGTGATGGGAAGTGTTTTGAATGTCATTTCTTTCTCTCTAACCACAGATTCAGTGAAGGATGTGAGGTTAGATATTGATGGCGAAAAGCCTTCCCGAGAAAAGAGTCTACAGAAAATAAGATCGTTCCAGAAATGGAAAAGTTTCCCCAACAGTGCAAACAATTCTTATAGGGGCAACTCTAGGAGCAGGAAGTGGTCAAAGGAAATGTACTCCGACATCCTGCAGATCGATGGAAACCCACTTCCAAAGCTCACTGACGAAGAAGAAGCTGTTGGCATAATAACAATGGAAGATGTTATCGAAGAGCTTTTACAGGTAAAATATATAATTTCCTGTGTCATCTTAAACCCCTGGTTTTATATGTTCTCGCAAAATTTTCATAGATGGTAGCTTGACACCGATCTTGCACTGTGTAGGAGGAGATCTTTGATGAAACAGATCATCATTATGAAGATTCATGACTCTGGTTTTGTTGATGCATAGTGTAGTACAATTCAGATGGCTACGAAAAATGTTGTATTGGCACGAGTTGTTTTTGTTGTACCGATGTAGGATATACTGGAGTGGGGGAGAAAAATCTGAACCCTACTTATAACTATTTATTGGTGATTATGTATTGAAGACAACAATTTATGGTTTGTAAATGTAAAGAAAAAAAATATGTATGATTTTGTTATACTTTGTTTCATAGGGTTAACTTGGTCATGGTCTGATTTTTTTTTTTTCTTTTTCTTCCCAACTCCCCAAGTGAACTTCCATTAAAATAACACAGCAGCTAAAAACCTCCCAAACTGTCAGTGACTTCCCAAAAAATGCTCCAAAATGTCAGTGGACTTCCCAAAAAATGCTCCTGACAGATTGAAAAACACTATTAGAGACTTCATTGTGCAATGATTCTTATTTCACCAGAGAAATTATTCATTACAACCGTAGCAATGATGACGTGGTGTAATGGACGGTTATAAACACCCTACCAAAGTACATATATTAGTTTTTTTGTTCTATTGTAGGTCCATTTTGGTGGAGTATTTGTAACCGTTCGTTGCACCATATCATCCTTGCAACGATTGTAATGAATGATTTCTCGTAAACAAGGCCTTGATGATCATAGTTATAGATTAATGGGAGAACGGGCAAATGAACAACAACTCAAAGGACTGAATAGAACACAAATTCCATTGAAATAATTCAGCCAGACAGTTCCAAAGGAATTGACCAAAAACACACCCAAAGGAGAAATTATTAGGTGAGCCGGAGCTAGGAATTTTGAATTGGGGGGGCCAAACTAAAATTGTATTAAACTAAAATTTAAAAATTTTATAAATCAACTGTAATTATAATTTTCTTTACAATATTAGTCTTGGTATATGTATTGAGGAAAATATAATTTAAAAACAGAAAAATGCAATTGAAATAAATAGAGATGAAAAAGTGATATGACAATAGAAAACGATAAGTCACATTTAATAAGAGAAGTAGTAAAGAAAAATGATGGTTAAAAAATTCAATTTTGTCGAGCAATTGTTTCAATTTTAAAAATTTCAAATTTGAAAATAAATTAGTACTTTGATTCCACTTTAAGATAGATATATATTAGTATGAACAATGCTTGCCTTAGGCCGTATAAGAAGGAACTTACTTCTTACGATGAGGTGGCCCAATAAAACACTACCATGTGTTGAAGTTTTAAAAATAATAATAATAATGACCACATGGAATCGAACAAATCTTAAACGGACGGCGACCATTATCACCAAACCAATCAACCATCTCCAGGCCGCCAGTATATGTGACAACCACCGCCTCCTAAAATCATTCTTCCCACCATCAGGGTATCCCATCACAGACGACCACCAAATCAACTCTTTTTTAGGTCTCATATTCACCATTGATTGGTAATTTTGATGATTTATACATGATGTGAACTCTGGCTGCGAAATTGATTGGGCGCTGTGTGAATAGTTGGTGGCGGGCCGCGGTACTAATTTATTTTCAAAATTTCAAAATTGAAAATAAATTAGTACTTTGATTCCACTTTAAGATGGATATATATTAGTATTACCTTTATGAGAGATTAATAATAAAAAGTAACATTTTACCTAAACCAAATCCCTCTCGTTTTAATAACAGACTGATTATTAGGAACAAAATATAGAAGTACTTTAATAACTTATAACAAGGAATTACTATACGATTTTTCATTTAAAAAATAATAACATATATGATATTGTTGTTCTTATTGGTATTTTTGTAATCTTTGTATCGTAACACTTTAGTTTTCCCTTCTTTCCAGCTCCAAAGACTCATGAATGAAGATTAATATATATTTAAAGATATTTTTCCCGTAAACATCATCTAACAAAAATGTCTGAGATAGAAGATTCATGCTCTATTAAGCATAAGAACATGTTAATATAAGTTATCTTTTATCTCTTGAATTCAAATCATCCATATCATATGTATTTGTATATTATTGTAAATGTACTGATAATATGGTACAATGAAGCCTGCCACAATAATGAACTTAAATTTTTGTTTCACACTATTGGACTTCAAAGGTAAAGCCTAATAGGGTTCAAGTTAAAATTTCATTCAATTTCGGAAAATTCAAGTTATTTTTCAAGCTCGCTATGTTTATTGAACAAGTGTTTTGGAAAAAGGAGGGGGCACCCTCCACCCCCACCCCCACGCTGTATCATTGGTATATGACCGGCCAATGAAAATCTACCACACATCTAACATATAGTGAAATTGATTTCACCATCTAATAAAAACTACTTTCCACAATTTAATTTTTTAAATACTAATGATGTGGTATGCCGGGCTCACCATGTATCTTCTCCACCCAAAGAACAGATGTTCCTATAGTTGCGAGATAGAGAGGTTAGATAAATAGGAGGGAATCTTATTTTGTAAAAATCTGTAAAGCCAGCAACAGGTTTCCCCTTGTTCCCCACTTCAGCTTTGACCATTTCTTCACCAGAAAGAGTTGTCTACATGCTTGCCAAAAAGATTTGAAAGTTGGAGCCCCATGGTTCCATCTGATTACATCCTGATCATATTGAACTGATTTGGAAACTCAGAGAGATTATTCATTGCAACAACTATGTAATGAACGGTTACAAATATTCTACCAAAATAAAATGAACCTACAATAGAATAAAAAAGTTAATACATGTGTTTAGGTAGTGTTTGTCATCGTCCGTTACACCACGTTATCATTGCAGCGGTTGCAATGAATTATTTCTCGGATACTTAGACACCTGTTGCCAAATATGATCTGCCTCCTCAGTCATGAAAACAGGTCTTTACCAGTGACCATTCTGAATATAATAGAGGAAAACCTGACTCTCTTCTCATAGCTTACTGTGGAACTCTTTATGTGTGTTTTTTTTAAAGGCTTTTTCGTATTTAACTCAATTTTCTGAAAAAATTATAACACACTTAATTCTTGAACTATTTTTATATTTTCACCTTTCTGTCTATTCTCAAAAAAAATGCAAAAACAAGCAGGCCCAAATGTTTGCTTTTGTGAAATCAGTGGCATGGTATATATATACTAGTCTGTTGTCATCTTCTGTTGTCATCTTGGATTCATAGCCTATTAGCTACACATGAACCCTCATTTCACCGAGTGATCAAATAGATTAGGCCTGGTAGTGTTATTTATGTTTGTTGCCCAAGTAAATTATTCAACAGTGTTTCAAGGTAAATTGTGCAGGTTTTCACCAAACTAGTCCCTCTCTGCAACATGTTGAATCTCTGCTCAAAACTCAGGTGAGTTATTTAGGTCGTCCGTTCTGGTGGAGATCCGAGTCCAGAAAATTTTCAGCTTCTAAAAAGAAATGAGAAAGAGCACTGCCAAGTCATGTTGCAAAATGCTGCACTCAAATATGTATTTCAAAGTGAGGTTCCTCACCTAGCAATAGTAGAGGGTGAGAGCATCTACCCATTGCTATCTGACACTTTTCTTGTTTAGCTTCCTTGTTTGAAGCACTGAAGGGAACTGTTGCAAACTCTTCCGATCATCCAAACAGCTTATTTCCAGTTCCAACCTGCCAAAAAGCAGGCATGTCGGTTTTTGACACCGGAATCCTCGTCAAAAAGGAAAAAAAGAACTCAAAATGCCGGTGAAATGACCTCCTCATCTCTGAGAGAAGAAGGTAGGCAAAGTTATGGCTGCAGGCTTGCCCAATCCCAATGTTTACACATTCCAGTACCAACAACAAATTATGGATCTGATATGCCGTGTGAGAGTCTGCACAGACGAGCATGGATAACCAAGGAAGAAAAAAAGAAGAAAATGTGTATCAAATTGGCCAAAAACATAACTGTGATCACATTTTTTTAAGAAAATACATAAATTTCATTGTGTTCCATCAATACTATCTTTCCTATTTTGTTAAAAACATTCTTTGATACCATTTATTATCAATTGTACAAGCGCAGATTGTCATCCTAACCCACACGAATAACGAACTAGAGAACCAAACCAACCAATACAAAACAACTCTCATCTGTGATGCTTAGATCTTTTCTCCTTCTCCCTCTTTTTCTTCAGTTTATCCCTAGATTTTTCTTTTGTGTGCTTCCTAGAGCGGTGCTTGCTTGAGCTCCCTGAGCCAACTTTCTTTGACTTCTTCCTCTTACCACGAGAAGATTCTTCTTCAGAAGATTCACAAGATTCAAGTGAAGAAGGCTTCGCTGGACCAAGAACAGCACGATTTTCCCATTCTTCTCCAACCCTGAGATTAGAATCTAACAGCTTTCCCTTGCCGTCTGAGCTACGAGGAAGGTAAGGACCCGTTTCATCCATCCTAGATCCTACAGTACCCCTGCCACGCTTGACTCTGCATTCAACAATCAAATGAGTTTCACTGCATCCACAAAAAGGGGCGCGCGCACACAGATAAAGAGAGAGAGGTTACCTTGAGTGTAGAAATTCCTCAATTTCTGCATCCCTCAATCCTTCATCATCCCTCGAATAGCAATCCTGGATTCCTCCTTTGCTTGATAAGCTTGGAGCACTAGCATTTACTTCATGATCTGCGTGCCTCTTACTTGTATTCCTTGACGAGTCAGATACGTTCCTGTGGCTCCTACTACTGCTGCTCTCCTCCTTCGATCTCCCTCTAAGCCTCTCATCCAGTTCTAGCTCTTTCTGCCTGGCTCGCCACATCTCATTTACTTCCACACTTCGATTTGCTGAAATGAACAAAATTTCATGGTCAAGCAGACACAAAAAGATATATAAATACTTACAAATAATTAATTACCAAGACAACCAATCATATCTGACATCGAAAGCTCAATACTATAGTTTAATAAATTTTGAGCACCAGAATCCCAGTAACTTCCATATTCAGAATATGCCAGACGCTTAAATTACTCTGGAATGAACTCAAGAAGCTTAATAATAAAACAATTAGTTAGATAAGTGTCAAAGTGAGTGAAGCTAAGTTGTTCAAATGCCTGAGAACCTTGAATGCCAATACTAAGGATGCCATTGCAACAAGGGAAAAGGAATGTGTTCAAAGAGTTGAAAAGTAAAGCAAAATGGAAGGAGATTATCTGCATGCAAACAAAAATCTAGAATACATAACATGTGATATCAGAACACTCACTTTTTCTTCAAATCTATGACTCGGAGAAGGATCAGAAACAGATTGGGGGACTCCGATCAAAGATAATGGGGTCAAGCCTGAAGACAGAAATAGTATCAAAGATACAACTATGGCATTTTTTTAGAAGCATATCCAATAATCCAAGTTTATTATATAATTGTACCATGTTCCTTTTTGTTATATTATTAATTCAAAACAAGTGAAGTGACCATACTAAAACCTTTAATCTACATAAAACAACGATTTTGCCATGATGAATAGTTTATTGTGCTTCTGTGTAATTGGGTTTGGAGATTTATATCGGATGCATAGACAGTTCACACATACCTGACCCATAAACATAGGTCATTGGTGAAGAATTATCTAAAGCTTTTATATCCATTCTTAAATCTGGGGGTTTATTTGATGGTGCAACTTCCGCTATTGATGCTCTAATTCCCAATAGTCCTAATCCTACATCTTGGAATCATTATAGGCCTATATCCTGTGAAACGTTATTTATAAGTTTATTATTAAAAATATTGTCAACAAATAGAGGCAGGTTTAGATTTGTAGTATTACCGTATTAGACCATCCCATTGCTTACTTTAGGGTAGATAGATCACAGATATTCCTCTGCCACTTGTGTACAGTGCCGCTGTAGGCGGCTTGTGTATCCTTTTGGAAGCGCTCCCCTTTTGGGCGCCTTTTATGAATTATTTCTTGTCACCCCCAAAAAAAAAAAAAAAAAAAAAAAACGATATTCCTCTGCTAAGAGCTCTCAGCCTCTCATTACTCGGAGCTTATGTCTTATGACAATAATAATGAGCAAAAGATGTGCTACGAACCTGATACTCTAAGATGGGACTCTATTGAAGATATGTGGTTATAACTTAAGACTCCTTCCTATGGGGAGACTGAAGGGCACTTCCAAAGTGGGTCTTCAACAAGGAGATCCTATACCCCCTTACATTTCTCGTTTGATTAAGGAGGATCCCCCCCTACCCCAAAAAAATAAAATAAAATATCATTGGAGATGCAGCAAAAACAGTACCATCACCTGTCTCTTGCTGATGATCTAATGCTTTTATGCAAGGAGCAAGTGGAGTCAGTTTCTACTTTAGAGAAGGCTCTCATCAAGAGCTGATTGGCTTAACCCCTAGGATTGGAAGAGCAATTGTTCCTATGTTAGGGTCGTGACATGATGAAACAGAGCATTTTGGTCTGCTTGAATTCCCTGGGACAGCTTCATGTTAAATTACTTCGAGTTCTCATCACCCAAAGCTCAAATCTTTTGATTGCAAGTGCTTAATGGAAAATATAAGTACAATATACAAAAATGGACAAAAAGACCCTATTTTGTGCAGGGAGAATGCAGTTCAATAAGCCCATAATTTTTCCAGTCCAGGTGTATAATCTTTCCATACTTATCTTGCCTAGAAAGGTGATCAAAGAGACGGACAAATGCATTGGGAATTTCATTGGAAAAGACAGGAAATGATGAAGTCTGGTGCTTAAGATTGCCTCGAATATTATATGTGGAGACATAAAAAGGGAGGATTGGGGTTTAAAATTGGAAACATCGAATCAAACTACAATTGACAAGCATATATGATATAAGGTAACTGTTAAGAGAAGATGCTGATTGGATCAAGGATAAACTTTGAAGGATAGACGTCTTTGGATAGTTAAAACCTGGATACAAAGGGAAAGTTTTAAAGTTTAGAGATAAGACACAGCATCTCTACAGATACAATTTTGGGAATTATTCACACCTCTGTTGAGGGTCTTAATAGAGCTACAAGACTTCCATACCAATTTGATAGTTCTAGGTAGTAGCAAAAAATACGTTACGCTCTTTTACCCAACCTGGTTAATTCCCCCTAGCCTCTGGCCCTCTGTTTGTCCCACTCCCATCACTTTGTTCCTTCAAGTCATTCAGTTAGGTTCAATAAATGCATTTTGAGGCATGGTATAATTCTTGGTTGGCTGTCCATGAAAGACTTTCTTATGGAGATCATGTTAGCACCATGCACCACGTGCTATATGCACTTATTTTAGGCATGGGTGCAGAGAATAGATATGGACTTAATTTATTTCTGACATTTTCATTATTTAGTTTTTAGAATTATTTTGGCAGCACCTATTAGGGTTTTCCGAGTTGCAGGAGGTTGGTGTATTAGGATGGCACAGTTTTTGAATTAATTGAGAAACATTGAACTCCTATGTCTCTAAACTGTCCTTTTCTCACTTTTCTGCTGCATCACTTTATACCGAAAGTCAAACTGCTCTCTTTAATGTAATTACTCCAACATGTTGCTCATAATGCAGGAGCAAGACCATGAACACCTTTTGTGTTTGTTTATTTATTTTTGTGTGCGCGCGTTTTGTGTTCATTCTCCCATCAAATTCAGTCATTGGGAACAGATATCTTGGCATTAGCAATACACCATTATCCGGACATCTTATAGTTTCAAATATTAATCTCTTAACAAAATAGTTAGGAAGATTACCAACAGTGGGGAACCAGATTTAGATTGAATGGAATGACAAGTAATTTCAAAATAACTACCACAATGCTTCATTTGTCATTTACAGTGATATCCAAGGTTGTCAGATGCAGATTGAAGAGCTGCAAAATTCTGAAGGGATCCCAGGTCAATATTTGGATTAAAAGCCAGTGGAGGCCAACAAATTAGATTGCAGATATCTTTCCTTTTGGACAAATAAAAAAAAAAAAAAAAACAGAAGATATATTTCCCTTTTGGTATGGTTATTATTATTATTTTTTGATAAGTAGGCTGGGAGATTTCATCCACATGCATTGGCCAGTGAACTTCCTTTTGGTTAGGGAAAACGCAGCGCCAATGCGCAGCCTGCGGAGAGACTGTTTTCCGTTGCAAACCCTTGACCTCCAGTCACAATGGTGCTACCTTACAATCGCGTCAAGGACTGGCTCAGGGAGCTTCCTTCTGGTTTTACAGAAATAATTCTTATTTAGGGAAAAAATGAAATTCACGTCTAGAAGAAGGCAATATCATAAACACCACCAAAAGTTTGAACTGGATTAATTATTACAATCTAGTGAAAATAGCAGATCCATTTAGGTGCTATTTGAATATAAATTGGACTCATCCTCAATCAGACACAATGGGCTCCTACAATTGCCATTAAATGTCCAAACACTCGCTAAATGGTACTGTGACCTAAGGCACTATGAACCAAAGAGCACCGTGGATTCTCCCCAACACCCCCGCCCCCCTCTTTCTCTCTCTCTATCTCTACGGGTAAAAAGGGGCTATGATTCCAGCAGCAGGAAAATCCTTTCCCTACAATAAATTTCATTAAACTAAGCTCAAGATCCTCGAGGATTATACCATTACAGGAGCCCTCCTTGAGAGTTTAGAGGCCCTATTGCCTTGTGTAGTTTTTGAGGGATGCGTTCCCCTTTTCAAAGCTTCTTAAGACAACTTTACTTATTAAAAACAAAAACAAAAAATACCATTACAGGAGGCCAACTAAGTATATGAAAGGGGAAAATCATCTGAAGGTATTTATTTCTTTATAAAAACATGTGCATCACAATTGGGCTCCCTAAACCTTTTAATTAATATCTTCTTTTTGGCATGTGCATTCTGGTATCATAAGTTTTGCATTCACAGATATCAAAACCCAACTGCATAAGGTCAAGATGGCATGAGTTTAAAGGAAGCTAGAGGTCGTCAACTGGCAGGATGATATAAGTGCACAAAGAACAATGTATTGGAAACATAAGCCAATTCATTTAGAGAGAGACAAAGACCAACTCTATGCAAAAAATTTAACATTCCAATTAATGAAGGATTATGCACAAAAACATTAAATGATATAACAGAGAGACCAAGAGTTTATAAAGCAGTCACAGAACTAACCTTGTTGTACACCAAGAACAGTTGTGGTAAGGAAACGTGAATTTGGCCGACCCCTAACCTTAGGCTGCCCAAGATAAACATGTATGCCTTCCTTTTCAGCTTGCCGCCGCAATTCTGCTGCCTCTTTGACAAGAATTGCAGCTATCCTGTTCTCTGTCTCCAAATCCATAAACCCTGGTAAGCAAATTCCAAAGAAAGAAACAAGTGAATTTTCCAGAACAGTTAATAACTTCAACATCATAAACAGCATGATGGAGCCAAATGTGGTTGTTAAAGGCGCGCCTAGGCTCCAAAAATGTCCCAGGCTCGTCAAGGCTCAGCTAGAGCGCCTCAAACTAGTACAGGCACTCACATAAAGCCCTCAAGCTCGCACTTTTTAGTAGGTTCCAGCCTCAAAAAAGTGTCTTTTGTTTTCTAATGATTTATTCATATCATTTTCCTGTTGTTATCTAATGACCACTAAATTAGAATGTTCCATATCATATCGCAATCATATTTACTGGATCATATTTTTCTACCTTATAAAATATTTGACATAATCCATAAATTTATGGTTCACCAATTATTAATTGCATTTAGTGATCGATTCGGAAAATTATGGTAATATATGTTTGAAGCTTTGCATAGTATAGTTTTTAATTTTTTCAAATTTATAATCACATTTAATTTGGTTAACTCATTTGCATATGAAATAAGTGATGGAGGATTAATTTACCTGGTCCTCTTATTTGAAATATCAAAAATCCCAATGTTCAAGATTTTTTTAATTATTTGACACATATCTTGAATTATTCTAATTGTACATTGATTTAATGGAATTCACATAAACATAGAAAAGATATATGTGTGCTAGTTTAGCTAATTTATTGAATTGATGATATGTTGAAAAAATTCCTTAATTTGATAATGACAAGTTTGTGTTGCATGGTTTCATTATTCTTTACACGCTTATAATAAATATGCATTATGATTATACACGTGCCTCACTTTCTGCCTTATGTTCCGTCTTGTGCTTAGACTCCAGAAGAACTTTGGCGCCTTAGCGCACCTTGAGCCTTTAACAACTTGGGAGCCAAAATATACTGATACACGTTGACATTATTTATCTAATCACATCAAGGTGAAATTACTATTTATAACAAAGCTTCAACTTGTGTTAAAAGTGGTCTTTCCAGACTAACCAATAGAGTTATATCCTCATCAATTCATAAAGATAGGTCAACTCTTGTACTTTTAGGCTTTAGCAAAATATGATAGATCTGATCTTCTGAATACAAATTGTCAACGAGATCATAATTAGGTGTCATGCTTGTAGTGCATATAGAACTGTCAATAGATCGGATTTTAATCGGAATCTGATTTGATAACTCATATATGGATTGGAACATTCAATCCAACAATTTGTTACTTAAACAAATCGGATATGAACTATGGTTGATCGGGTCCGGTAATAATCCAACCCAATCCAATGTAATATAATATATTATATGATATAAATGTATTATCTAATGCACAATATATAATATTTACAAATTATTGGAATAATTTTTTTCATTTTTTTTCCTTCTTCCCTCTCCCTATTTTGTCTCTTTGTTTTTTTTTTTTTTTTCAAATAATAACAAGTCAAATATCTAATTTATACATCTTCAACGTATCAGGTTATTGGGTCTGATATTTTATAACTAACAAATCGGAAATGGATTCAATCATAAATAATCCGTCAGATCGGACAAGCCTAAGCCAGTCTGAATCCGCTCTGTTTGACAGCCTATGTTCGTATACAGAAAATGCAAGGTGCACAACTTGATGGACTAATAATTCCAACAAATGCTTCCACAAGATATAACAATAATTTAACCAATAAAGAAAAAAAAAAATTTTAAACTTAACAATAGGATTTAACATTTGAAGTAATATCTACAGTCAAAATGACAAATACCAACTACTGGTTTAGTCAAAAAAGCGCAAAAGGGTACTCAAACTTGCCTAAAATTCTGAAGAGAATTTAATTTAACTTCATACTGTGTTTTTATCACTTAGATTTGCACATAAACACTGTATATAGGTGATATAAAATCAACCACAAAGTGTATTCGTATGTGATGAACACAACCACAAATGTGTATATATTTTAGATTCATCCACACAAACAACAGTACCTAATTCAAAATTTTGAACGTGCAGCCCAATAAGTGATCTAATTCAGCATCATATTCAAAGATATGATGAAGCGATAGCAATTTTAAGACAAAATTAGGTTTCCAAAGACTAAATGGAACTCACCAGAATTAGCGAGATTCAGAAGAGAAACCAGAATTAACGAGATTCAAAAGAGAAACCAGAATTAGAGAGATTAAGGAGAAATTGAGTAAGAAAGTCGAGTCTATTATTGATCCAGAGAAACCCTAGTTCGCATAAAGCCGTGATAAAGGACCTGCTTGGGGAGCTTTTCATGGGCTCTAAACGGACTTTCAGGCCCAGAAAGTCATTTCAGAAAAAAAAAAAAATAATAATAATAATAATAATAATAATAAATTGAGCGTCTGGTGGAGTATATGTAATGGGCGAAGCTAGAAAAAGAGGCTTTTAAAAACGAGTTCTCGGGAAGCTGGGTGGTGCTTCAAGTGATAAAGTTTGAATCACAAAATTGTCCTCATACATTGTATTTGATTTCCCAAATCAGCCCCAATGTTCTATTGAGGAAACCCTTCTTTACCCTTTCGGAATGTTCTGTTGAATGTCCAATAGGCAATATGACAAACTCTACTGACGAGAGAGAGAGAAGAAGACTTCTCAATCCACCCATAAGGCCAACAATTGATGCAACTTGAATGCCAACTTGACTATTACAGCCTCACCCTCTCGAAAAGCCACTTCTGCAATCTCCTCAAGCTGTGCCTGAATTTGTCGACTCTTTTTTCTTTTTTCTCTGGCTTTTGGAGGTCTCAGCTCCTAATTATTGTAGGGTTTTCTTAGTTTTTTTTTTTTAATTTTAGTTTTTGAATAAATTCAGAGGATGATATGCACAGCGCCAACAAAGTCGGGTTCATCGATGACTTCTACAGCGGCAACATACAGACAATCGACGTGGGTATAGCACAAAATTTTAGTTTTGACATCTACTGTAAATCATTGCAGTGTTCTAATTCTTTTAGAGGGAAATTCAGGTAGTGCATAACAAATTCACCAAAAAAATAAAATAAAATAAAATTCTGTTTGAGAGGCTACTGGAGGCAACATCCATAATCTAATTATCATATTGGCAGGTTGAAGTGAACCCTTCGAGAAAATACTTATAAGGAAAATATAAATAATAAATAAACAGTTTAATAAAATAGCCCATCAAATAAATACACAGATTCTAGCCATAAATTCCAAGAAATCTGTAAAGAACAAATCTTGTGTTTCATTAAAAAAAAAAAAAAAAAAAAAAAAAAAAAAAAAAAAAAAAAAAAAACCCTAATACATATGGTAAAGAACAAATGTTTGATTGCCTGATTGGGTCGTGATCGGGGTGAGATAGAGAGGAGATGACACAGATCTGTCATGGACTCGAATCGCCCCCAATTTCTAGGGTTTCATTGCATAATAAAATTTCTAGGGTTTTAATACCGTACCTTTTCTAGATTTAAGGACGCAGATAGCGTTCTCGCCGCTTTCGATTGTCGCGCAGAGAAATCTTTGGCTTTGGTTGAACAGAAAAAGATGAGTGGGAAATGAGAGAGAGAACGGGTTTAACACAAATATAAGCTTCCAAACGATGCCTTACTGATAATACAGTACCCAAAGACTAGTTTGCCAGGCCAAAAAAAAAAAAAAAAGAAAAAGAAAAGAAAAGAAGACTAGTTTGGGGAAATTTAAAAAAAAAAAAAAAACCAATGAAGATAATGTGGTTTTCTTTAAATGCTCAAAACATTTATTTGACGTCTTTTGATAAGTAAATAAAAAAATTAAAATTTAAGAATAAAATAAAATAATTGTAATATATTTTTTTTATACAATGTATTTTAATGTATAAGAAATGATTCTTACACCAAATAATTACAGCAGTGAAGTGTAAGACTTACCTTTTTAATTAGTCAAATATCATTACCTTTTTAATTAGTCGAATATCACTACCCTTCATGTATATATGTAAGAGCAAACTATAATTGATACGAGAAGAAAAAAAAAAGGGGGGCAAGATTAAGAAGCTCATTTAAAACTACCTTTATAATCATAACTAGGTAACCAATAAAAGGAATTTTTAAAACAATTTGGTGACTTGAATTTTCTTTACCCGAAATCACATAAATAGAATTTATAGCATAAATAGGTAGCCTATATAGCATTTATAGAATTTTAAGACTCATTGTTGTTTTTGCTAATTGATATGTTTCATGAGAGTTATCTTGATAGTAGTTTTCTTTTGGTACTTTGATCAATTTTTTATAAAATGATAATTTTATCATTTCCTTATATAAAATGCAATATAATACTATATAATTATAGATGAGTGCTAATTACAGTCGCAGCTGTGATTGGTTAAAAAAACAACTGTAATTAATGCATTGATCCTTTTTTTATTGAGCATTAAAATCTAATTTTGTAAAAGAAAATTACCCTCTTTTGCTTGTTGACTATTATTCTCTCTTCTCTTTCCATCTTTGTCTATATATATAAAAATATATATATATAGCTAATTCCCGATTTCCCATCAATGCATTATTTCCCCACCCCCCCCCCCCCCCCCCCCCCTTTTTTTTTTTTTTATACTGTTGATGGATTATGTACATATTAAATATTATTTATTTATACTTTAGGTGTGAATTTTTAAGACTATAAATTTTAATTGAAGTACATTATAGAATTGAATTTCATTGAAATAAGATTGTATAATTGAGTTTAGTTTATTTGTAAAAGATAGAAATGAATGGTTTAGTAAAGGCATAGGGAGAGATAACTATAGTGGTGATGTAATAATCACACTAATTGAATTTTAGTTGAAATAAAATTGTATAATTGAGTTTTTATTATATGTAAATGATAAAAATGAATGATTTAGTAAAGACCAAGAGAGAAATACGTGGTGATGAGATGAGATAGTCGCATTTTAAAGATAAGATGGTTTAATGAGTGATATATAATTATTGATGATGACATAGGATAAATGATTGGTTTTGGAAAAAAAAGAAAAAAGAAAAGAAGTAAAGAATGAATTAGTTTAAAAACACATTAAAAAAAAAAAAAAAAGTTAGAAAGAAGAAAGATATATATATACACAAACACACAAGAGGAAAGAGAATAAAATTAAAAAACAGAGGGTTGTTTTTTTAACCAATAACAACTGTGTCTAAGGATAGTTGCATCGACGATTGCAATTAGCCGTTCTCATTATTATAACATAAGGACATTATTGATTTTTTAAAACACTAGAGAACGGGTTTGGGGAGGGAGGTTTAAATAATAGACGATTAACGGTTTACCCATATATAATTTGTCCAAATCTCATAGGAGATCGGTGTAATTTACCCAAAATTTTATATGGAGCAGCAAAGAAAGGACAAGAAAATTGCATCTAATGAAAATGGTCATAGGTGGTTAGTCCTAAAAGTGGAGGTCTTTTTGGGTTTACAAGGATTGAGTTATGGATAAAGCTGCAAAGTGTTGTTTGTTCTGGGACTTCTTGCAGGTAAAGTGTGTTTATGGATCAACTGGTGTCAAGCCAAGACCGTAAAGGCGTTCACCAATACTCTCTGGCACTTTCGGTGGAATAGTAATCAATCTTGCATAATGAAGAGTCTAGTGTTGTTTTTCAATTTGCTAGGAGCATTGTTTATGAAGTGACTGACACTATTATTTATACATTTATCTATTTTTCTTTTGATTATTATTTTTGGAATGGTGCAGTTCCTGGTTTGTTGGAGGTCCTCCATGTGGTTGTAACTCCTGTGTTGTTTTAATGGAAGTTCACTTGGGAGTAAAAAAAGACCAAGTGAACTGTATGACACAAAGTTTAACTGTAAAACAAATCATAAATATATATATTTTTTTCACATTTACAAACCATAAATTGTTGTTTTTAATAAGACATAATCCCTAAAAACAGTTATAAGTAGGGTTCAGATTTTTCTCCCCCACTCCAGCATAGCCTGCATCGGTGCATCACAATACAACTCACGTGCAAATACAACATTTTTGGTAGCCATCTGTATTGTACTACATTATGTATCAACAAAACCATAGTCATGAATCTTCATAATGATGATCTGTTTCATCGAAGATCTCCTCCTGCACAGTGCAAGATTCGGTGTCAGGATACCATCTATGAAAATTTTGTGGGAGAATATAAAGCCAGGGGTTTGAGATAACACGGGAAGTTTATATATTTTACCTGTAAAAGCTCTTCAATAGCATCTTCCATTGTTATAATGCCAACAGCTTCTTCTTCTTCTTCTTCAGTGAGCTTTGGGAGTGGGTTCCATCTATCTCCAGGATGTCGGAGTACATGTCCTTTGACCACTTCCTGCTCCTAGAGTTGCCCCTATAAGAATTGTTTGCGCTGTTGGGAAAACACGTCCATTTCTGGAACGATCTTATTTTCTTTGAACTCTCTTTTCTCGGGAAGGCTTTTCACCATCGATATTTAACCTCACATCCTTCACTGAATCTGTGGTTAGAGAGAGAGAAATGATATTCAAAACACGTCCCATCATTAGAAATCAAATCAAAGAATGAGGTTTGATCTTACCATCTGCAGAGCCCTTGCTGGCAGCTCTGTTACATGGACTCTTCAAAAATATTGAAGTACCCGTGTCGGACACATATCCCTTGTACATGGATATGGGATATGTGTCCGACACTTTTGGTTGGACATGTACTTAAAAAACATATTTAATCATTCAAGTACATTATATTATTACTTTAAAATGAGTTAAATGTCTATATTGAACATTATATTAGACAAAAACATTACTTTACTCTAAAAAATAAAATAAAATAATTAATAAAATGAATATTTAGCCGTGTCCATGTGTCCTTTTGTTTGGAGATTTGACACATCCGACGCATGGATACATACCCATGTCCGACATCCGTACCCAAGTCCATGTAACATAGGCTGGCAGTATGCTCCTCTGTCTTGTTGCGGCTGTGACCTTTCTGAAACTCATTTAAGATGTCATATAATAGAAGAGTTTCAGAAACCCTGAAACATAAAAGCATATAAATTATGACTTAAAAAGTAATATATTATGTATTTCAGAAGGAACAAGCACTGTGAGAGATGACACAACTGATTAAAGCATCATACTCAAATCAGGAATGTAATATCTTAGTCAATCGAATTTTTGACTGGAGCTTCCTTGCTTCATTTGTATATCCTGTAGAACGAAGACCATTTAGAACAGCCCGTTGGGTACACTGCTCTATTTTGATGCCACTTCTTAAAAAAGATAGAAGGAGCTTGGAAGCATGACGGAATCGCCCTGCCTTGCAAAGATTGTGTACCAAGGATGAACAAGTAAAAGAATCCTTTTCCTCCATCAGTTCAGACACCTTCATTGCATAATCAATCTGACCAGCCTTACACAACCCATCAATCAAGCAGTTATAAGCAACCACGTTTGAATCAAAGCCCATTGAGTCCATGTACTTCAAATGTCGCTTTGCCCCTTCAAGGTCACCTGCCTTGCACAATCCATCAATCAAAATTGTGTGGGTATATTTGTCACATTCAAACCCTCCTTTTTCTATCTCATCCAACAACTTATAGGCATCTTCAAACTTACCTTCGTTAAAATACAAATTAATGAGGGTATTGTAAGACACTATGTCAGGCTCAATGCCATTCCTGGCCATTTGCTCCATGCATTCTTTTGCCTCCTTTAGCTTACCAGTTTTAATTAAAGCACCACTAACTGTGCAGTATGCAAAGGCATCAAATGTATATCCTTCCCGCTTCATCTCTGAGAAGATCTCAAGTCCTTCCTCAAATTTCCTATATCTAAAGCAGTATTTCATTACTATAGTGTAAGTTATAGCATTCGGCTTAGGACCTGATTCACCTAGCTCTCTGACAATCCTTCTTGCCGTCCTCAACCTACCCGACTTGCAAAGCCCATTGAGAAGAATATTGTATGTTACTATTTGGGGTACAAATCCACGACGCTGTAAATTCCGGAATAACATAAGGGCATTAGCAGTATATCCATTCTTGCAAAGGCCGTTAATCATGGTGTTGAACGTAGTTGGACAAGGAACAAAATTGCTCAGAATAATGTCTTGAAAGATCCTGTTGGCCTCATCTGGCTTTCCTGATTTAAAGAAACAATGCATCAAAGTATTGTAACTCCACACATCAGGACGGATACCTGTCTGAAGCATTTCTTCAAACAGGTCCACACATCGCAATAATTGGCAATGCCTGGTGGCACCAGCTATCAATGAATTATATGTAACAACATCAGGGTTTATCCCAGCTTCTCTCATTCTATTAATAACAGAATAAGCTGTGTCAACGCCATCAAAACGGCAATATGCAGCAATCAATGTATTGTAAGTAACCACATCTGGTAATACCCCTAATCTTATACCATCAATTAGAACAGCTTCGGCTTTCTCCAATTGTCGTGCTTTGCAAAAAGAAGCTATGGTTATATTCAATAACCTAGTCGAAAATCTCCATATCATTCTTCACGGGTACTCCAAAAACATCAAAAATGATAATCTAAACCTGCTAACAGTTTGAATACTCGAGTCAGATGGATTTTTACTCTTTATAACACACTTCCCAGAACATATACTATTAGTAAACCAACAAAAGCCCGAATAATATCATATAATACCCTGTAATTGCACTGGTCATATAGAATTGTTCTGAATAGATGCAGAATGAGGATTTTTATATAAACAAGCAAGATTAACAGTATCTGAGAGAAACACATATGGTGTTCGATAATATTAGTAAATAGTAACCAAACCACATCTTGTTGAATGAATAGATGCAAAATGAGGATTTTCATAGAAACAAGCAAGATTAACAGTATCTGAGAAAAACCCATATGGTGTTTGCTAATATTAGTAAATAGTAACCGAATCACATCTTGTTTAATGAATTAACACTACAAGTTCTAGCATCAATCAATATTCAACAGAAGACAAAAACAAATCTATCTCTATTGATACTTCTCTTTTCTATTTATTGCCTTATTTGAGAGAGCAAGGGATGTCTAGATATCAGAAAGCGATCTATAGAGAAGAGAAGAGGAGAGAGAGAGGAGCCAAAAGGGAACAGATGCTCGGACTGGAAGGGTCCGAATATAGAGTCCGGATCTCTCACTAGGACATTAGAGGCTCTGTATTTTTAGATGGTCCATACTGCAATACGGCATCGTCCCTGACGGTGACAATGGACGGTGTTTGATCTATAACGAATGCACAAGATAACAAATCTAGTGTTTCAGAAAAAAAACATATGGTAAAGAACAAATGTTTGATGGCCTGATGGGGTCGTGATCGGAGTGAGAGAGAAAGGGGCTGGGAGATATCTGTCATGGACTAAAATCGCCCCCAATGTCTAGGGTTTCATTGCATAAGAAAATTTCTAGGGTTTTAATACCGTACCTTTTCTGGATTTAAGGACGCAGATAACATTCGGCAGTGAGAGAGATCGGCAGTGAGGTCATTTTTGGTCTTCGGCGAGCTCACCGCTCTCCATCGACGCGCAGAGAAATTTTTGGCTTTGGTTGAACACAGAGATGAGTTAGAGAGAGAGAAAACGGGTTTAACACAAATATAAGCCCTACCAAACGATGCCTTACTGAGTTACTGATAATACAGTACTAAAGATTAGTTTGGCCAAAAAAAAAAAAAAAACAAGGGACGCAGATGATGTGGTTTTCTTTAAATGCTCAAATCGTTTATCTGACGTTCAAACAAGTGCGTAGTACTAGTAATTAGCGAGTTCTTTCAATATAAATTAATTTGATTATCACAGGTCTGCTTTTATATTATGAATCCACATAATTGTTACATATCTAAATTTGGTTCGTTTATTATTTGTTATTTGTGAAGTGTGATTTGTTGTTACGTTTGGTTGGTGGGAAGGATGAGAGAAAGAAAAATAGTAATAACAAATATAAATATGTATTTTTTATGGGGTAATTGTATAAAACCCCTTTGTTGTATAAAAAATACTCCTACTAAAAATTAAATGCATATAAATTCATGTATTATCAACTTTTTGAATAAATTACTCTCTAATCATCAATTTTGACCATTTTTTTTTTATAAAAGCTCTAAAATGCCTTGCTGATGTATGGAAAAAAAAAAAAAAATGAAAAGAAAATCTCTCTTTTCCTTTCTCTCTCTCTTTCAATCTTTTCTATAAGCTCTATTTCTCTCCCTAGTCTCCAGCAACAACCAATTAGCTCATCTAAAAATCACTACTTTAATAAATAAATAAAACTACGTATTATCCCCGAAAAATAACAACTTTGATAAAAAGAAAATTATGTATTTAGGTAATTTCTAAAGCAAATTGCTTAATCTATATCTATATCTATATCTATCTATATCTATATCTATATCTATATTTATATTTATATTTATACTATTTTAAAAGTGTAGCTAATTTCTTAGATTTTTAAAAAATACAAAATTATTTCATTAAATACTAAACATTAAATCACCATATGATTCAAACAATTTTCAATTTTTCATTATAAAAATTCCAATGACGTGTCATTAAATAACCTTATTTTAACTCTCACAACTAAAAAAACAAAAAAAAAAAAAAATGTGAAAGGAAAATAAAACACAACATTTTTAGATTTTTAAAAAGTACAAAATTATTTCATTAAATACTTAAACATTAAATCACCTTATGATTCAAACAATTTTCAATTTTTCTTTATAAAAATTCCAATGATGTGTCATTAAATCACCTTATTTAACTCTCACAACTAAAAAAAAAGAAAATAAAAATGTAAAAGGAAAATAAAACACACCTTTTTTGTTCCTAAAATACACATCCAGTCCACTTCAAACATTTTTGCTTATTTTAAATTTAGATTTTTAAAAAATACAAAATTATTTCATTAAATACTAAACATTAAATCACCTTATGATTCAAACAATTTTCAATTTTTCTTTATAAAAATTCCAATAACGTATCATTAAATTACCTTATTTAACTCTCACAACTAAAAAAAGGAAAAAAAAAAATTGTAAAAGGGAAATAAAACACACCTTTTTTGTTTCTAAGATACACATCCACTCCACTTCAAACATTTTTGCTTATTTTAAATCTAGAAAAATTGTTAACATACTGTATAATGATTCATAATGTTTATATAAATGTTACAACACTTTAGTTTCTTGTCATTACCTGTAATGATTATGTCTCCTTAAATTTTACGATATAACGGTTCCAAATAAAAAATTATTTAATTTTTTGTTATTACATTTGGTTTGGAGTCTATACAAACGCACCAAAATTATTTACCAATTTATTTTTAATTTATTTTCAATTTATTTACAACCCTTCTAAGTCATATAATTTCCAAATTTTATTTATTAAAAATCTCAGTTTTACGTATCATTAATTCATCTTATTTAAATCTTTCAAATAAATAATACTCCTTAATAAGAAGAAAAAAAACATAAAAAGAAAAAAAATTATAATATTCCCACTATTTAAAAATGAACAGTTCCTTTCCAAAAATTCCTTCCAAAAATTCTAAAGCCTAATTCACACTATTCTAAACAAAACAAAAAATTGTAGAAGAAAAAAAAAATGTACCCTATTTGTTTAAAAACAAAAACAAAAAAATATTCACAAAACAAAATGAAAAAGAAAAAGAAAAAGAAAAACATAAAAGGAAAAAAAAAAAAACATACATTTTTGTTTTTAAAACGCATGTCTACCCACTTCAAACATTTTTGCTTAATTTAAATTAAAAAAAAATTATTAACATATATATTAACTACAGAATGATTCATAATGTCTCTATAAAAGTTTATAACTCTTTAATTTCTGATTTGGAGTCTCTCCAAATGCACCAAAATTATTTTTCAATTTATTTTCAATTCATTTACAAGCCTCTTGATTTATATAATTTCCAATTTTTCTTTTTAAAAATTCTAATGATGTGTCATTAAATCACCTTATTTAACTCTCACAAATTAAAAATAAGAAAAAACAAACATAAAAGAAAAAAAAAATTATAATATTCCCACTATTTAAAAGGGAACCCGTTCCTTTCCAAAAATTCTAAAGCCTAACTAACATTATTCAAAAAAAAAAATGTAGAAGGAAAAAAAAAGTACCATATTTGTTTAAAAACAAAAATAATAAATACAAGCAACAAAAAGAAAAAGAAAAACGCCAAAGAGAAAAAAGAGAGAGAGAAAAAAAAAAACATACATTTTTTCAAAAAATTCTAAAGCCTCATTCACACTATTCCAAACAAAACAAAAAATTGTAGAAGAAAAACAAAATGTACCCTATTTGTTAAAAACAAAAACAAAAAAATATTCACGCAACAAAATGAAAAAGAAAAAGAAAAACGTAAAAGGAAAAAAAAAAAAAAAAAAAAAAAAGAACATACGTTTTTGTTTTTAAAATGCATTCCCACCCTACTTCAAACATTTTTGCTTAATTTAAATTTTAAAAAATTATAAACAACCTTTTAATTTCTAGTTATTAAGTGTAATAATTTATTTCCTTTTAAATATTATGATATAAAGGTTACAACCCTTTAGGTTTCTACCATTACATCTGATTTGGAGTCCCTCCAAATGCAGCAAAATTATCTTCCAGTTTATTTTCAATTTATTTACAACCTTTATGATTCATATAATTTCCAATTTTTCTTTATAAAAATTCTAATGATGTGTCATTAAATCACCTTATTTAACTCTCACAAATTAAAAATAAGAAAAAAAAAAAAACATAAAAGGAAAAAAAAAAAAAACAATAATATTCCCACCATTTAAAAAGGAACCCGTTCTTCAAAAAAAAAATGTAAAAGGAAAAAAAAAAAGTACCATATTTGCTTAAAAACAAAAATAAATAAATACATGCAACAAAAAGAAAAAAAAAAAAAAAAAACATACATTTTTTTTTTATATAAAAAAATTTAACTCTAACACATAAAATAAAAAAGAGAGAAAAAAAAAGTAAATGAAAAAAAACAAAAATCTATAATATTCCCACTATTTAAAAGGGAAACCATTCCTTCCCAAAAATTTTCTCCTTACAAATTCTAGAGCCTAATTCACATTATTCCAGACAAATAAAAAAAATTGCAAAAGAAAAATAAAAGTACGATTTTTGTTTAAAAATATTACTAATAATATTTTTAAATTATGCGGCGGTTCATTATTCACAAAGTTTTTTAACAGACATTTCTTTTATTATGTGATGGCTCATCATCACAAGGTATGCTTGTGAGTTACCTGAATCTTAAATTATGTGATGGCTCATTACAATCTTGTTAAAACGATACATTACTGCCTTCTATAGCAATGATGGTGAGAGAGTGCACGAGGTGGGCATGATAATGACAAGCAAAGCAACAATGTTTACTATAATGAATTTAGCATCCTCATTCTTCTTCCATTTTTCATATTTCAATTCCAACAATTTCTTATATATATATATATACATACCAAGTTATTCATTTTTTATTAACTTAATAATATTTGTGCATTCTCACATAGTAGTACTAAAATAAAACATCTCAGTTTTTTCCTTCTTTCTCTTTTAGCAAAAACAAGTGACCCTCCAATTTGTTCCTATCAATAAAATTACTCTATTTAATTATATATAGAAGTTTTGTTACTTGAAATAAAAAATTGAAAAAAATAAAATTTTATTTGTTTGCAGGAAATTCTTGAAGATATTTGGATATAAAGGTGTCAAGTACTCTCGCAGCAGTATTGGGTAAGTTGACTCTCCAACTTTAGCAACAATATTGGATAACCTTAAGCCATTTCTTACTTTCTTGTTTGCAATTATTTTCAAGTACTATGATTTATGGAGTAAATTAGTCAATTATAATTAATTGTCAAAAAATAAAAATAAAAAATTAGAAGGAATATTAAATACTAAAACTCTTTAAGTAAGAAGAAATATTATTTATTGAGAAATATTGGCATGCAAGTGATTGGTGTTTGCATTTTTAATTCATGATCGAATTTGTGATAGTTATATGTTACATATTAAATTTTTTTAGAAATTCTCCCGTTTTCTCATAAGTCTTTAGGAAGTCATGCTCCATTTAAGGTGAAATATAATCCTTCTGACTTTGAATATGAATATAACAACTCAAATCTCTTGTTTTCCCTTAAGTGGATTATGTTATGATGCAATGGACTTTCCATCATTCATTTTCAAGAAAGAAAAAAAAAATACACAAGATTTTGGCATTTTCGGTGGGGTGTTTTTTTTATTAAATTTTATTTTATTTTTGTATAGGTTTCAACAATTTACCAAAGAAAATTTGGGAAGAATATGCAAGTTGTGACAACTATATTTTAGACTTATGATTGCAAGCCAAAAATAATTTATATATTCATAATTGCTGTTTTGTTTTTGAGATGTGAACTTATTTGTACAAGTTTAAAAAAGAAATATTTAAAAGAGAAGAAAAAAAAAAATAGAACAGTTTATGATGTTTTACAATATTACTATGTCTCTACAAATATATATAAAAAGTGGTCTATATGATAGCACATTATATCATATTTCATTTCTACACTTAAATTCTTCAACTTATTATTTTTTATAATTTTAAGAAATTTTAAATGTAATTTTTTTTCCAAGGATTTTTTTTTTTTTTTTAGTGCACTTTTGCTAGTGTGTGTGTATATATATATATATATATATATATATATATATATATATATATATATATATATATATATATAATTTCAAGATTATATATGTATACATATAATATAAAACTAACACCACAAAATATTTAATTGGTGAAAACATGGAGGGGACGAACGTGTTTATTTTGTGAAACTTGATATTCCCTGAATATGAGTATTTTCAATATGTCCGAGTCTATATACATACTTTTACAATAAGATAAATGTTGTGTTGGTTTTGGCATCATCTCAATTTGTTTTTGTTTTAGTCTATGATCATGGAGCGTGAGATGCACAAGTTCAATTATCATCCTGGTTGTTCATCAATGCCTGTAATTGGATGTTATCTTGATTGAGTCTATTTACATTCCAAAAATTTAAAAAATTAAATTATATGAACATTGTTATGTATATCCTTGCAACCACGCCTACTCCCATATGTCAGAGGGAGAAAGAGAAAGATTTTGTTTCTAAAATCAAAGTTATTATGGGTTGATTGCATCTCTTTTAAAGATTTTGCATCTCATATATATATGTATGTATATATATTACAAAATCAATAAATATATGGAAGTTGCTGAAAAGAAAAAGATAGAAAGAAACAAGACGGAAGTCGCTGAAAAAAGAGTCCCACCAGAAAGTGAAAATAAAGAGAGAAATAGAGGGGAGAGACTTTCCAAAAAAAGAAAAAATAAATTAGAGGAGATAGGGGATATTTTGATTTTTTATTATTATATTTTATATTTTATTATATGGGTATTTTAGACATTTCAATGGTTTAATTTACCTAATGTCCTTATTTGCACAAATTGTAAAATGCAGGGGTGTTTTATGAACAACAGGGGGTGAATTGCACATTTTGTATATTATGAGGGGGCTTTTTGCACTTAACTCATTTTTCATTTTTAACCTTTCTAAAAATTTGAAATAGATATAGAATTTTTAGAATTTTAAATAATAAGGGTATATTAGTAAAAATAATACCTTCTAACCAAACAAAAATAATGTGTCACCAATACATCATTTTTATTACCCATACCATTCATTCAACCAAACAAAACAGTGGATTCAATTATCTATTTTTGTGTTTATTTTTTCTCTGTTGAATTTTTGCTCAAAATCTATTTTTAGTTTTTAAAAGTCCTTTACTATTAGTTATTTTGTTTATTTTTAGTGGATTTCAAGTATACATTTATATATTTTATTAATTAATTGTTTGCTTATAATCATGCAAAGATATATAGCTAATGAGCACCTTTTGAAAAATAACTTTGTTGAGTTTGGTCATATAAGTTTTGGTCATTTAAGTTGTACTCTGTATTTTAGCTTTTGTTCTTAACTTTATGTTTTTTTTTTTTTTTTCAATTTAATTAAGTAAAAAGTATAGAATAACATTTTATTCTAATTTGATTATGTGTCTCTTACACTTAATAATTAAGAAAAATAGAAGTTGTTTGGTGAATATAAAATAAGTTAAAAATTTATAAAATGCTTGCGTCCTTTAGGAAAGAAAGGACGTGTCAGTTTATTAAGAAAATTAATACCAATAATTTAGTTTTAAAAAGAATTAACTCTCTATTTCAATCAATTAAAAGAAATCTAAAATTACTAAAATAATCTAAAATCAATTAACCAACCAGAACCCAATAATTTATGTAAACCAATTTTAAAAAGCAACATGAATAAACTTAATACCACGATCACGAACATGATTTCTTTGTTAGAGTCTCCCTCCCCTTGGTTTATTTGATTCGATTTATGCTCGTTTATACATATAATTGTTTCTTTAGGCATAAAGGAGCTCAATCGAGTTGAGTATGAGCTAACTTGAACATTCTTTAGGCATAAATTGTTAGAATGTTTCTCAAGTTCATTATAACGCGTATTGCTCCATTTGAGATGAAGAAATCTTAAGCTGAGGTGGAGTTATGAATAAATCCTTGTTCGAGGTGGAACACGCAAATACATAATTTGATCATGTGTTGATTACGTGAAATATTTGGGAGGGTCAAATTTGCAAATTTCGGTGTCTTGATTTTGGCTATTGCTAAGGTTGAACCGATTGAAGTGGCTTTGAACCGGTTCAAGTGTGGTGTCAATTTTTGGTTGCTACCAAAGTTGAAACGGTTTAGAAAGAGCTGAACGGGTTCAACTTGGATAATGAGTTACTGGAAGGAAGTTGCGAGAAACAGTTTCCTAATCAGTTTTGAAAGGCTAAAGATTTGGGGAATAAGTTGTACCTGCTATTTTAGAGTCGAAGATGAATATGCTATTTTAAGTTGCGAAATACTTGTTCGATGCGGAATTGGGTTTTAAAAACTCTATAAATAGAGATGGGTATGAAAGGTTTAGAGAGAGAGGAGAGAGAAAAAATGTAAAGGGTTTAAGGATGAGTGTTATGAGAAAAGAGGAGAGTATATGTAATTCATGAGTGTATACATGTAGCCTTAAAAGAGATGATGAGTGAGTAAGTGGGGTTTTGATATGTGGTTGTATATTCACTTCCTTAATTCATAATAGTAGAAATCTCTTTCTCTATAGATGTAGCTTTAGAGTTCGGTGAACCATATAAAATATTGTGTTGTTCGTGGATGTGTATAATTTGTTATCTCCATATATGTTTGTGTTGATGTGATGTGATGACACTTCCGCTGTGTATGATAAATGAGGGATTTAAGTCTCAACAACAGCCTACCGTTGAGTGGGTTGGAGGGAGTTAATTGTTCCCCAACAACTGGTATGAGAGCCGATAGTGGGTCAAAGCCTGTGATTGGTCCTGAAGATTAGTAGAAGAAAATTAGTGCGAAATTTGTCAAAGTAGAAGATGATCGTGAGATGCTATGGAGATTCAATCAGAATTGATAATGACATGAAGGTATGAAGAAGATAGATGGTGCGAATATACAAGCCCACGAGGAATAAGTCTTGGGACAAGCTGGAGGATGCTCATTTTTCAAGATAAGGCAAATGTGATAGGGGTGAAGCCCATGAGGAATAAGTTTTGGGGACATGCCAAAAAATATGCTAATTCTCAAAATGGGGCAAGGGTGTGAAGAATAAAAGGGTTTGCTCTAAGCCCGATAAAGACCAAAGGGGAATATGAAGAGTGAAGATGAGAAGTTTGTTGCTTTGAACCAGAAAAACAATTGATGAAAATGAATGAAGATTAGTGGGTTGCCATGCGTGAGCAATTAAACACCAATGGGGTGGATGGAGAAGGTAGAAGAAAAAAAAAAGAATGATGAATTTTGAGAAAATGTGGGGATTGTTAGAGTGTTTATCAAGTTTATCATTGTGCATGGTACTTTATTTGAGGTGGAGAGAAATCTTCAGTTGAGGTGGAGCTATGAATAAATCTTCAGTTGAGGTGGAGCTATGAATAAATCTTCAGTTGAGGTGAACCAATGGAGGAGCATGTAAAAACATAGTTTGATCACGTGTTAATTATGTACGTGGAATATTTGGGAGGGTCAAATTTGTAGATTTTGGTGTCTTGATTCTGGCTACCGCTAAAGTTGAACAGGTTCAAGTGGCTTTGAACCGATTCAAGTGTGGCGTCAACTTTTGGCTACAACCAAAGTTGAACCGATTTAAAATGAGCTGAACTGGTTCAACTTGGATAATGATTTATTGGAAGTTGTGAGAAACAATTTCATAATTTGTTTTGGAAGGCTGAAGATTTGGAAAAGAAGTTGCCTTAGCGCTTTTAGAGTAGAAGACGGTTATGATAACTCCTTGTAAGCAAATTGGGGAATACTTGTCCAATGAATTGGGTTTTGAAGAGATTATAAATAAGATTAATATGAGAGGTTTAGAGAGAGAGAGAGAGAGAGAGAGAGAAGAGAGAAAAAATGTAAGGGGTTTAAAAATGAGTGTTGTGAGGAGAGGGGAAAATATATGTAATTTCTGAGTGTATACATGTAGCATCAAAAGAGATGATAAATGAGTAAGTATAGTATTGACATGTAGTGGTATATTCTATTAATTGATTCATAATAGTGAAAATCTCTCTCTCCATGGACGTAGTCTTAGAGTTGGTGAATTATGTAAAATATTGTGTTGTGCATGGATGCGTATGATTGTTATCTTTATATATGTTTGTGTTGATGTAATGTAATGATACTTCCGTTGTGTGTGATGAAGGAGGAATTTAACTCTCAACAACAACCGACCATTAAATAAGTTGGAGGGAGTTAATTGCTCCCAATATAAATAAACGAGCTCAATCGAGTTGAATTTTAGCCAACTTAAATGTAGTTTGAACTCGATCAGAACCGATCAAAACTCGATTGAGCTTGATCATCTCTACAAGATTAACGAGCCGAATCCAAACACGTCAAAACTCGACTCGGCTGGGCTACCCGTCCTTAGTCTCTAACTTAAGGTGGTTGAGACTTTTTTTTTTGAAAGTATTTTATTTTATTTTTTTTTAAGGTGGTTTAGACTTTTGAGTAAATAAATAGGTTTGGTTCATTATTATTTTTTTTTTTAGTTTTACACAAAAAGGATATTTTTTATGATCCCAGCAAAAGCGATAATATGGCTTGACCACGTTGAATTCGGATTGGATTTCGGTAGAAATTTTCAGTCACAATATTCATTACTCTTTCCGAACCTTTATGATTAACCCGTAAACTATCTAATCTGGTTAGGTTGTCTTGCAAAGTAAAACCTTAAACAAATCAATTTACTCATGTTTTTTTAAAATTTTGTTTCAACAATCTTTCTCAATCATTTTCATTGTTATTGTTATAATCATTAATATTATTCAACTTTTTATTTGAATTTTTCACAACATTAATCCATATTGAGATTTTTCTGGATTTCCCAAAAAATGTCTCTGATCAATAACCATCACCTCTCAACTTCAATTTCTTCATCTTCTTCTACCTTCATTTCCCAAAACAACTTCTTCTGTATAAGGTATCCCTACTCACTCTCCCTGTTTGGTTGCTGAGAAAGTAAAGGAAAAATAAAAAAAATTGAAATCTCGGGGCGCCCTTTCCATTTTCATGAATATTTTTTTTAATTACATTTGTTTTTATTGATGCAGAACTCAGAATGTTTCGCTTCCTATGAGAAACAATGGGATTTATAAATGTGCTGCAACTCCTCCCGCCAAAAAGACCGGTACACATCATTATTTGCATTATAATTTCAATATTTTTCGTTTGGTTGCTGGGAAAACGAAGGAAAAAGATTCAGCGTTTCGTTTTCTCTAGGTAATAGATGACAGTGTAATGGGTTCTACTAGGTTATAAAAAAATAAAAATAAAAAGTAATAATATTTAGGCCTATTTGTGTGGCCGAAGAATCTAACCTAACCTAACCGATGGGGTTTTTATTCATTTAATGTTGTGGATAAGTTGAAGTCTGGATTCTATCTACCACATTAATGGGATGGAAACTCTTGGACTAAACAAATAGATTAGAGATCGAAATCAGTCCAAGTATCATTTTTCTTGAAGAAATTGTATTAGTAAAACCAGCAAGTTTGACAACATTTGCTTCAATTTGTGAAGGTTATAAGACAAATGTCTCTCGTAACTCAAACATGGCTAAACTTCAAGCTGGCTACCTTTTCCCAGAGGTATATTACGGATTTTGCTATATCTCTTTGTTATCATGCAATGTGCTTCCATTGATATTGAAAACATCATTCACATGAGCATTTCGATCGTATTGTAGCACATGTTTTGTTTGCCATACCAGAGGCTGCGAAATTTACTTAGTTGGATACATGTTTTGATATTAGTTCTTAGTGTGCCTTGCCTGAAAAATTGAAATAACACCTACCTGTATTAACCTGTGGCTTATATCCTTTGAAGGAAAGGAGACTCCTATAGGGACATTACAGTTTCATCATTATTACCCTTTTTTGTTGGGTCATAAGGAGAAATTGTAAATTCATGGAGGATATTGTTGATCTTTCGGACTCTTTGTGTAGCTTCTAAGGGATGCGTTCCCCTTTTGAACGCCTTTTCCAATGCATATATTACTTGTCAAAATAAAAAACTAAAAAAAATGATCTCTATACAATTGTCAAAATTATAGCAAAAGTTTTGTAAGTAAATGGATAAAGAAAGCATTGATTAACTAATAGGTGGGGGAAAAACAAATTAGTTGAGGTGCTTAGAATGTATCTTCATTGAGATTGGATCCGAATCTCGTAGTGGATAGTTTGTGAAATGTGTGAGTACTTACCTAACCGAGAAATAAAAAAGCTAGAACCAGCACTCTTATAAAAGGATGGGTTAATTTGGTGAAAATAGAACTATTCTTCATGTTTGACAGATCAATGAAGATCTTAGTAACATCCGAACGATCCCATTTATCTCAGCAATATAGTCCAATATGCTGCAAAACAGAATAATTTGTCTTACATATCGAGAGGAAAAAAGGGTTAGTCTTGACAATTTCATTGCCAGTAATTTTGATGCAGCATCTTCATTGAGATTGGTTGGTTGGTTCATGTATGTAAATTAATTTTTAAAAGCCAATAGTTTCTGTTATAAATCAGGATTGATAAAGTGATTAGTGTTTGTACAAAAATGAAACTAAACAAATTTTGAAACTTAGGTTGCTAGAAGAAAGAATGCACACTTGTTGAAGTACCCTGATGCACAAGTTATAAGCCTTGGCATTGGTGATACTACTGAGCCTATTCCGGAAGTTATAACTTCTGCTATGGCAAAGGTACGTGCTTTATTTTACGTTTTGATGTAAATGTCTTCCTTTTTTTTTCCACAGAAGCAATTTATATTTTTAATTGTTCATAAATGAGCATAAATTTTGTGAATTATGGTGTTAATTTTGGTTGACATTCAAGATATTGTGCAGAAAATTGTGCAGCTTGAATTTCGATTAATTCTACTGTATTTCTGCTTTAAATTCTAGTATGTCTTGATTTTGAATGGGTTTGTGTTGATTATAGACTAGATTCAGTTTATCAATGTTTATTTTTTCCTTGCATATTCTTCTGTTTGATTCTGCTTGAACGCTCTTTTTCGCTGAACTCATTGCACTTACCGTCATTACCCTTCGGTTTTCTATGAAGCATTATTCTGTGAAGATAGTCAAATTAATCAGTGATAGATTCCTAGGTTTTGTTTTAAACCTAAATCATTACCCAATCTGTTTGTCAAGTATCAACTTTGAGGTCTAGTGGTCTTAGCTTGAAGGCTACGGAGCTGTGTGATCATTAGTCTCTCTCTCTCTCACACAGACACACACACAAAACACAAAATTAGCCTTAATCCCAACTACCTGGAGTAGGACCACAGTTTGGGTTGACACATACCATGGACACATTTTTAAATATGTCGCATGAAAGTAATTGTTGTGATTATTTATATCTCAACTGGTTTGTTAATTGAACTGTGATGATCTACCAGTTTCTTACTTGTTCAACTTGTGCCAGAGGTCACACGGGCTATCAACGATAGAGGGTTACACCGGTTATGGAGCTGGACAAGGTGAACAAGTAGGTGATCGATGTTCTTTATTTGCTACTGACTGCTTAAATGTTTGTAGTCACAAAATTTAAAATTTTATCCTTTTCATACTAAACATGTTTTTGTCAAATAAGTTCCAATGTGGCTAATTTCCACTTTTCATTGTCTTTGTGAAACCTTGATATTGCTGGAAGAGTAACAAAAATTGTTGATGTGGTCAGCCTTTGAGAGCTGCGATTGCTTCAACCTTTTACTCAAACCTTGGCATAGACGATGCTGATGTATTTGTCTCTGATGGCGCGAAATGCGACATATCCCGCCTTCAGGTTTGATTTGGTTTCTAGTATGTTTCGAAATTTTCACTTAGTTTCCACAAAGTTTGTTCATTCTTTATCTCATTCACAGTAGATGAATTCCTTTGTCAAATGATGGCCTCTTGTCTGAATCTTATAAGCACCGGAGTTCATTTGCTTATTAACTAATGCTATTGAGATTACCTGACTTTTCTTTGTTCTTCCTTTACGGCAGGTCCTTTTTGGATCTGGTGTTACAATGGCGGTGCAAGACCCTTCATATCCGGTAGGTAGTTCATACTTCAGCACAAGAAAGAAATGTTGGGCTTGAATGGTTTGTAATTCTAAAAACAGTTCTAAAAAATTCAGAAAACAGAAAACTGTTTCCAGAAAACTATAAAAGAAGATTATCTGAAAACAAGCCTTTTTGCAACTGAGTTTTCACAAAACGGTTTTCAAAAAACTAAACCAAGCAGAGTATTTGAAAACAGAAAACTATTCTCAGAGTTACAAACTAAGCGAGCCCGTTATCTCTAGTAGTTTTAACTAGTCGTATGTTTTCTACGTTCTACCTATTATTCATTCCCACATCTTGAATTACAAGTTTGAGCTGATCTCATCATCTCTTGCTAGGCTGTTCTGTTCAGGTTGTTTTTGTTTTGTTTTTTTTTTATTTTTCACATATCTTTTTATAAGAATTAAGGCTTGTGCCTGATTTATAATTATTAGGTGTTCAAGATTTATGGAAAAATTCACAGCTTCCTTTTAACTTATTGTTAAATTTTATAATACTAGTAATTATCTAGTTCAATATTAAGGCACACGATGAGTATTCTTTTGCTACTCCTAATTAAATTGCTGATAACATTGTTTTTTCTTTGTTTTATATCACAGGCATATGTAGACTCAAGTGTTATTATGGGTCAGACTGGCCAGTTCCAAAAGGATGTCGAGAAGTATGGAAAAATCGAATACATGAGATGTTCTCCAGAAAATGGTTTCTTTCCTGATTTATCCACCGTCTCTCGAACAGATGTCATATTTTTCTGTTCACCTAACAATCCAACTGGTTCTGCTGCATCAAGGAAGCAACTTACTCAGTTGGTTCAGTTTGCCAAGAAGAATGGGTCGATTATAGTTTATGATTCCGCATATGCCATGTACATGTCAGATGACAACCCGCGGTCCATCTTTGAAATTCCTGGAGCCAAAGAGGTAGCTTGAAAATAATGGTGTATTTTCTTCCCAACATGTTTTGGTTTTATTAATTTCTGCTATCTTTTTACTTAATAATTTTCTCCCACTTGATTGTTTTGGTGAAATCCTGCTATCTTCATTCTAACCATTTTTTCCCTGATTTTCTAGTTTCATTTTTGGATGTTTGAACACATATTCTCTAAAATCTTAAGCTGTTAGAGAGTGTGTAACTCAATTCTTTAAGTACTCTAACACCGCCCCACGTGTGCCTGGCTTTCGGTCCTACACATATATCAATTACGATTATGCAGGTGACTCTGAGATTTAACTCAGGACCTTGTTTGTTCTAATATTATGTTGACTGCAATCTTTCTAAACACTTGAGACATTAGAGAGTGTGTAAGATCATTATTTAAGTCATATAACAGGAACCTTTATGGTGAAGAGACTTATTTTATGGATAATTTTCTGGTTTATGAGGTCATAATAAAGCAGTCGGGAGAATCTCAAATTTCATGTCAATTGCAGAATTGCATATACCTTTGATATAACATGTTTATATGTTTTGGTCATCTTTGGATGTCCCATTGAAGTTGAATAACTGCATAGTAATGCTACTAGTTGTGTCCTTGGTATTTGATATGATATTAATTTTTTTCGAAATATCATCATTATTAGAGTTATGCTGAATGCATCAATGTTTGAGGGTTGAACATCAATCGCTTATGAATCACAACTGGTGACTTCAATTTAACATCTAATGCAATTATTTCATCATATTTTTTGGTCATAGTAAAAATTTACTTCATAAACCTCTAATGCAATTATTTCATCCTTTTTTGGTCATAGTGAAAATGTTACATCATAATATCGAAGTCGAAATTTCAAACTTTAACGGGGTACATTTTGCAGTCAACTACTAATTCTCCCCATTGTTGATGCCCTCTGCAATGCGTCATCTTTGAATTGAATTTTTTATTCTGAAGTATGAAGTTTAGGTTTCGTTTCCATGAGGTTATTGTGTAGCAAATGTGGGTATCAGACCTGCATAAGAAAACTATGTTTGCAAAAAATGACTTTGTGCTGAAATCATGTTCTGATTTGTTATCAGCATCCGGTACCATGAGCGATTTGCCCATGGATGGTGCAAAATTTGGTTTGTTGGAGACGACCAATATTGTGGAAATTATTATACATTCTTATTTTTCCCCTAGACAACTTTTTAGAATTTCTCACCATCAAAAAGCTATCATTAATGTGATCATATGATTTAAATCTGGTAGAGCTTTTGGTTTAGGATGAGCTATTGTATGCTACATTTAGGGGGTTTCGAATTTGTATCTTTTGATTCTTCTTAAGGGGAGTATTCCATCAGCTATATCTAATATAAATTTGAAGTCGTGTCCATCTATGGAAATTGCAGGTTGCAATTGAGACTGCCTCATTTTCGAAGTACGCAGGGTTCACTGGAGTTCGTCTGGGATGGACTGTGGTTCCAAAAGAGCTTCTCTTTTCGGATGGGTTTCCTGTTGCCAATGATTTCAACCGCATTGTTACTACTTGCTTCAATGGTGCATCCAACATTGCCCAAGCTGGTGCTCTTGCATGCCTTTCACCAGAAGGTCTTAAGGTCAGTTAGGTGGTCTCAGGTTCTTCATTAATTTTCAGGGGGGGGGGGGGGGGGGGTGGTGGGGGTAGATTTTGTCAAGTTTTAAGTGTAAATAGGGTCACACATTTAACCACAAGTACACAATGATTTTACAAGGAAATTTTCTCTCAATTAGAGATCAAAAACCTTTGTTCTTGGCAGTACTAATTGTAATGCAAGTAGATACACACACAACTGTCTCTCACTCTGCACGCACCCTAGCTCACAACAATGTACACATGCACTCCCCCTATCCTACACAACCTTGCTTGGATCCTATGAGCTCTCATAACTCACCAAATACATATATAAAGATGTATTACGACAATACTTAAGTTATTACACAAGAAATTAGCGAGAATACAACTTAAAGTATCAACCACAAAAGCAAAACCTCATTCTGCAGAATCTGTGCTCAGAGGGGTAAACCTGGAATTTCGTATTGTCACAGACTTGTAGATGGTACCCTCAACCTTATATCAACATTATACACCTTCTCATATGATGTTCTCAATGGTTCAAGCAAGGATATCACTTTCACAACTCAACAGGGCTTATGTCTAAAGAAAACCTTAAAACCTTGGGTTTCAAAGGCCAAAATACCAAATGACCATTTCTCTATGCAAATATCAACTTGTACAACCTTGAATCAACTATAGAAACTTGCTTAAATGATAAGAGTTCAACTCACAGCAAGATGACATACATATATACTTATGATAGAAGGCTAAACCAGAAAAAACAAGGCATACATGGAGGTTTGAGACATCAAAATGAACTACATCATAAATATGTGTATGAACAATGATTCTGCAGATGTCAAATAGTAAAACAAACTTGCCTCAACCTATGGACACCTTTGAAATGGCCTCAAGCATGGAATGAACCTCTGTACTAACCCTTTGCACCAGAAAAACAACAACATACAGCCTTGTCCACGATCTTCAAATACACACTCGCACTATATGAATTAGCTCACAAATAAGTCTCACAACTTAGTAAAATCTCATTGTTCTTAGTGTCTCGAGTGCTTGTCACAATGTAGCTCAAGGGTGCTCACTCATAAGGCATAAAAAGGCACAATGCTATAATATGATATATATAGGGTACATTGATCTGTAATCTTACCCTAAAGAGGAAATCCACATGGCATCATTCTCTAATCATTGGCCAGAGAATGTCTTGACATTCCTTGAGCAAAAAACCACAATGCCCTACCACCTTGCATATTTGTCCTCTAGTCACCTTGCCTTTTGACAGCTTGCATATATATACACACACACACACACACACAGTAATACACATCAAGCTTAACCACTAATCAATGCATAATGACTCTCATTTTCTCACACTAAGACCACAGAGCATGTGTCACACATTTGTTCATCATTTGTAAAGATCAAAATACCCCTGTAAGGGACACTAGTCAATATATATAGAATTATGTAGCAGCAACTGTGAACACCTAATCAACATGTAATTCTAAGCAATGCAATGCAATGCACTATCTCAAACAAATGTATAATAACATAATACATGTGTGAAAAGATTTAATTGCCCTTGAATGGTTATGTAGCCAAATATCACATTCTGAACCAGTTCTGTAAATCCTAATTTGCCTGTAATAAGAACTGTCAACATAATGTAGCTTCCTCAAGCTATCTTAAGAGATATCTTATGAATGTAAAGTGACAATGCTACCCCTGTAAGCCTCTATAATGCACCGAGTATATCAGAGCCACTTGAAACTCACATAAATGGACCTGTAACAGCTTTTTGACATTTAAAAGGACAAATCCTAATTCAAAGATGGGACTAACAGAGGGAACTAGATTGAAGCATTGTGTTACATTTTTCTTTTGAATAATGACAAGTAGTATTTTTTGTGGGTGGGGGATGACGTTAATAAATATGATGATGTCATTATAATGTCATCCTAAATTTAGTTGACTTTGTTTCATAACTCATTATTATTATTATTATTATTATTGAGCTCCTATAATCCATGGATTTTGCGCTGTTCAGGCTATGCATGAGGTGATTGGCTTCTACAAAGAAAATACTAATATTATAGCGGAGACTTTTAACTCACTTGGCTTTAATGTCTACGGAGGGAGAAATGCACCTTATGCATGGGTTCATTTTCCCGGTCGAAGTTCATGGGATGTGTTCGCTGAAATTCTCGAGAAGACGCACGTTGTTACAACCCCTGGCAGTGGTTTCGGACCTGGTGGTGAAGGTTTTATTAGGGTTAGCGCCTTCGGTTGTAGGGCTAATGTGTTAGAAGTATGTAGAAGATTCAAGCAGTTGTACAAGTGAGGATGATTTCATTTGTCTCAGCCATATCTGGCTTTCTGTGATTGTATTTATTAATCCTTCTGCATTCTAGTTGTGCTTATATTTTCATGAATGTTCAAGCAATCTATCAGTGAGTAAGTTCTAATAATAGAGAGTCAGATTTATCAGATTTATATATTTCATAATAAATTGTTGGTGTTTTTTTAACTTTTATTTAACAAAAATGCATGCTGAAAAAGAAAAGAAAGGATACCATTAGCTAGTAAAGATAAGAAAAGAAAGGAAAAGAGACAATTTGATAAACCTACTTTTGTGTTTGATTGAAATTAGGGAAGCCAATATATAAATATGTGATAGAAACTCTTTCTAAATGAATAAATATATGATAGAAATTTAAAATAGTATAAAACTATACTTTTAATAAGTAAATAAATAAAGTTTGATTGAAAAGAAAATCTAACCAGGGAAGAAACATATAACTATGAGATAGAAACTCTTTCTGAAAAAAATAAAAATAAATGATAGAAACTCAAAATAGGATGAATTTTTTTTACCGGAGTTATTCATTAATTTAGTTGTGAAATGAATTTTTGGAATGAGTTTTTATTCCAAGAGAATGGTCATTTCCACTTTAAATTAATTTCATATCAAAAAAATGAATGATTTGAATGACATTCCATTCCATTCCATTCATGGATAAGAGATTCGTAGCAAATATAAATGACTAATAATTAAAACTAAGTACATGATAATACACTAGGGGTAATTTTAAAGAAAGAAAATTAATTACCTTAGATACAGGGAAAAAAATTATAATATACATTTTAAATTAAAATAAATGATGAACACATCATTCATGTAATAACTTGTTGGTCCCAGCTTTTATTTAAGGTTTGTCCTTTGAATGTTAGAAGTTTGATAACAGGTCAATTACTGTGATATACTAGGAACTATAGTGTGCTCAAGCTATTTCAATGATGAACAGGGGCATTATGGCTATTTTAAATATGAGAGAGCTCATTTTAAATTGATTAAAGAAGGCTCATTCAGGGGCAATTCAGTCTTTTCACACGTGATATATAATTATGGAATAATTACACTGACCTTCCTTGAGGTTTCGTCAACATACACAGACCTTTCTTTTTATTTGTCAAATTACACTGACTTCCCTTCCATGAGATAGATGAGTGAAATTACAATTTTATCCTCACTATATTTATTTTATGTTATTGCAAAATGATGAATTTTGTTTGCCTTGTCGCTGTTGCCGCCAAAGGTCTCTTCGACGGCAAATTCGTCAGGATCTGTAAACAGAAAGAATGTGCGATCAGGTGGTAATAATTGAATAGCAAGATTGGTGGCGGTTGTGGTGGTTTGCTGGTGGAATTGATGGAGAAGTTTCTGTAACTACCCATCATCACTGCTCTCTCACCTTAACATTAAGTTTCTCTCTCTATCTTTATAATTTTGCTTCTGGGTTGTCTACTATTGTAAAACACGGAAGCTAAATTGGAGTGTTAAAACAACAAGTAACTGTGTGTTTGCCTGTGTGAAGAAGTCAGGGTGGAACCAGAGAAAACCCGCATAGAGATATAAGATATTAGATTTAGAGAGAGAAAAAAAGATAGAGAGAAATAAATGGGTCCATGTTGCAATATTGGGTGGTCTCATTGTCTGATATGGAGAATTGATCAGAGTAAGTCCTTTTAACCTTTGCTCTTCCTCTCTCAAAATTTTGTTCCAATACATGATTTTTCCTTTTCGATCTTGTATGGTCTTGTAAGATTTTGTTATGAACATTAACTTTCAAGCAAAGGAGGTGACTAAACTGGTGTCGCATTTTGATAAATAATGGAAGTCTAGTTATGAGAGAGGTTTGTATGATCACTTTTTCTGGTGGAGCATGCAGCTAGTTTTTTTGCAGAGCTGCTGAATTGTAGTATTTAAGTGAAGATGTCCTTTTTAGTCATCATGATCCCTATCATGCATCTTTCGAATAGAGTTTAGTTATAGAGTGCCAAACAGGGTGAAGGCAATGGTAATGGTAAAGATAATACGCAGTATTATCATTGGAGGGCATTTTGGTAAATTTATTTGAGTAAATAAGGTCAAATATGTCTTCACAACAAATAAAAGGGTACTTTAGGAACTTTATAGGATAAAATTTGGTTACATCAGCCATAGTAAACAGGATGACTATTAGCGACTGTTTAACGAAATGAAACAATGTGTTATAGAGATACAAACTTAAAGGGAGATCCGTGTGAATTTGATAAATAAGAAAAAAGGTCAATATATATTGACATAACTACGAGGGAGGTCAGTATAATTTATCCATTTATACTTTCTTTGAATGCTACATTGCATCACAGAGCTCATAAATATATTTTGTTACTATATACACAGGCTGCACCACTCATTTTTTCTATATATTGACTAGTGCCCAGCGGAGGGGCACTCACGTTGTACATGGAGTGTATTTGCTTGACACGTAGACAGTGGTCCTAGAGTGAGAGCATGAGGTCTGCTATGCATTTATTTGGCACCAAGATTGTGTCATATGAGATATGTGTATACAATGTGAGTTGTTGTATTGCTGGTGCACTAAAGTACAAAAGCTACAAAACAGGCAGGGACATTGTGGTCCTTTCATGATTGGTGGAATGTGCCACGTCTATTTCTTTATTAGGGCAGGATTACATCTCAGTGTACTAATATATATACATTGGTATAGCAGCAGCAGCAACCTTCAAGCCTTGACTGAGTGTGGCCTATTTGCGTTTTCCTGTTTAATGTCAAAACTTGGTGTTTCTGCTTAATTCATCACCATTGTTGTGCCCAATTATCAATAGATTTTGTTACAACTTCTAACTAAATTAGTGTGGATTTTAAATCCAAAAACTATCAATTTAGTAGTCCAAACACAACATAAAATAGAATAGACCATCTTTTATCTGTCAGTGACAACAATAATTGCACCCATGGTGTAGCATTACCCTTTATCAAGTGGACCCAATAATTGAAATTTGTTGGTGAGTAGGTAGGTCTTTTTGCTGTCAATTGAAAATAATGGAGTTATCTTTCGATTGCACTCCTCCCACAGTCCCACCCACGTGATAGAAGCTGACCAGCCTGGATTGTTCATCAATTTGGAAAAAGTGAAACTGTTCCTCTTTAGGGAAATTAATTATAATTATTTTCTTTTCTTGTGAAATCTGTAATTGTGGGACATTATTTAGTTACTTATTTGACTAATTGATAGAATGTTCAAATCTCGACAAGTGAAGTCGTCAACCAACGCAACCAAATATAAGTAATGATATATAAGTAATGAAAAAAGAAAACTAAAACCTGGCCCAAATCTGCAGACGAGAGGAACAAAATCAATTAAATCTATGACTTTCTAGTGTTAAATACTTCGGCAGGGTTTCAGGGTCGTTGAACTAATACTTTTGCTTTATGCTTCTTGTTTTTACTAGTGTATTGTAGCAAAGTAAAAGTACAAAGTATATTTGATAACGTTTGTTGTCATTTGAATAGTACTAAAACACTTCTAAAATTGAGACCAAAATTCATAGTATAAAAATGATGCTTTTGTTTGTAGCAAAGAACTGTTCAATTTTTTATTTTTATTTTTTTGTTATTATTATTTTTTTAAATGATATTTTTAACTAGCAATTTAATTTTTTCAAACTTATAACACTTTTAACAAATATGCTTTCATATTTTTGCTCCTAAAAAAATTATATAGTAAATTTACGTTATCAAATAAGTTTTGAAATAATATTGAACCTCCTATAAAATAAAAACTTTACTTCTGTTTTAGATCAAAACAGAAACATGAAGCAAAAGCAATTATCAAATTAACAGGCCCACAGTGAACAACTCCTAAATAAAAATCTTACCGGGGAAGTCAAATATGGACAAAATTTCAAATTCAAGTCAACAATCTTATCACTAAGTTCATGCATCTGGTAACGGTCACTAAAGGCTACCTTACATTAATTCTTAGGGCTCAAGACTTTTTGTACATGCCAACAAATAAAATCAATACTATCAATTAAGCAGAGATCATACGCATGTAAATTACATTAGCAATACTCAACATCTTTTCTTTCCTTCCAACTACTCTCTCTCCCAGCTCCTCAATTAGGTTGTTCAGAGATAGCAATGGACTTTGTGAGCCCAATAGTGGATGTTACATGCCGATTATGTGGTTGCATCGCAAACACTACCAACTATATTCATCATCTCCAACATAATCTCAACTCTTTGAGAATCGAAAAGGAAAAATTGATCGAGCGAAGAAACGATGTGAAGAGACAAGTTGAAAGTGCCGAGAGACGACAAATGTACCGAACGGAACAAGTAGATGGCTGGCTTCGTAGAGTAAACCAGCTGGAGAGGGAAGTGGACCAGATTCTCCTTCAGGGTGATGAAGAGATCCAGAGAAGATGTCTCAAGATTTGCCCCGGAAGTTGCTTGTCTAGACACAAGCTCGGGAAGAAAATATCTAAGAAGCTACGAGTTGTGGCTGGTCTGAACAGTGAAGGGGATTTCAGCACAGTGGCTGTAACATTGGCCCCGCCACATGCCGAAGAAATTCCTCTGGACAGGATTGTGGGCTTGGATTCGAATTTTGACGAGGTCTTGAGACTCGTCAGAGATGATGATAATGGAGTGGGAATCATCGGAATATATGGAATGGCTGGAGTTGGGAAGACGACTCTATTGAAGAAACTCAACAATGAGCTTGCGACTCGGTTCAGTGGAGAGTTCGATGAGGTGATATGGGTTGTTGTGTCCAGAGATGTAAGTAGCGTCGAAAGCGTTCAAGATAAAATTGGGAAGAAGCTAGGATTTCCAGGCACGTGGCGGAGCAATAAAAGCCAAGATGAGAAGAAACAAGACATCTTTAGGTTCTTGCGGTGGAAGAAATTTGTGCTACTTTTGGATGACATATGGAAGCAGATTGATCTTCTCGAAGTGGGAGTTCCAGTACTTTCATACAAGGCCAAGGCAATATTCACCACCAGATCTGAGGAGGTGTGCGGTCTTATGGAAGCCAAGAAGAAGATTAAAGCGGAATGTTTGGTATGGGAACAAGCCTGGGATTTGTTTAAAGATAAGGTAGGAGAAGAAACCCTTAATTCTGACCCTGAAATAAGAAAGCTCGCACAAGATGTTTGCAAAGAATGCTCCGGTTTGCCACTGACATTGATTACAATTGGACGAGCCATGGCTAGCAAGAGAACCCCCCATGAATGGGATTATGCAGTAAATGTGTTGAAGAAATCAACATTCAAATTTTCAGGTATGGGAGAGCAAGTGTTTCCTCTTTTAAAATTTAGTTATGATAACTTATCTGATGAAACAACTAAGATTTGCTTCCTATATTGTGCTCTCTACCCAGAAGATTGGGACATCTATGTTCCCGATCTCATAAAATTGTTTATAGGTGAGGGGTTTTTGGATGATGAATGTGATAACATCGATGAGGCTTGTAAAATGGCATATGAAATTATTGGTAGGTTGAAGTGTACATGCTTGTTGTTGGAGAGCAAAGAAAGCCGTTCTTTTGTGAACATGCATGACGTGATTCGGGACATGGCATTTTGGATAGTTTCAGAGAATGGAAGGAGGGAGATGAAATATTTTGTGCAAGGAAATCTTAATTTGACCAAAGCACCTCCTATTTCTAAATGGGAGAAGGCTGAGCGAGTATTTTTGTTGAGGAATTCCATTGAAGACTTAAGCGGAACTCCTAGATGTCCCAATCTCTTGACTTTAAATCTTAGTTGTTCCGATCACTTGTCTGGTTTTCTTTCTAATAGTCGTCTAATGACCATTTCTGATAACTTTTTCCAGTTTATGCCGGTTCTCAAAGTTCTGGACCTGTCAGGAAATGAATATTTAACGAAGTTACCGTCAAGCTTTTTCAGGTTGTTTTCTTTACAACATCTTGATCTCTCATTGACAGGCATAACAGAGTTGCCAATTGAGTTTAAGTCGTTGGTAAAGTTGAAATATTTGTATATGAATGAAATGCAAAAACTTGATATGATCCCACCACAAGTCATATCAAGTCTTTCCATGTTGCAAAGAGTGGAGATGAAAGCTAGTGGTGTTTCAAGGGTATTTGATGAAGGTAGCATTTTTTATGGTGGCAATGAATTGTTATTGGATGAATTGGTAAGCTTGAATCACCTGCAATACTTAAGTCTGTCTGTAAAAACTGAACTGGCACTCCAAAAATTACTAAGTTCACAGAAGTTACGAAGTTGCACGTTTGGTTTAGGCATCGAACATTGCCAAGGCTCGAGTTCACTACCACTGTCTTCTCTACAGAAAAATATTAAGAGACTCGAATTTTTAGAAATTAAATTTTGTTATTATTCAGAGGTGTTGTCAATGAGCTGCGATATGATAGATGGAAGCAGAAGCTTCCATAACCTCAGGATAATCTGGATCACACACTGCACGGCTTTTAAGGATCTAACATGGCTAATTTGCGCGCCAAACCTTCGAGAGTTGGAAATTTCTTGCTGTTGTGCAATGGAACAAGTAATAAAAGATGATGATATTGGTAGGGAAGGAAGTTTGGGTGTGTTCGTGAGGCTACAAAAATTGTTTCTAGATGCACTGCCAAGGTTGAAGAGCATCTACAGCCATTCATTGTCCTTCCCCTCTCTGATCCACATTAAAGTGCATGACTGTCCGAGGCTTAAGAAACTTCCTTTTGACTGCAATAGCGGCAAAGACACTCTTCGAACAATTCAGGGTGGAAGAGGGTGGTGGGATAAGTTGGAGTGGGAAAATGAAGAAACTCAATCTGTTTTCTCTCCTCTTTTCAAAGAAGAATGGTGGTAATTGTGAGGAAGAGTTGCCTTATCTCAGTCACAGGTAAAAATCTCCATTATTAACTGCTTGTTTTTGTTTTTTCCCGAAAATTTTATAATATTATGGGGTACCGTACCTGGTCTCTCAGACGTTGGATGTAATGGTAGGACCTACCTGATGGATAATCTAACGGCTAAGAGATCCCGGGGTACCTACAGAACTTCTTGTCCCTGTGAAGTAGTGTCGTGCTTAATGCTAAGTCTCTTTTAATCTTTCTTTTCTCTTTTCAAAGACAAATGGTGGTAATTTTGAGGAAGAGTTGCCTTATCTCAGTCATGAGAAGTCATCCAACAAACAGCTGGGAGACACAGAAGGGACGCTACTCCCATGTATTCTAGAATTTTCCTTCCGTCACAGGTAAAAATCTACATTCTTAATTGCATTTTTTTTTCATCATAACAAATTAGGAGAAGTGGACTCAAACACAGACATACTTATTCGGAGAGCGTGCTCTACCATCTAGGAAGTGGATAATGCCCTCCATTATTATTTGCTTGTTATTATTTTTTTTCATCTTTTCCCGTTGATCTGGTTTGTCCCTGTGAGGTAGTGTCATGCTTAATTCTAAGTCTCTTTTAATCTTTCTTTTGGGGAACAATGACACACAACATATATAATAATAATGTTGTTTACTTGTTATCAATAATGATAAAAATAATATCTACTGTTACTATTATATTACTAGATACTTTATATATGTTTGAAAAAAAAATATTCAGTGCACATTTTTGTAACTTATAATATTTATATAATATATACTTGATAAATCATTGTTTAATTTCTAATCAAATTAAATTTACATTGTTTCCCTTCTTCGATCAATTAAATAAACTTGGGTTTTCCGCAACACATGTCAACAACAGTTATATAAATTATATAATCAATCTTAAATTAAACATCTTTTCTTGTTTTAATATTATTCTTAATAATTTAAACTATACTCTTTGAATTTCATCTGATCTTTTGTTTTAACTAGTCGGATGTTTTCTACGTCCTACCTATTATGCTTGAATTACAAGTTTGAGCTGATCTCATCATCTCTTGCTAGGCTGTTATGTTCAGGTTGGTGTTTTGTTTTTTTTTTTTTTTGTTTTTTTTTTCACGTATCTGTTTATAAGAATTAAGGCTTGTGCCTGATTTATAATTATTAGGTGTTCAAGATTTATGGAACAATTCACAGCTTGCTTTTAACTTATTGTTAAATTTTATAATACTAGTAACTATTTAGTTCAATATTAAGGCACACGATGTGTATTCTTTTGCCTAATTAAATTGCTGATAACATTGGGTTTTCTTTGTTTTATATCACAGGCATATGTAGACTCTAGTGTTATTATGGGTCAGACTGGCCAGTTCCAAAAGGATGTCGCGAAGTACGGAAAAATGGAATACATGAGATGTTCTCCAGAAAATGGTTTCTTTCCCGATTTATCCACCGTCTCTCGAACAGATATCATATTTTTCTGTTCACCTAACAATCCAACTGGTTCTGCTGCATCAAGGATGCAACTTACTCAGTTGGTTCAGTTTGCCAAGAAGAATGGGTCGATTATAGTTTATGATTCCGCAGATGCCATGTACATGTCAGATGACAACCCGCGGTCCATCTTTGAAATTCCTGGAGCCAAAGAGGTAGCTTGAAAATAATGGTTTATTTTCTTCCCAACATGTTTTGGTTTTATTAATTTCTGCTATCTTTTTTACTTAATAATTTTCTCCCAGTTGATTGTTTTGGTGAAATCCTGCTATCTTCATTCTAACCATTTTTTTCTTGATTTTCTAGTTTCATTTTTGGATGTTTGAACACATATTCTCTAAAATCTTAAGCTGTTAGAGAGTGTGTAACTCAATTCTTTAAGAACTCTAACACCGCCCCACATGTGCCTGGTTTTCGGTCCTACACACATATCAATTACGATTATGCAGGTGACTCTGAGATTTAACTCAGGAATCTTTCTAAACACTTGAGACATTAGAGAGTGTGTAAGATCATTATTTAAGTCATCTAACAGGAACCTTTATGGTGAAGAGACTTATTTTATGGATAGTTTTCTGTTTTATGAGGTCATAATAAAGTAGTCAAGAGAATCTCAAATTCCATCTCAATTGCAGAATTGCATATACCTTGGATATAACATGCTTATATGTTTTGGTCATGTTTGAATGTCCCATTGAAGTTGAATAACTGCATAGTAATGCTACTAGTTGTGTCTTTGGTATTTGATATGATATTAATTTTTTTCGAAATATCATCATTATTAGAGTTGTGCTGAATGTACCAATGTTTGATGTTTGAACAACGATCTCTTATGAATCACAAGTGGTGGCTTCAATTTAACATCTAATGCAATTATTTCATCATTTGTTTTGGTCATAGTAAAAATTTACTTCATAAACCTCTAATGCAATTATTTCATCATTTGTTTTGGTCATAGTAAAAATTTACTTCATAAACCTCTAATGCAATTATTTCATCCTTTTTTGGTCATTGTGAAAATGTTACATCATAATATGGAATTTGAATTTTTTGTTCTGAAGTATGAAGTTTAGGTTTCGTTTCCATGGGGTTATTGTGTAGCGAATGTGGTATCAGACCTGCATAAGAAAATTATGATTGCGAAAAATGACTTTGTGCTGAAATCATGCTCTGATTTGTTATCAGCATCCAGTACCATGAGCGATATGCCCATGGATGGTGCAAAATTTGGTTTGTTGGAGACAACCAATATTATGGAAATTATTATACATTCTTATTTTTCCCCTGGACAACTTTTTAGAATTTCTCACCATCAAAAAGCTATCATTAATGTGATCATATGATTTAAATATGGTAGAGCTTCTAGTTTAGGATGAGCTTTTGTATGCTACATTTAGGGGGTTTCGAATTTGTATGTTTTGATTCACCTTAAGGGGAATATTCCATCAGCTATATCTAATATAAATTTGAAGTTGGGTCCATCTATGGAAATTGCAGGTTGCAATTGAGACTGCCTCATTTTCCAAGTACGCAGGGTTCACTGGAGTTCGTCTGGGATGGACTGTGGTTCCAAAAGAGCTTCTCTTTTCGGATGGGTTTCCTGTTGCCAATGATTTCAACCGCATTGTTACTACTTGCTTCAATGGTGTATCCAACATTGCCCAAGCTGGTGCTCTTGCATGCCTTTTGCCAGAAGGTCTTAAGGTCAGTTAACCACAAGTACACAATAATTGTAATGCAAGTAGATACACACACAACTGTCTCTCACTCTGTACGCACCCTAGCTCACAACAATGTACACATGCACTCCCCCTATCATAAGCAACCTTGCTTGGACCTTATCAGCTCTCACAACTCACTAAATACCTTCAAATACACACTCGCACTATATGAATTACTGAGATGAATTAGCTCACAAATAAGTCTCACAACTTAGTAAAATCTCATTGTTCTTAGTGTCTCGAGTTCTTGTCACAATGTAGCTCAAGGGTGCTCACTCATACGGCATAAAAAGGCACAATGCTATAACATGATATATATAGGGTACATTGATATGTAATCTTACCCTAAAGAGGAATTCCACATGGCATCATTCTTTAATCATTGGCGTGAACACTAGGACAACAGAGCACGTGTCACACACTTGTTCATCATTTGTAAAGACCAAAATACCCCTGTAAGGGACGCTTGTCAATATATATAAAATTTTGTAACAGCAACAGTGAACACTTGATCAACATGTAATTCTGAGCAATGCAATACAATATAATGCACTATCTCAAACAAATGTGTAATAACATAATACATGTGTGAAAAGACTTAATTGCCCTTGAAAGGTTATGCAGCCAAATATCACCTTCTGAACCAGTCCTGTAAATCCTAATTTGCCTGTAATAAGAACTGTCAACATAATGTAGCTTCCTCAAGCTATCTTAAGAGATATCTTATGAATGTAAAATGACAATGCTACCCCTGTAAGCCTTTATAATGCACTGAGTATACCAGAGCCACTTGAAACTCACATAAATGGACCTGTGACAGCTTTTTGACATTTAAAAGGACAAACCCTAATTCAAAGATGGGACTAACAGAGGGAACTAGATTGAAGCATTGTGTTACATTTTTCTTTTGAATAATGACAAGTAGTATTTTATGTGGGTGGGGGATGACTTCATTAAATATGATGATATCGTTATGATGTCATCCTAAATTTAGTTGACTTTGTTTCATAACTCATTATTATTTTTATTATTATTGAGCTCCTATGATCCATGGATTTTACTCTGTTCAGGCTATGCATGAGGTGATTGGCTTCTACAAAGAAAATACTAATATTATAGTGGAGACTTTTAACTCACTTGGCTCTAATGTCTACGGAGGGAGAAATGCACCTTATGCATGGGTTCATTTTCCCGGTCGAAGTTCATGGGATGTGTTCGCTGAAATTCTCGAGAAGACACAAGTTGTTACAACCCCTGGCAGTGGTTTCGGACCTGGTGGTGAAATTTTTATTAGGGTTAGCGCCTTCGGTCATAGGGCTAATGTGTTAGAAGTATGTAGAAGATTCAAGCAGTTGTACAAATGAGGATGATTTCATTTGTCTCAGCCATATCTGGCTTTCTGTGATTGTAGTTATTAATCCTTCTGCATTCTAATTGTGCTTATATATTCATGGATGTTAAAGCAATCTCTCAGTGAGTAAGTTCTAATAATAAAGAGTCAGGTTTTATCAGATTTATATATTTCATAATAAATTGTTTGTGGTTCTTTTACTTTTCTTTAACAAAAATGCTGCTATGAATTTTGCAACTAAACTATAATGAAAAAGCATAGTTTTATATATAGTGGGCAATGGCAAATATTATAAACCCGGTTACAGAAAGAACTCCATGGTGCTAAAAATCCAAGCTAGTATAATCCAGGCACAAGAAGGCTAGCTCTGAGGCTATGTTTGGTATAGTGAAAAAGAAAAGAAAGGATACCATTAGTTAATAAAGATAAGAAAAGAAAGGAAAAGAGAGGATATGATAAACTACTTTTGTGTTTGATTGAAATAAGAGAGGATATGATAAACTACTTTTGTGTTTGATTGAAATTAGGGAAGCCAATATATAAATATGTGATAGAAACTCTTTTTAAATAAATAAATAAATATATGATAGAAATTTAAAATAGGATAAAACTATACTTTTAATAAATAAATAAAAAAGTTTGATTGAAAAGAAAATCTAACTAGGGAAGAAACATATAAATATGAGATAGAAACTCTTTCTGAAAAACATAAAAAAAAATGATAGAAACTCAAAATAGGATGAATTTTTTTTACCGGAGTTATCCATAAGTTTAGTTGTGAAATGAATTTTTGGAATGAGTTTTCATTCTAAGAGAATGGTCATTCCCACTTTAAATTAATTTTATACCAAAAAATGAATGGTTTGAATGACATTCCATTCCATTCCATTCATGGATAAGAGATTTGTAGCAAAAATCAATGACTCTACCAATTAAAACAAAGTACAGGATAATACACTGGGGGTAATTTTAGAGAAAGAAAATTAATCACCTTAGATACAGGGAAAAAAAAATTATAATATACATTTGAAATTAAAATAAATGATGAACACATAATTCATGTAACAACTTGTTGGTCCCAGCTTTTATCCAGGGTTTGCCCTTTGAATGTCAAAAGTTTGATAACAGGTTAATTGCTGTGATATACTAGGAACTCTGGTGTGCTCAGGCTATTTCAGTGATTAACAGGGGCATTATGGTCATTTTAAATATGAGAGAGCTCATTATAAATTGATTAAAGAAGGTACATGGTGGCACAAGTTGAATCCACAAGCCAAGACAATGCCATTTCTGGTGCACATATGTATTCTTGGTTACAGGCTCATTCAGGGGCAATTCAGTCTTTTCACACGTGTATAAGGATGATGTTATATTTTCCTTGAATGTTACATTGCATCACAGAGCTCATAAATACATTTTGTTAGCAATATATACACAGGCTGCAACACTCATTTTTGCTATATATTAACAAGTGTCCAGTGGAGGGGCATTCACGTTGTACATGGAGTGTATTTGCTTGACACGTAGACAGTGTCCTAGGTGAGAGAATGAGGTCAGGTATTCATTTATTTGGCACCAAGTTTGTGTTATATCAGACATATGTATACAATGTGAGGAGTTGTATTGCTGGTGCACTAAAGTACAAAAGCTACAAAGCAGGCAGGGACATTGTGGTCCTTTCACTTAGGGAATGTGATTGGTGTAATGTGCCACGTTTATTTCTTTATTAGGGCAGTATTACATCTCAGTGTACTAATATATATATATGTTGGAAATAGTGGCCTAGTTATACACACAACACTATACTATTTGGAAGAGAACAGAAATGGAGGAAAATACTTTTTTTTTTCACTTGATATATTATTTGACTAGAGTACATGAATATATAGGCCTCGCATATGTATGTGTAACCATTACATTTAAATATCCATAACTCTCCTATCTCCCACTAACATAATCTTCAATATGCATAACTCTCACTAACATAGTATTTGTTAGGCTTAACTCTCATGACTCTTTATTTTACATAACCTTAACTCCCACTAAGACAATTTACTACCCACTAACATGTTAAATTAACACATGCATCATGGATACAAAAATACTTGAAAATACTAAATACTAAAATCAAGTTTATTTTCAACACCCCCCTTTAAACTTGATTTTGTAACTTGAAAAACCTTCTTATTAATCTTGGGGGCTTGATCAAAAGTTCGATAGTTGATCTTCAATTCCACCTCCTTCAATAACTTCAATCTTCTTGGCCATTTCCATTGATGTGTAGGGCTTGTGAAACTTCTTCAAATGCTTGTTTGATGTCTTCACATAATCATATATCATCCTCTATATACAAGCACACCATCGATCTTTTTTCTTCTTAAATTTTTATGGATCTTCAACTTCACATATACTTCTTCTTTAGAGTCAAAAAATAATTCCATATTCACCCAACCTGTATCAATTACAAAATTCTCCAAACTATTTTTTAAAAAATAATATGAGAATTTCTTATCATCCTGGGCTTCAATCTCATACTTCTTTGGAACAACTTTCTTTAAGAGAAGTTCATCATTCTCCAAAAAATAAGCATTATTTGATGAATATGAAGAAATAATAATTTCATCAAATAAGTCAAATATAACTTCTTTCAAGGTGGAATTTGTAACCATACCTGAAGATGTTAATTCACCAACTTGAACTTTTGCCTCTTCTTTAGCACTTCCTTTTTCTAAATCTTCTATTTTCACTTCATCCTCCTTCACTTTTGAATCTCCAAAATCTTCAACTTCTTTTGCACGATACACGTCTTCATTCTCCACAACTTTGTCTTCAAGACTTTCATAATCATCTTTCGTAAACTCATCATTCTCAAAGAATTGTACCCAATACTCCATGGGTAGTGATTCACCTCTATGATTGGAAACGATGGTCTCGAGCATCTTCCAAATACAACTTGGAGTTTTGGACTCTCCAAAATACTCCCAAATTTCTTGATGTATTGCCTTTTGCAACACTACCAATGCCTTATCTTCTTTCTTTTCATGAAGCTTGTTGGACATGCCATTCTTTGGCTCTTCTCCAACAACATCCCACAAATTGCATGCTTTGAGGTATGAAGTCATGATGATTCTTATTCTCTTGTAATTAGAGAACAATATCTTTTCACTAAGAAAATACATTTTCTCCCCTTCATCATTATCAAGGAGAAACATGTTTTTCTCAAATGTTGAACCTTCTAGGATCAATTTCGTCTGGCCTTCAGGATCGTCTAGGCTCTGATACCACTTTGTTGGAAATAGTGGCCTAGTTACACACACAACACTATACTATTTGGAAGAGAACAGAAATGGAGGAAAATACTTTTTTTTTTTCACTTGATATATTATTTGACTAGAGTACATGAATATATAGGCCTTACATATGTATGTGTAACCATTACATTTAAATGTTCATAACTCTCCTATCTCCCACTAACATAATCTTCAATATGCATAACTCCCACTAACATAGTATTTGTTAGGCTTAACTCTCATGACTCTTTATTTTACATAACCTTAACTCCCACTAAGACAATTTACTACCCACTAACATGCTAAATTAACACATGCATCATGGATACAAAAATACTTGAAAATACTAAATACTAAAATCAAGTTTATTTTCAACAATATATACATTGTTACAGCAGCAGCAACCTTCAAGCCTTGAGTTTGCATGGTTTATTTGTGTTTTCCTCTTTAATGTCAAAACTTAGTGTTTCAGAGCTGCTTATATCATCACCATTGTTGTGCCTAATTATCAATAGATTTTGTTAAAACTTCTGAATTTGTGTGGATTTCAAATCTAAAAGCTATCAATTTAGTACTCCAAATACAATATAAAACAGAATAGACCATCTTTTATCTGTTAGTGACAACAATAATTGAAACCATGGTTCTTTGTAGCATTGCCCTTTATCAAGTGGACCCAATAATTGAAATTTGTTGGTGAATTAGGTAGGTCTTTTTGTTGTCAATTGAAAATAATGGAGTTATCTTTCGATTGTACTCCTCCCACAGTCCCACGTGATAGAAGCTGACCAGCCTGGATTGTTGAGTACTTTCCAAATTATTGAGTTTGGAAACTGTTACCCCTTTAGGGAAATTAATTATAATTATTTTCTTTTCTTGTGAAAGCTGTAGTTGCGGATACTCCAAATTATTTAGTTACTTAATTGACTAATTGGTTGACTAATTGGTAGAACATTCAAATATCGAAGATTGAGTTCGTCAACCAACACAACCAAATAGAAGTAACGAAAAAAGAAAACTAAAACTTGGCCCAAATCTGCAGATGAGAGGAACAAGATCAATCAAATCTATAGTACTTTGTAGTGTTAAATACTCGGGCAGAGTTTCATACATAGGGTCCGTTTGATTAATGCTTTTGTTTCGTATTTTTTACTTTTACTAGCATATTATAATGAAGTAAAAATATGAAGTATGTTTGGTAACGTTTAATGTCATTTGAATAGTACCGAAACGCTTCTAAAATTGAGGCCAAAATTGATAGTATAAAAATGATTTTTTTGTTTGTAGCAAAGAGCAGTTCGAATATTTTTTTTCTTCCTAAAATGACATTTTTAACTAGTCATTCAATTTTTTTAAACTTGCAACACTTTTAGCAAATACACTTTCATGTTTTTGCTTTTACAAAAATCATGTAGCAAATTTACGTTATCAAATAAGTTTCAAAATAATATTAAACATACCATAAAATAAAAATATTACTTTTACTTAGGGTCAAAGCAAAAATATGAAGCAAAAGCAATTACCAAATTAATAGGCCCATGGTAAACAACTCCTAAATAAAAATCTTACAGGAGAAGTCAAGTATGGAGATAATTTCAAAGTCAAGTCAACAATCTTATCACCTGGTAACGGTCACTAAACGCTCCCTTATCTTGTTAGGGCTCAAGACTTTTTGTACATGCCAACAAATAAAATCAATACTATCAATTAAGCAGAGATCATACGCATGTAAATTACATTAGCAATACTCAACATCTTTTCTTTCCTTCCAACTACTCTCTCTCCCAGCTCCTCAAGTAGGTTGTTCAGAGATAGCAATGGACTTTGTGAGCCCAATGGTGGATGTTACATGCCGATTATGTGGTTGCATCGCAAACACTACCAACTATATTCATCATCTCCAACATAATCTCAACTCTTTGAGAATCGAAAAGGAAAAATTGATCGAGCGAAGAAACGATGTGAAGAGACAAGTTGAAAGTGCCGAGAGACGACAAATGTACCGAACGGAACAAGTAGATGGCTGGCTTCGTAGAGTAAACCAGCTGGAGAGGGAAGTGGACCAGATTCTCCTTCAGGGTGATGAAGAGATCCAGAGAAGATGTCTCAAGATTTGCCCCGGAAGTTGCTTGTCTAGACACAAGCTCGGGAAGAAAATATCTAAGAAGCTACGAGTTGTGGCTGGTCTGAACAGTGAAGGGGATTTCAGCACAGTGGCTGTAACATTGGCCCCGCCACATGCCGAAGAAATTCCTCTGGACAGGATTGTGGGCTTGGATTCGAATTTTGACGAGGTCTTGAGACTCGTCAGAGATGATGATAATGGAGTGGGAATCATCGGAATATATGGAATGGCTGGAGTTGGGAAGACGACTCTATTGAAGAAACTCAACAATGAGCTTGCGACTCGGTTCAGTGGAGAGTTCGATGAGGTGATATGGGTTGTTGTGTCCAGAGATGTAAGTAGCGTCGAAAGCGTTCAAGATAAAATTGGGAAGAAGCTAGGATTTCAGGCACGTGGCGGAGCAATAAAAGCCAAGATGAGAAGAAACAAGACATCTTTAGGTTCTTGCGGGGAAGAAATTTGTGCTACTTCTGGATGACATATGGAAGCAGATTGATCTTCTCGAAGTGGGAATTCCAGTACTTTCATACAAGGCCAAGGTAATATTCACCACCAGATCTGAGGAGGTGTGTGGTCTTATGGAAGCCAAGAAGAAGATTAAAGCGGAATGTTTGGTATGGGAACAAGCCTGGGATTTGTTTAAAGATAAGGTGGGAGAAGAAACCCTTAATTCTGACCCTGAAATAAGAAAGCTCGCACAAGATGTTTGCAAAGAATGCTCCGGTTTGCCACTGACATTGATTACAATTGGACGAGCCATGGCTAGCAAGAGAACCCCCCATGAATGGGATTATGCAGTAAATGTGTTGAAGAAATCAACATTCAAATTTTCAGGTATGGGAGAGCAAGTGTTTCCTCTTTTAAAATTTAGTTATGATAACTTATCTGATGAAACAACTAAGATTTGCTTCCTATATTGTGCTCTCTACCCAGAAGATTGGGACATCTATGTTCCCGATCTCATAAAATTGTTTATAGGTGAGGGGTTTTTGGATGATGAATGTGATAACATCGAAGAGGCTTGTAAAATGGCATATGAAATTATTGGTAGGTTGAAGCGTACATGCTTGTTGTTGGAGAGCAAAGAAAGCCATTCTTTTGTGAACATGCATGACGTGATTCGGGACATGGCATTTTGGATAGTTTCAGAGAATGGAAGGAGGGAGATGAAATATTTTGTGCAAGGAAATCTTAATTTGACCAAAGCACCTCCTATTTCTAAATGGGAGAAGGCTGAGCGAGTATTTTTGTTGAGGAATTCCATTGAAGACTTAAGCGGAACTCCTAGATGTCCCAATCTCTTGACTTTAAATCTTAGTTGTTCCGATCACTTGTCTGGTTTTCTTTCTAATAGTCGTCTAATAACCATTTCTGATAACTTCTTCCAGTTTATGCCGGTTCTCAAAGTTCTAGACCTGTCAGGAAATGAATATTTAACAAAGTTACCGTCAAGCTTTTTCAGGTTGTTTTCTTTACAACATCTTGATCTCTCATTGACAGGCATAACAGAGTTGCCAATTGAGTTTAAGTCGTTGGTAAAGTTGAAATATTTGTATATGAATGAAATGCATAAACTTGATTGGATCCCACCACAAGTCATATCAAGTCTTTGCATGTTGCAAAGAGTGGAGATGAAAGCTAGTGGTGTTTCAAGGGGATTTGATGAAGGTAGCATTTTTTATGGTGGCAATGAATTGTTATTGGATGAATTTGTAAGCTTGAATCACCTGCAATATTTAAGTCTGTCTGTAAAAACTGAACTGGCACTCCAAAAATTACTAAGTTCACAGAAGTTACGAAGTTGCACGTTTGGTTTAGGCATCGAACATTGCCAAGGCTCAACTTCACTACCACTGTCTTCTCTACAGAAAAATATTAAGAGACTCGAATTTTTAGAAATTAAATTTTGTCATTATTTAGAGGAGTTGTCAATGAGCTGGGATATGATAGATGGAAGCAGAAGCTTCCATAACCTCAGGATAATCTGGATCACACACTGCACGGCTTTGAGGGATCTAACATGGCTAATTTGCGCGCCAAACCTTCGAGAGTTGGGAATTTCTTGCTGTTGGGTAATGGAACAAGTAATAAAAGATGATGATATTGGTAGGGAAGGAAGTTTGGGTGTGTTCGTGAGGCTAAAAAAATTGTTTCTAGATGCACTGCCAAGGTTGAAAAGCATCTACAGCCATTCATTGTCCTTCCCCTCTCTGATCCACATTAAAGTGCATGACTGTCCAAGGCTTAAGAAACTTCCTTTTGACTGCAATAGCGGCAAAGACACTCTTCGAATAATTCAGTGTCAAAGAGGGTGGTAGGATAAGTTGGAGTGGGAAAATGAAGAAACTCAATCTGTTTTCTCTCCCCTTTTCAAAGAAGAATGGTGGTAATTGTGAGGAAGAGTTGCCTTATCTCAGTCACAGGTAAAAATCTCCATTATTAACTGCTTGTTATTGTTTTTTCCCGAAATTTTTATAATATTATGGGGTACCGTACCCGGTCTCTCAGACGTTGGATGTAATGGTAGGACCTACCTGATGGATAATCTAACGGCTAAGAGATCCCGGGGTACCTATAGAACTTATCGTCCCTGTGAAGTAGTGTCATGCTTAATGGTAAGTCTCATTTTATCTTTCTTTTCTCTTTTCAAAGAAGAATGGTGATAATTTTGCGGAAGAGTTGCCTTATCTCAGTCATGAGAAGTCATCCAACAAACGGTTGGGAGACACAGAAGGGAAGCTACTCCCATGTATTCTAGAATTTTCCTTCCGTCACAGGTAAAAATTTACATTATTAATTGTATTTTTTTTTTCATCATAACAAATTAGGAGAAAGGGACTCAAACACGGGCATACTTACTCAGAGAGCGTGCTCTACCAACTAGGAACTGGATATAGCAATGGACTTTGTGAGCCCAATAGTGGATGTTACATGCCGATTATGTGGTTGCATCGCAAACACTACCAACTATATTCATCATCTCCAACATAATCTCAACTCTTTGAGAATCGAAAAGGAAAAATTGATCGAGCGAAGAAACGATGTGAAGAGACAAGTTGAAAGTGCCGAGAGACGACAAATGTACCGAACGGAACAAGTAGATGGCTGGCTTCGTAGAGTAAACCAGCTGGAGAGGGAAGTGGACCAGATTCTCCTTCAGGGTGATGAAGAGATCCAGAGAAGATGTCTCAAGATTTGCCCCGGAAGTTGCTTGTCTAGACACAAGCTCGGGAAGAAAATATCTAAGAAGCTACGAGTTGTGGCTGGTCTGAACAGTGAAGGGGATTTCAGCACAGTGGCTGTAACATTGGCCCCGCCACATGCCGAAGAAATTCCTCTGGACAGGATTGTGGGCTTGGATTCGAATTTTGACGAGGTCTTGAGACTCCTCAGAGATGATGATAATGGAGTGGGAATCATCGGAATATATGGAATGGCTGGAGTTGGGAAGACGACTCTATTGAAGAAACTCAACAATGAGCTTGCGACTCGGTTCAGTGGAGAGTTCGATGAGGTGATATGGGTTGTTGTGTCCAGAGATGTAAGTAGCGTCGAAAGCGTTCAAGATAAAATTGGGAAGAAGCTAGGATTTCCAGGCACTTGGCGGAGCAATAAAAGCCAAGATGAGAAGAAACAAGACATCTTTAGGTTCTTGCGGGGGAAGAAATTTGTGCTACTTTTGGATGACATATGGAAGCAGATTGATCTTCTCGAAGTGGGAGTTCCAGTACTTTCATACAAGGCCAAGGTAATATTCACCACCAGATCTGAGGAGGTGTGTGGTCTTATGGAAGCCAAGAAGAAGATTAAAGCGGAATGTTTGGTATGGGAACAAGCCTGGGATTTGTTTAAAGATAAGGTGGGAGAAGAAACCCTTAATTCTGACCCTGAAATAAGAAAGCTCGCACAAGATGTTTGCAAAGAATGCTCCGGTTTGCCACTGACATTGATTACAATTGGACGAGCCATGGCTAGCAAGAGAACCCCCCATGAATGGGATTATGCAGTAAATGTGTTGAAGAAATCAACATTCAAATTTTCAGGTATGGGAGAGCAAGTGTTTCCTCTTTTAAAATTTAGTTATGATAACTTATCTGATGAAACAACTAAGATTTGCTTCCTATATTGTGCTCTCTACCCAGAAGATTGGGACATCTATGTTCCCGATCTCATAAAATTGTTTATAGGTGAGGGGTTTTTGGATGATGAATGTGATAACATCGAAGAGGCTTGTAAAATGGCATATGAAATTATTGGTAGGTTGAAGCGTACATGCTTGTTGTTGGAGAGCAAAGAAAGCCATTCTTTTGTGAACATGCATGACGTGATTCGGGACATGGCATTTTGGATAGTTTCAGAGAATGGAAGGAGGGAGATGAAATATTTTGTGCAAGGAAATCTTAATTTGACCAAAGCACCTCCTATTTCTAAATGGGAGAAGGCTGAGCGAGTATTTTTGTTGAGGAATTCCATTGAAGACTTAAGCGGAACTCCTAGATGTCCCAATCTCTTGACTTTAAATCTTAGTTGTTCCGATCACTTGTCTGGTTTTCTTTCTAATAGTCGTCTAATGACCATTTCTGATAACTTTTTCCAGTTTATGCCGGTTCTCAAAGTTCTGGACCTGTCAGGAAATGAATATTTAACGAAGTTACCGTCAAGCTTTTTCACGTTGTTTTCTTTACAACATCTTGATCTCTCATTGACAGGCATAACAGAGTTGCCAATTGAGTTTAAGTCGTTGGTAAAGTTGAAATATTTGTATATGAATGAAATGCATAAACTTGATATGATCCCACCACAAGTCATATCAAGTCTTTCCATGTTGCAAAGAGTGGAGATGAAAGCTAGTGGTGTTTCAAGGGTATTTGATGAAGGTAGCATTTTTTATGGTGGCAATGAATTGTTATTGGATGAATTGGTAAGCTTGAATCACCTGCAATACTTAAGTCTGTCTGTAAAAACTGAACTGGCACTCCAAAAATTACTAAGTTCACCGAAGTTACGAAGTTGCACGTTTGGTTTAGGCATCGAACATTGCCAAGGCTCGACTTCACTACCACTGTCTTCTCTACAGAAAAATATTAAGAGACTCGAATTTTTAGAAATTAAATTTTGTTATTATTCAGAGGTGTTGTCAATGAGCTGCGATATGATAGATGGAAGCAGAAGCTTCCATAACCTCAGGATAATCTGGATCACACACTGCACGGCTTTTAAGGATCTAACATGGCTAATTTGCGCGCCAAACCTTCGAGAGTTGGAAATTTCTTGCTGTTGTGCAATGGAACAAGTAATAAAAGATGATGATATTGGTAGGGAAGGAAGTTTGGGTGTGTTCGTGAGGCTACAAAAATTGTTTCTAGATGCACTGCCAAGGTTGAAGAGCATCTACAGCCATTCATTGTCCTTCCCCTCTCTGATCCACATTAAAGTGCATGACTGTCCGAGGCTTAAGAAACTTCCTTTTGACTGCAATAGCGGCAAAGACACTCTTCGAACAATTCAGGGTGGAAGAGGGTGGTGGGATAAGTTGGAGTGGGAAAATGAAGAAACTCAATCTGTTTTCTCTCCTCTTTTCAAAGAAGAATGGTGGTAATTGTGAGGAAGAGTTGCCTTATCTCAGTCACAGGTAAAAATCTCCATTATTAACTGCTTGTTATTGTTTTTTCCCGAAAATTTTATAATATTATGGGGTACCGTACCTGGTCTCTCAGACGTTGGATGTAATGGTAGGACCTACCTGATGGATAATCTAACGGCTAAGAGATCCCGGGGTACCTACAGAACTTCTTATCCCTGTGAAGTAGTGTCGTGCTTAATGCTAAGTCTCTTTTAATCTTTCTTTTCTCTTTTCAAAGACAAATGGTGGTAATTTTGAGGAAGAGTTGCCTTATCTCAGTCATGAGAAGTCATCCAACAAACAGCTGGGAGACACAGAAGGGACGCTACTCCCATGTATTCTAGAATTTTCCTTCCGTCACAGGTAAAAATCTACATTCTTAATTGCATTTTTTTTTCATCATAACAAATTAGGAGAAGTGGACTCAAACACAGACATACTTATTCGGAGAGCGTGCTCTACCAACTAGGAACTGGATAATGCCCTCCATTATTATTTGCTTGTTATTATTTTTTTTCATCTTTTCCCGTTGATCTGGTTTGTCCCTGTGAGGTAGTGTCATGCTTAATTCTAAGTCTCTTTTAATCTTTCTTTTGGGGAACAATGACACACAACATATATAATAATAATGTTGTTAACTTGTTATCAATAATGATAAAAATAATATCTACTGTTACTATTATATTACTAGATACTTTATATATGTTTGAAAAAAAAATATTCAGTGCACATTTTTGTAACTTATAATATTTATATAATATATACTTGATAAATCATTGTTTAATTTCTAATCAAATTAAATTTACATTGTTTCCCTTCTTCGATCAATTAAATAAACTTGGGTTTTCCGCAACACATGCCAACAACAGTTATATAAATTATATAATCAATCTTAAATTAAACATCTTTTCTTGTTTTAATATTATTCTTACTAATTTAAACTATACTCTTTGAATTTCATCTGATCTTTTGTTTTAACTAGTCGGATGTTTTCTACGTCCTACCTATTATGCTTGAATTACAAGTTTGAGCTGATCTCATCATCTCTTGCTAGGCTGTTATGTTCAGGTTGGTGTTTTGTTTTTTTTTTTTTTGTTTTTTTTTTTCACGTATCTGTTTATAAGAATTAAGGCTTGTGCCTGATTTATAATTATTAGGTGTTCAAGATTTATGGAACAATTCACAGCTTGCTTTTAACTTATTGTTAAATTTTATAATACTAGTAACTATTTAGTTCAATATTAAGGCACACGATGTGTATTCTTTTGCCTAATTAAATTGCTGATAACATTGGGTTTTCTTTGTTTTATATCACAGGCATATGTAGACTCTAGTGTTATTATGGGTCAGACTGGCCAGTTCCAAAAGGATGTCGCGAAGTACGGAAAAATGGAATACATGAGATGTTCTCCAGAAAATGGTTTCTTTCCCGATTTATCCACCGTCTCTCGAACAGATATCATATTTTTCTGTTCACCTAACAATCCAACTGGTTCTGCTGCATCAAGGATGCAACTTACTCAGTTGGTTCAGTTTGCCAAGAAGAATGGGTCGATTATAGTTTATGATTCCGCAGATGCCATGTACATGTCAGATGACAACCCGCGGTCCATCTTTGAAATTCCTGGAGCCAAAGAGGTAGCTTGAAAATAATGGTTTATTTTCTTCCCAACATGTTTTGGTTTTATTAATTTCTGCTATCTTTTTTACTTAATAATTTTCTCCCAGTTGATTGTTTTGGTGAAATCCTGCTATCTTCATTCTAACCATTTTTTTCTTGATTTTCTAGTTTCATTTTTGGATGTTTGAACACATATTCTCTAAAATCTTAAGCTGTTAGAGAGTGTGTAACTCAATTCTTTAAGAACTCTAACACCGCCCCACATGTGCCTGGTTTTCGGTCCTACACATATATCAATTACGATTATGCAGGTGACTCTGAGATTTAACTCAGGACCTTGTTTGTTCTAATATCATGTTGACCGCAATCTTTCTAAACACTTGAGACATTAGAGAGTGTGTAAGATCATTATTTAAGTCATCTAACAGGAACCTTTATGGTGAAGAGACTTATTTTATGGATAGTTTTCTGTTTTATGAGGTCATAATAAAGTAGTCAAGAGAATCTCAAATTCCATCTCAATTGCAGAATTGCATATACCTTGGATATAACATGCTTATATGTTTTGGTCATGTTTGAATGTCCCATTGAAGTTGAATAACTGCATAGTAATGCTACTAGTTGTGTCTTTGGTATTTGATATGATATTAATTTTTTTCGAAATATCATCATTATTAGAGTTGTGCTGAATGTACCAATGTTTGATGTTTGAACAACGATCTCTTATGAATCACAAGTGGTGGCTTCAATTTAACATCTAATGCAATTATTTCATCATTTGTTTTGGTCATAGTAAAAATTTACTTCATAAACCTCTAATGCAATTATTTCATCATTTGTTTTGGTCATAGTAAAAATTTACTTCATAAACCTCTAATGCAATTATTTCATCCTTTTTTGGTCATTGTGAAAATGTTACATCATAATATGGAATTTGAATTTTTTGTTCTGAAGTATGAAGTTTAGGTTTCGTTTCCATGGGGTTATTGTGTAGCGAATGTGGTATCAGACCTGCATAAGAAAATTATGATTGCGAAAAATGACTTTGTGCTGAAATCATGTTCTGATTTGTTTTCAGCATCCGGTACCATGAGCGATATGCCCATGGACGGTGCAAAATTTGGTTTGTTGGAGACAACCAATATTATGGAAATTATTATACATTCTTATTTTTCCCCTGGACAACTTTTTAGAATTTCTCACCATCAAAAAGCTATCATTAATGTGATCATATGATTTAAATCTGGTAGAGCTTCTAGTTTAGGATGAGCTATTGTATGCTACATTTAGGGGGTTTCGAATTTGTATCTTTTGATTCTCTTTAAGGGGAGTATTCCATCAGCTATATCTAATATAAATTTGAAGTTGTGTCCATCTATGGAAATTGCAGGTTGCAATTGAGACTGCCTCATTTTCCAAGTACGCAGGGTTCACTGGAGTTCATCTGGGATGGACTGTGGTTCCAAAAGAGCTTCTCTTTTCGGATGGGTTTCCTGTTGCCAATGATTTCAACCGCATTGTTACTACTTGCTTCAATGGTGCATCCAACATTGCCCAAGCTGGTGCTCTTGCATGCCTTTCGCCTGAAGGTCTTAAGGTCAGTTAACCACAAGTACACAATGATTTTACAAGGAAAATTTCTCTCAATTAGAGATCAAAAACCTTGGTTTTTGGCAGCACTAATTGTAATGCAAGTAGATACACACACAACTGTCTCTCACTCTGCACACACCCTAGCTCACAACAATGTACAAATGCACTCCCCCTATCATAAGCAACCTTGCTTGGACCTTATCAGCTCTCACAACTCACTAAATACCTTCAAAAACACACTCGCACTATATGAATTACTGAGATGAATTAGCTCACAAATAAGTCTCACAACTTAGTGAAATCTCATTGTTTTTAGTGTCTCGAGTGCTTGTCACAATGTAGCTCAAGGGTGCTCACTCATAAGGTATAAAAAGGCACAATGCTATAACATGATATATATGGGGTACATTGATATGTAATCTTACCCTAAAGAGGAATTTCACATGGCATCATTCTTTAATCATTGGCGTGAACACTAGGACAACAGAGCACGTGTCACACACTTGTTCATCATTTGTAAAGACCAAAATACCCCCGTAAGAGACGCTTGTCATTATATATAAAATTTTGTAACAGCAACTGTGAACACTTGATCAACATGTAATTCTGGGCAATGCAATACAATACAATGCACTATCTCAAACAAATGTGTAATAACATAATACATGTGTGAAAAGACTTAATTGCCCTTGAATGGTTATGTAACCAAATATCACCTTTTGAACCAATCCTGTAAATCCTAATTTGCCTGTAATAAGAACTGTCAACATAATGTAGCTTCCTCAAGCTATCTTAGGAGACATCTTATGAATGTGAAATGACAATGCTACCCCTGTAAGCTTTTATAATGCACTGAGTATACTAGAGCCACTTGAAACTCACATAAATGGACTTGTGACAGCTTTTTGACATTTAAAAGGACAAACCCTAATTCAAAGATGGGACTAACAGAGGGAACTAGATTGAAGCATTGTGTTACATTTTTCTTTTGAATAATGACAAGTAGTATTTTATGTGGGTGGGGGATGACTTCATTAAATATGTTGATGTCATCCTAAATTTAGTTGACTTTGTTTCATAACTCATTATTATTTTTATTATTATTGAGCTCCTATGATCCATGGATTTTACTCTGTTCAGGCTATGCATGAGGTGATTGGCTTCTACAAAGAAAATACTAATATTATAGCGGAGACTTTTAACTCACTTGGCTTTAATGTCTACGGAGGGAGAAATGCACCTTATGCATGGGTTCATTTTCCCGGTCGACGTTCATGGGATGTGTTCGCTGAAATTCTCGAGAAGACACACGTTGTTACAACCCCTGGCAGTGGTTTCGGACCTGGTGGTGAAGGTTTTGTTAGGGTTAGCGCCTTCGGTCATAGGGCTAATGTGTTAGAAGTATGTAGAAGATTCAAGCAGTTGTACAAGTGAGGATGATTTCATTTGTCTCAGCCATATCTGGCTTTCTGTGATTGTAGTTATTAATCCTTCTGCATTCTAATTGTGCTTATATTTTCATGGATGTTAAAGCAATCTCTCAGTGAGTAAGTTCTAATAATAGAGAGTCAGGTTTTATCAGATTTATATATTTCATAATAAATTGTTTGTGGTTCTTTTACTTTTCTTTAACAAAAATGCTGCTATGAATTTTGCAACTAAACTATAATGAAAAAGCATAGTTTTATATATAGTGGGCAATGGCAAATATTATAAACCCGGTTACAGAAAGAACTCCATGGTGCTAAAAATCCAAGCTAGTATAATCCAGGCACAAGAGGGCTAGCTCTGAGGCTATGTTTGGTATAGTGAAAAAGAAAAGAAAGGATACCATTAGTTAATAAAGATAAGAAAAGAAAGGAAAAGAGAGGATATGATAAACTACTTTTGTGTTTGAGATAAGAAAAGAAAGGAAAAGAGAGGATATGATAAACTACTTTTGTGTTTGATTGAAATAAGAGAGGATGTGATAAACTACTTTTTTGTTTGATTGAAATTAGGGAAGCCAATATATAAATATGTGATAGAAACTCTTTCTAAATAAATAAATAAATATATGATAGAAATTTAAAATAGGATAAAACTATACTTTTAAAAAATAAAAAAAAAGTTTGATTGAAAAGAAAATCTAACCAGGGAAGAAACATATAAATATGATATAGAAACTCTTTCTGAAAAACATAAAAAAAAAAAATGATAGAAACTCAAAATAAGATGAATTTTTTTTTACCGGAGTTATCCATAAGTTTAGTTGTGAAATGAATTTTTGGAATGAGTTTTCATTCTAAGAGAATGGTCATTCCCACTTTAAATTAATTTTATACCAAAAAATGAATGGTTTGAATGACATTCCATTCCATTCCATTCATGGATAAGAGATTTGTAGCAAAAATCAATGACTCTACCAATTAAAACAAAGTACATGATAATACAATGGGGGTAATTTTAAAGAAAGAAAATTAATCACCTTAGATACAGGGAAAAAAAATTATAATATACATTTTAAATTAAAATAAATGATGAACACATAATTCATGTAACAACTTGTTGGTCCCAGCTTTTATCCAGGGTTTGCCCTTTGAATGTCAAAAGTTTGATAACAGGTTAATTGCTGTGATATACTAGGAACTCTGGTGTGCTCAGGCTATTTCAGAGATGAACAGGGGCATTATGGTCATTTTAAATATGAGAGAGCTCATTATAAATTGATTAAAGAAGGTACATGGTGGCACAAGTTGAATCCACAAGCCAAGACAATGTCATTTCTGGTGCACATATGTATTCTTCGTTACAGGCTCATTCAGGGGCAATTCAGTCTTTTCACACGTGTATAAGGATGATTTTATATTTTCCTTGAATGCTACATTGCATCATAGAGCTCATAAATACATTTTGTTAGCAATATTTACACAGGCGGCAACACTCATTTTTGCTATATATTGACAAGTGTCCAGTGGAGGGGCATTCACGTTGTACATGGAGTGTATTTGCTTGACACGTAGACAGTGTCCTAGGTGAGAGAATGAGGTCAGGTATTCCACCAAGTTTGTGTTATATCAGATATTTGTATACAATGTGAGGGGTTGTATTGCTGGTGCACTAAAGTACCAAAGCAACAAAGCAGGCAGGGACATTGTGGTCCTTTCACTTAGGGAATGTGATTGGTGGAATGCGCCACGTTTATTTCTTTATTAGGGCAGTATTACATCTCGGTGTACTAATATATATATATATATATATATACATTGTTACAGCAGCAGCAACCTTCAAGCCTTGAGTTTGTATGGTTTATTTGTGTTTCCTCTTTAATGTCAAAACTTAGTGTTTCAGAGCTGCTAATATCATCACCATTGTTGTGCCTAATTATCAATAGATTTTGTTAAAACTTCTGAATTTGTGTGGATTTCAAATCTAAAAGCTATCAATTTAGTACTCCAAATACAATATAAAACAGAATAGACCATCTTTTATCTGTTAGTGACAACAATAATTGAAACCATGGTTCTTTGTAGCATTGCCCTTTATCAGGTGGACCCAATAATTGAAATTTGTTGGTGAATTAGGTAGGTCTTTTTGCTGTCAATTGAAAATAATGGAGTTATCTTTCGATTGTACTCCTCCCACAGTCCCACGTGATGGAAGCTGACCAGCCTGGATTGTTGAGTACTTTCCAAATTATTGAGTTTGGAAACTGTTACCCTTTAATTATAAGTTAATTATAATTATTTTCTTTTCTTGTGAAAGCTGTAGTGCGGATACTCCATATTATTTAGTTACTTAATTGACTAATTGGTTGACTAGTAGAACGTTCAAATATCCACGATTGAGTTCGTCAACCAACACAACCAAATAGAAGTAAACGAAAAAAGAAAACTAAAACTTGGTCCAAATCTGCAGATGAGAGGAACAAGATCAATCAAATTTATATGACTTTGTAGTGTTAAATACTTCGTATTTTTTGCTCTTATTAGCTTATTATAATAAAGTAAAAATATAAAATATGTTTGGTAACGTTTACTGTCAGTCATTTGAATAATACCGAAACGCTTCCAAAATTGAGGCCAAAATCGATAGTATAAATATGATTTTTTTGTTTGTAGCAAAGGGCGGTTCGATTTTTTTTTTTTTTTTTTTTTTTTCTTTCTAAAATGACATTTTTAAGTAGTCATTCAATTTTTCAAACTTGCAACACTTTTAACAAATATACTTTCATATTTTTGCTTCCACAAAAATCATGTAGCAAATTTACGTTACCAAATAAGTTTCAAAATAATATTAAACATACTCAAAAATAAAAATATTACTTTTACTTTGGATCAAAACAAAAACATGAAGCAAAAGCAATTACCAAATTAATAGGCCCATAGTAAACAACTACTAAATAAAAATCTTACAGGAGAAGTCAAATATGGAGATAATTTCAAAGTCAAGTCAACAATCTTATCACCTGGTAACGGTCACTAAACGCTCCCTTATCTTGTTAGGGCTCATGCCAACAAATAAAATCAATACTAACAATTAAGCAGAGCCCATATGCATGTAAATTACATTAGCAATACTCTACATCTTTTCTTTCCTTCCAACTACTCTGTCTCCCATTTCCTCAAGTAGGTTGTTCAGAGATAGCAATGGACTTTGTGAGCCCAATAGTGGATGTTACATGCCGATTATGTGGTTGCATCGCAAACACTACCAACTATATTCATCATCTCCAACATAATCTCAACTCTTTGAGAATCGAAAAGGAAAAATTGATCGAGCGAAGAAACGATGTGAAGAGACAAGTTGAAAGTGCCGAGAGACGACAAATGCACCGAACGGAACAAGTAGATGGCTGGCTTCGTAGAGTAAACCAGCTGGAGAGGGAAGTGGACCAGATTCTCCTTCAGGGTGATGAAGAGATCCAGAGAAGATGTCTCAAGATTTGCCCCGGAAGTTGCTTGTCTAGACACAAGCTCGGGAAGAAAATATCTAAGAAGCTACGAGTTGTGGCTGGTCTGAACAGTGAAGGGGATTTCAGCACAGTGGCTGTAACATTGGCCCCGCCACATGCCGAAGAAATTCCTCTGGACAGGATTGTGGGCTTGGATTCGAATTTTGACGAGGTCTTGAGACTCGTCAGAGATGATGATAATGGAGTGGGAATCATCGGAATATATGGAATGGCTGGAGTTGGGAAGACGACTCTATTGAAGAAACTCAACAATGAGCTTGCGACTCGGTTCAGTGGAGAGTTCGATGAGGTGATATGGGTTGTTGTGTCCAGAGATGTAAGTAGCGTCGAAAGCGTTCAAGATAAAATTGGGAAGAAGCTAGGATTTCCAGGCACGTGGCGGAGCAATAAAAGCCAAGATGAGAAGAAACAAGACATCTTTAGGTTCTTGCGGGGGAAGAAATTTGTGCTACTTTTGGATGACATATGGAAGCAGATTGATCTTCTCGAAGTGGGAGTTCCAGTACTTTCATACAAGGCCAAGGTAATATTCACCACCAGATCTGAGGAGGTGTGCGGTCTTATGGAAGCCAAGAAGAAGATTAAAGCGGAATGTTTGGTATGGGAACAAGCCTGGGATTTGTTTAAAGATAAGGTAGGAGAAGAAACCCTTAATTCTGACCCTGAAATAAGAAAGCTCGCACAAGATGTTTGCAAAGAATGCTCCGGTTTGCCACTGACATTGATTACAATTGGACGAGCCATGGCTAGCAAGAGAACGCCCCATGAATGGGATTATGCAGTAAATGTGTTGAAGAAATCAACATTCAAATTTTCAGGTATGGGAGAGCAAGTGTTTCCTCTTTTAAAATTTAGTTATGATAACTTATCTGATGAAACAACTAAGATTTGCTTCCTATATTGTGCTCTCTACCCAGAAGATTGGGACATCTATGTTCCCGATCTCATAAAATTGTTTATAGGTGAGGGGTTTTTGGATGATGAATGTGATAACATCGATGAGGCTTGTAAAATGGCATATGAAATTATTGGTAGGTTGAAGTGTACATGCTTGTTGTTGGAGAGCAAAGAAAGCCGTTCTTTTGTGAACATGCATGACGTGATTCGGGACATGGCATTTTGGATAGTTTCAGAGAATGGAAGGAGGGAGATGAAATATTTTGTGCAAGGAAATCTTAATTTGACCAAAGCGCCTCCTATTTCTAAATGGGAGAAGGCTGAGCGAGTATTTTTGTTGAGGAATTCCATTGAAGACTTAAACGGAACTCCTAGATGTCCCAATCTCTTGACTTTAAATCTTAGTTGTTCCGATCACTTGTCTGGTTTTCTTTCTAATAGTCGTCTAATGACCATTTCTGATAACTTTTTCCAGTTTATGCCGGTTCTCAAAGTTCTGGACCTGTCAGGAAATGAATATTTAACAAAGTTACCGTCAAGCTTTTTCAGGTTGTTTTCTTTACAACATCTTGATCTCTCATTGACAGGCATAACAGAGTTGCCAATTGAGTTTAAGTCGTTGGTAAAGTTGAAATATTTGTACATGAATGAAATGCATAAACTTGATATGATCCCACCACAAGTCATATCAAGTCTTTCCATGTTGCAAAGAGTGGAGATGAAAGCTAGTGGTGTTTCAAGGGGATTTGATGAGGGTAGCATTTTTTATGGTGGCAATGAATTGTTATTGGATGAATTGGTAAGTTTGAATCACCTGCAATATTTAAGTCTGTCTGTAAAAACTGAGCTGGCACTCCAAAAATTACTAAGTTCACAGAAGTTACGAAGTTGCACGTTTGGTTTAGGCATCGAACATTGCCAAGGCTCACGTTCACTGCAACTGTGTTCTCTACAGAAAAATATTAAGAGACTCGAATTTTTAGAAATTAAATTTTGTTATGATTTAGAGTTGTTGTCAATGAGCTGGGATATGATAGATGGAAGCAGAAGCTTCCATAACCTCGGGATAATCTGGATCACACACTGCACGGCTTTGAGGGATCTAACATGGCTAATTTGCGCGCCAAACCTTCGAGAGTTGGGAATTTCTTGCTGTTGTACAATGGAACAAGTAATAAAAGATGATGATATTGGTAGGGAAGGAAGTTTGGGTGTGTTCGTGAGGCTACAAAAATTGTTTCTAGATGCACTGCCAATGTTGAAAAGCATCTACAGCCATTCATTGTCCTTCCCCTCTCTGATCCACATTAAAGTGCATGACTGTCCGAGGCTTAAGAAACTTCCTTTTGACTGCAATAGCGGCAAAGACACTCTTCGAACAATTCAGTGTCAAAGAGGGTGGTGGGATAAGTTGGAGTGGGAAAATGAAGAAACTCAATATGTTTTCTCTCCTCTTTTCAAAGAAGAATGGTGGTAATTGTGAGGAAGAGTTGCCTTATCTCAGTCACAGGTAAAAATCTCCATTATTAACTACTCGTTATTGTTTTTTCCCGAAAATTTTATAATATTATGGGGTACCGTACCCGGTCTCTCAGACGTTGGATGTAATGGTAGGACCTACCTAATGGATAATCTAACGGCTAAGAGATCTCGGGGTACCTATAGAACTTATCTTCCCTGTGAAGTAGTGTCATGCTTAATGGTAAGTCTCTTTTAATCTTTCTTTTCTCTTTTCAAAGAAGAATGGTGATAATTTTGAGGAAGAGTTGCCTTATCTCAGTCATGAGAAGTCATCCAACAAACGGCTGGGAGACACAGAAGGGACGCTACTCCCATGTATTCTACAATTTTCCTTCCGTCACAGGTAAAAATTTACATTATTAATTGTATTTTTTTTTCGTCATAACAAATTAGGAGAAAGGGACTCAAACATGGGCATACTTACTCGGAGAGCGTGCTCTACCAACTAGGAAATGGATAATGCCCTCCATTATTATTTGCTTCTTATTATTTTTTTCATCTTCTCCCGTTGATCTGCTTTGTCCCTGTGAGGTAGTGTCGTGCTTAATGCTAAGTCTCTTTTAACCTTTCTTTTGGGAAACAATGACACAACATATATAATAATAAGGGATTATTACTAATACATGGGCTTAAGGCCCAAAATTTACTCTAAAATGAAAACAAAGACTAGATTTTCTCTAAAAAGATTGACCTAGGGAATATTTCTCTAAAATGGATTCCACTTTACGCTTTATACCACAAAAGAACTTATATTACTAAAATGACCCAAAGTAATACTTTAATATAACAAAAAACCTTAGATCATAAAATAAAATTACAGCAAGGTCTTTAGACAAAAGATTTAATATTTTTTCTTTTCTTTTTAAATTTTTCACGGTAAATTAAAATTATTCAGTAGCTTAATAAAGACTTATATACTTCTTTAGACAAAAGATCGCATATATAAATTAAATTTAACGAAACAGTATAGCTCTGATACCAAAATTGAGACGGATCCGACCGGATAGAAGCATGCAAAATAACATAGAATCAATTTAACAATTAAATCACAGAAATGACTGCCGAACCTAATAACGCTCTGATAACGCCCTGTAGAAACGCCTGAACACCGGCAAAGAACGGGCCAACAAGCTAACAGTTCGAGTCAACTCACAGAAGAAATTGCTAAATTAAACCAACGCTGCTTGTACTGGTTGGAGTATGTGAAAATTCTCGGATCTACACTGTCTGGCTAAATAAAATCTATATATTTGATCTATTCGTCGACAGAAGTCTTTTGCCCGAAAGTACTGAAAATATTAAATAAAGAAAAGGTATTTGTTGAACAGGAGCAAACTGGATGATTTATTTCATGGAAAATATATACATGGATACACTCTCACACTATATGTTACAAAGGAAATATATTAAAGGAAATCACAAAAGAAAACACACTGGAAACTGAAGGCTGGATGCTTGATGGTTCGAGACTTGATGGCTTCTAAAACTCGATGATCTTTTCTTGAGTCAAGAGGCTTCTTTTTATAGCAGAAGAGAGGGATGAATCGGCGGTTGAGCTTGAAGATGCTGCATGGATGGTTGAGATTCAAGATGCTTTTGAGATAAGATAACATGAATTATTGCTGACCTGTTGACGTCGTCTTCTGGAAAATTATATCTACTTTTGCTGTTGCGAATCTGCTTTCGGTGGATCTGTTTTTAACTGTACACTATTAAGGATCTACTTTTTCTTGGATGCTGAAGTTGCCTTTATCTTTAGACTGTGGAGAATCTGTTTTTCCTCAAAATTCGTGCATATTATCCAAATTTCTATCAGTTGGGCTAGCTGGTGAGATATCTCCTCTGTGCATGCGGGCCAGATATTCATCAGTGATGTTTGGTGAGCTAGTTTCTTCGTTTCTGTAGGCCAACTCAAGCTGTTCTAACAACATCTTTTCTTCATTTATTATATCTTCAATTTCTGGGGATATCTCAATCTCTGGAGGAGACTTAATGACATGAGGAATTCTTGCCTTAACAAAAATTTCCATATTGATATTATGATCGTAGAGTCTGAAACCAGGATTGTAGCATGGGTTAATTTGTCGATAAGCTTTATAGTACACCAAATGGTTAAAGGTAGTAGGGTCAATTTCAACATGAAAGTTATTTGCGAAATCAACATGTCGTGTTAGAAGCTTGACTTTAGATGGATTAGAATGAATGTAAACATGATGCTGTCCCAAAATTATAGCTCCTTCTTTTATCCATTCTGGGGCAGTACTGTGGATTTGAAGGAGAATTGGACTTTCTGGCATGAAATTTTAGGTATTATTCTAATCGAAAGCAATGGCTTGGTTTAAACGGTTGGGAAAATTACACAAAGAGTTTAGATATTCTAAGGGCGTATCCTTGGGTATAGTGACACTGTAGATCATTCCTAATTCTAACAGTTTACTTAGATAACAAATGGTTGTTTTTGTAGAGAAAAATGGTTTTTCTGGTTACTTCAAAAGGAATAAAGAAAATAGGATCTACATCTAATAAGATTACGGACATAGGTATCTAGGTGCCTGTTTGTATAAAGCGTAGGAAAAAATAGTTATATCGGGTTTCTTTGGGTGGACTGTTATTTTTGAGGTAGTTCTGGATATCAACCCATTTTTTGAAACCATCAGACTTAATCTCTTCAAGGATAAGGTCTTTGAGATCATCAAGGAAGAGCTCAACTTGTTGTCTTAGGATTTCTCTATAAGTTGAGGAAAAAAGGGGTAGAAGCTTAGCATGCTTGGTTTGTACCTGCAAAAATTGAACTTTCTAAAGATTTTCATCGTCATTAGTTATTTGTTCGGAAATGGTTAGTTCTGTGGGGTTTTCTGTTGATCTTTGATAGGCTAAATTCAATTTTTTGTAATGAGATATAAGAATCTCATGCTCCTTTTGTAAATTCTGATATGTTGTATTAGTTGATACAAAATATTCACTTAAGGTATTTAAATTTCTAACGAGGGTTCTATCGGGGTTGTGTCTAGAAAACCAAATATTATCCAAAATAAGTTTTTGGTCAGGAAAAAGATTATGTCTAGCGCGGAACTGTTGAGCTGGGTTTTGGACAATTAAAAGAGGATTAGAAGTACCTAGTATAAGGCTATAGCTATTGTTGCTCTTGATCTCCATTCCTGCAAAATTTAACAATCGATTAGTAAACGAGATAGAATATCTGCTAAATAATTATCTTTTCCTCTGACATGTTCAGATATAGGTTTAAAACCTCTTCCAGTAATACAGTCAATGAATGAAATCCATCGCTTAGCAGACATCCGCTGTTGTTTTGCTTTATTTGCAAATTTAACTATATTATCACAATTTGTTCGTATAAGAAATTTTTTATCAAGGAAAATCTGAAATTTTTCAATAGAGTTGGTTACTCCTAGAATTTCTAGATCTGTTGAGGGTAAAATAGATTGTGCTTTATTAAAAGTTCCACTAGTGTGGCGACAAATTTGTTCTTCATCTCGAGAAGATTCTTTTGTTGGTCTTTGAAGAAGTAAGCCTGCCCATCCTTGAGCTGATGCATCTGTTTGAATAATTTTATAACTTTTTTCAAGTGGGAGTTGTAAGGGTTCTAACTGAGAGACTAAAGATTTAATTTTCTTGACTAACTCTATATCTTGGGTATTGAAATACTTTTGACCATATTTTCCTAATTTTGAATATAATGGTCTTACTAATTGTCCTAATTTGGGAATAAAATTATGACCATAGTTTAATAATCCTAAAAATGTTTCTAACAACTTGGTTTCTTGTAATTTATCAGGAAAGTCTAGAATCTTTTGACAATATGGGATTGTAATTCTATTTTTCCATCTTTTATGTATAAACCTAATAATTCAATATCTTATTTTTCTAATATCATCTTTTTACTACTTATAATGAGTCCTTGTGTTATAAATTCATTGAATATAATTTCAAGATGTTTTCTATGCTTTTCTTTAGTTTGACTGAAGACTAAGATATCGTCGATGTAAACACAACAGAATTTTGAGTGTTTATTAAATATAGTATCCATTTTACGCTGAAATTCTTGTGGTGCATTTTTTAATTCAAAAGGCATAACAAACCACTCATAATGTCCTTCAGGACATGTGAACGCTATCCATTCAATGGATTCATCGGCCATTCGAATTTGCCAAAATCCTGATTTACAGTCAAATTTAGAAAATCATTTTCTATCTTGGATTCGATTTATTAAAACATCTTTATTAGGAATTTTATAACTATCAACATAGGTATTATCATTTAATCTTTTATAATTTATAACCATACGAGTCTTTCCTTTTTTTTATTTCTGCATGATTTCTAACCATAAAAGCTGGACTCCTATGTCTACTATTACTTTTTCTTATTACTTTTAGTAATAACAGTTCTTTAATTTGTCTTTGGAATTCTTCTTGATCGTCTAAGGTATGAGGATTATCTTGTATCTTTATAGTTATAAAAGTATTTATTATATTTAATTTTGCTTCAATTTTATTTTTATACCAGTGTTTCTGGGGGTCTTCACCTAAAATTTCTGTTGTTTCAGCTAATCTTATGAGATTATCAATGTTTAGTTTGGGGTTTTTTAATATAGTTTTATTATTAAGGAAAATCTGTAGTTCATCAAGATGACTAAGAAACATTAAGGCTTCAGAAACATCTTCTAAAAATTCAGATACATCAAATAAATTTTCAGTCATTTCTTCTGTCATAGGTAAGGTATTAACATATGTAATGGCTCCTTTATCTTTTTGAGGAATATAAGGATCTCTAGATGGAATAAAGGTTCATTTCTTAAAAAACTGTAAACCCGTAGGGGTATACATAAATCCTTCGGTAAGTGATTTTATAAAATTTAATCCTAATATAAAATCATAGGTGCTAGGAATATTATTAACTACATAAGTCTGGGGTAAAACAAACTTTTCATTATTAATTAATATAGGAATGTTTTGAACACAATGGGTTATTGGGAGTTTTTCATTATTATATTGGCTCATGTTAACATTATAATTTAACCTTACTAAAGCTTCGTCTGGGATTAAATGTTTTCGAATGATACTTTTAGATGCGCCAGTATCAAGCATAGCTGAAGTTTGAACTAATTTTTCTCTAAATTCTAATGTCACTGGGAATTGAATTAGACTAGATGGTTTATATATTGAATTTATAGATTCAATTAAAATATCTTCTTGCTTATCTTCATATTTTGTATAGCAATTATGACATAATAAAGTTTTATAATGATTTTCACAATAATGACCTTTTTTAATAGATGTATTGCACTGTTTACAATTATAAGAAGAAAATTGAAAACTAACTAAGTTATACTGACATGATGGATTACTTATAGTGTAAACGAAATCTTCTAGTGAATGAAGCCCTTGTTCAAAGTCTTCATCATTATCAAAGTTACTATATAAGCTCTCGATACTATATATACTTTCATTATCATCGTCAGAGTCATAAATACTTTCTAGTTCATATAATTCTTCTACCTATTCTTTAATATCTTCAAGTATGTTGATCTTTTCTTGTATCCTTTTAATAGGATTTTGTTTGTATCGATGAGGGCAATTTGGTCTAATGTTTCCTGAATATCCACAAATAAAATATTTGCAATGTCTTTCTTTTGTGGGTAACGTGTTTACCTTATTATCCTTGTCTTTGTTGTCCTTTTTATCTTTATTTATCTTTTACTTCTTATACCAAGGCCGCTTTCTGAATTGCTTAGGGTTAGTTCTATCATAGGGTTTTTTATTACGAAAATTCGTGTAAGTTTTGCTTTTACGGAAATTATATTTTTTAGGTTTATTATGCTTATAATTACAATTTTTCTTAGGCATACACCCATATTGGGGTGGAAAATCTATTTGTCTACACGTATAATAAAATTATTTTTTGATTTGTTTAGACTCTTTACGTTGTCAACATTCTGCTTTTAACATGTTGTATACATGATTAACTCTATCTCCTATGGTTAGAGTATCGCGTCTAGGGTTTTCCAACCATTTTTCCCATATTTTAGTTCCTACGCTTCTAGGTAACTTCTGAAGGTATCGATCAAGTAATGTTTTATCACCTGTTTTACTAGTGGCTGCAAAATACTCAAAAAACTTATTGGTATAGGGTTTTATGTATCTAAAATCACAAATCTATAGTAATTCTAAATTACGTAAAGCTTTGTTTTATTTTATTAAGGTGTCATCTAATAAACGGTCTTCACCAATTAATACCTTTTTAATGAAACTTGTAAAGCCTTGAATGGTAAAATTATCACGTAAGATGACATAATCATTTGGATAAATTTACCTTATAAGCTTGCCACCAGTCATAAATGGTTCCTCTTAATAAGGTTTCACAATAGGTTAAGGCTTGAGTTCTATTGTCAAAATTGGTCAAAATAGATTGCCTAATATAATCTTGTTCCCAATTTTCGATTACCTTTGCCCAGTCTTGGGGATCGTGTCTTGCTATGTCTAATATTGTTCCTGATGATTGTGCTGGTAGATTCTCATATTGTCTACGATATTGTGTTAATGTGTACATATCTGGTATATTTCTATTTTCTACATAAGTTTCTCGTGAGGGATTTAATCTTTGTCCCGTAGTAAAGTCATCACTTAAGGTATTACTACCTGAGGTGTTAGTCTTTCTTTGGTCACTCATTTCTTGTTCAATTAAGTAAGATTCTGATGCTTCTGGTGCTTTCCCTTCTCTGTGCTCTATTACATTTAAATCTTTTTTTTACTGTGTTTAATTCTAATGTTGTATAGAAGGATTCAAATTCGACACTTATAATATTTTTCTTAATATCATCATTATTTCCTTGTCCTAAATAAATATTCTCGATAAGTTGGTATTTAGGTTTTGGATACTTGTCTTGCAATGCATTTAATTCTAAATTATTAAAATCGTACATTATTTTATCTACAATTTCATCTTCTAATCTATCATAAAGGACATTTATTTCTTCTGGAGATTCGATCTTTATTAGTGTAGTTAAAAAGTCTTCTTGAGTATCATCAACTAAATTGTCTTGTCTTTTATAATTACTAAACCTTATGCTAGCATCTCCGCTATTTGAAACATATATTATATTATTTTCGGGAATCTTTTTAGGTGTAGTAGTAAGTTTAGGTAATTTTTATTTTGTTCCTTCATCGGTAATACTGCTTACTTTTCTGGCTTCTATCATTTGGACATATTTGCTACTAAAAGGTTTAACTATTTCACTAAATTGGGCTTTAAACTTTAAGTTATACTGATTAACTGCCTTTCCCATAAATAAAGTATTAACTAATAGATTTTCAAATTGTCCTGTCATATTATATCCTTTTGTAGATATAGCTATTTTAATATGTTTACTAAATTCTCTAGTAGTCATCGTATAATTGGGAATACATCCTACTATTGCGGCATTGTCGGCTAAGTCTATTTCGGCGCTGGCTATCTGAGCTTGTTGATGGTTATTCCATCGATCATCATAAATATAAGCAAGTGCTCTAGTTCCGGTTTCTGCTCTATTTAATTTTACTAATCCTATCATTATGACGCCTCAATGCATTAGTTCTAAATTATTATCATTTAGTTCTTGGCATGCTTCGGGTGTTATAAGGTCTAAAATTACTTGATTGTTAACTGCACTTATTTTTCTTTGGCTAAAATGATTATATATCTTGCTCTGAAAATCTAATAAATTATTAGAATAAAGATTAATTTTATTTTTTACCTTCTTCATTCCTTGTTCTAGATATTTTTTAGCATCATATTCATTATCATATAAATCTTCTAATCTCATTATTTCTTTGGCTTTTCTAAGGATAATGGCCATTGTGGTATTTGCTTATGAGGTTGAAGTTGTAATAAATTTACACGCTTGGCTGTTGTATGAGAGGACTGGTTATTAACTGACAATTTTATTTCTTTTATTTTATCTGATAATTCAGATAATTCTTTTGAAGATTCTCTGGGAATACTTTCTTGTATTACTTCTAATTTCTCTTCAAGTTTATTAACTTTATCAGATAACTGGAGTAATAACTGAATTAAAAAGTTATTTTGTGTAATGTGTATATTAGTTGACTGTACGTCTGTTTTAAAGCTAGTAAATCCTATAAGTTCTTTATCAATTTTATAAAGTTCAGCTAACGTGGTTAAATAATCAGGACTACTTGTGCTCATAAAATTTATTGTAATAATTTTTGGATATCGATTTTAAGGGATTTTAAAGAGTCTAGGATTATTTTTTGGTTTTCAGCAATATTCTTAAGATCACTATTGATATCTTTAATTACGATTAATATTATCTTACTATCTAAATTATTTGGACTAGAATTCTATACTACTTGTTCTTTAATATAATATAAATTTTTTCCTAATCGTTTTATAGAAGTATCTAAATTATTAAAGTCAAATCTATTCATAAACTAAAATCGTTGCCGTCTAACTTCTAAAATATTTTGTATTAATATAATTCTAGATCTAAGTTCTTTAATTCTTCTTTGTAGACTACGTGTTGTGTCTCTTAATTCTAGAGCTATGTAGCAGTTCCTAAGTGCTGTTTGACAAAATTCTAATACTTGAACAAGTTGTTCTTTGGGTAAATTGTGCATAAATTAAACTTCTAGGGGTGAAAATATAAATTCAGCTTTATAAAGGACTAAAATAGAACTTGGTTCATGTATTTGTAAATATGTCAACTACGTTTAGCTATGAGTAATATACCTACACTAGGACTACTTTATTGTAAAAGTCCCTAATAATAATGCTATTAACTTGTTATCAATAATGATAAAAATAATATCTACTGTTACTATTATAGTACTAGATACTTTATATATGTTTGGAAAAAAAATATTCTATGCACATTTTTGTAACTTATAATATTTATATTAAATATCCTAGATAAATCATTGTTTTTTAATCAAATTAAATTTACATTGTTTCCCTTCTTCAATCAATCAAATAAACTTCGCTTTTGAACGACACATGTCAACAACAGTTATATAAATTATATAATCAATCTTAAATTAAACAACATCTTTTCTTGTTTTAATATTATTCTTAATAATTTAAACTTTACTCTTTGAATTTAATCTGATCTTTTATTTTATTAGCAACCAAACAATAAAACATATCAACATACATGGCTTGTTAGTGAGTACATAAAATAAGTATAGTATAGTATAGTATGCCCAGATTTGCATGTTAAGGTGTTGTTTAATAATGATTTCGCTTTTTATTTTTTTGCAGTCTCCAGAAGCAGATATCTAAGTGGAAGTGGAAAGCAAAAAATATCATTTATACCCTTGTTATACCAATATTGATATTATTAGTTTTAACTTCTTTTTGTTCATTCTATCACGAATACCGCCGATGTTGTAATTATTTTTTTGGCACATTATTATCCAAACTTAAAATAACAATTTTTGAATCATTAGAAACTAAGTGCATGTTTAAGATTGATTTACATTGTTTATTGCTTTTGTGTGTGAGTGTGTTTGTGAGGAGATAATTTCATTTGGAATTGTGCTTTGTGTTTTCTTAGGGCTGTGGAAAATTGAATTGTTGGTGATTGAAAAAATCTTCGTACCACCTCGATCCATTAATATTTTGATATACAAAACAAAAAAAAAAACTAACACATGACTCATTATGATAGAATAATGATACTTATAAATTTTGACCAAAACACTTCAAGTCCAATGATTAAAAAAAAATTATAATATGATAAGATAAGATCTAAAGTCTTATATATTTTTTATATCTTTGTTTTTAGATTTGCTAAACATCTTTTAAAATTATTTTATTATAAATTATATTGTATTTTAACTAACAAAATATATGTTAAGAAGTCTTTTAGAATTAAATTACTAATGGTTAATTATTGATTTATATTATAATATAATAGAATAAGATGAGTAATAGCTAGGTATTCCAATATTATTATCTAGTTTATATGACTACAAGAGAGAGGGAGTAGTTTGTGATGGAGTGACCGAAAGGAAAAAATTTATGAGAGAGTGAGACGTTTAAAGCTCGAATGATTTATTCTTTTGACTCTTTTTGTGAATAAAATCTAAGGTAAAGTACAATGATACCTTATGAGGTTTAAGTTTGGTATAAAGATAGTCATATATAAGTTTGCTATTTTTGAACAATGACACCCTTAAATTTGAAAAAATTGACAAAGACACTTTGAAAATGATGAATTAACTTTATTACCCTTTGATATAAAATTGACAAATGTAATAATTTTTTATTGACTTAAATACCCTTGGATCAAATAAGTTTAAATGGGTTATTGGGTACAATCCATCTGAAAAACCCAAAATTTCTCTCTCCTCACTCTCTTCTCCTCTTTCCCTTCTTAAACTCTAACCCAAACAAGCCTAACAGAGTGAAAGGAAAAATCGAAGCTCATATACGTAAGATATCGAAGGGAGAGCCCAATAATTGGAAAAATTAAAAGGAAAAAGCTCGATAACAAAGCTTTTCCTCCACCCCCGCCCCCCCCCCCCCCCCCCCCTTCTCTCTCTCTCTCTCTCTCTTTCTATATATATATATGTGTGTGTGTATGCGCGTGTTTCTATATATATATATATATATATATATATATAGAAACACGCGCATACACATATATATATCACCACCACCACCAATCACCCCACTACATATACCGTCGCCGCAGCATCATCATCATCATACCTCAACCTCCACAACCACCACCCCATCATCACCATCATCAAATGAACCACGACGATGAGCAAGGAAGACGGAACTGCCAAAAATGGACCGGCGAGCTCGCAACGGAACCAAAGTTCTTCAACTTCAGCAAATTGAACTAAAATTTTGTCAATAGTGAAGAACTCGAAAATGAAAACGGTGAAGAACAGATCGGAGCAAACTATCAACGGCAAAGAGAGACCTAGTTCGGTGAGCTTACCCAACGCGGAGTACACAAGTCTTGTAAAAGTACCACACGTTGGGGTTAACGGTGGCAGTGAGTGCTCTCACCGCTCGGTTCATTCTCTCGACGTCGATGGAGCCCTATCTCGATCTAACCCATGACGGCGATCAAAATTGGAGCCCGATCTTGATCTAAACCACGAAGACAATCAAAATTGGAGCCTGATCTTAATCTAACCCACGACGATGGCGATGTGAGACGGTGGCTTCAAGACGACAGCGGCTTCTTCACGACGATGAGGGAGACGCAACAGAGCCCCCAAAAAAATGGAGGCCGATCAAATTTGCACGCACGGATCGACCGCAACAGAGCCCCACAGTGAGTGAAGCATTGATTGCCGTTGAAGATGACTTTAGGGACACCGATGGTGTCGACAACGTCAAGGACCCATTAGTGGAACGTGTCAGTGACGAAACAATCGAAGCGGCGGCTGAGGAGGAGCTGCTTGAGGGGTTCTTGGAGGATGAAGGTGTCAGTTAAGGGAGGAACCGACATGTGAATGGAGGAGATGGTAAGCTGCTCATCGAGTGGTGGTTGGAAGGTGTGAAGGTGGATGTCGTGGCTGGAACTTTGGGATTTGGGTGTGATATATTGTTTTAGGGTTTACAACAAGGGTAAGTGCAAAAAAAACACCTCTCTATTTTTTAAAATGTGCAAATAACACCTTTATTATTCAAAATTGACCCTTCTAATTTCAAAAAGTTACAAATAAGGACTTTTGACCAACAAATTTGCCATGTGCCGTGAATGTGACCAAAAGTTGGGCTTTAATACCAAAAATACCCTTTTGCACAATCCAAAATGCCCAAAGGGGGATATTTGCAGACTTTTGAAAGTACAGGGGGTTTTTTTTGTAAATAATTAACAAAATTTTGAAATTTTGTTATTCTCTCCTCTCTAATGGCTCTCTCTCTAAATAATTAATTTAAAAATAATTAATTTTCTTATTTTCTTATTTGTATTAATTAATTTCTTTCTATAAATAATCTATATATAATACACATATTATATATATATAATACTCATTATATTCATATTTCTATTATTTCTCTCCTATTTATATTATATCCCTCATTTCTATATATAATACTCATATTTATGTATTTTATTTTATTTTTTTTCTCCGTAATGCTTTTCTTTTCATATTTGTATTCTTTATTTATTTTTTCTCTCAATATAATATAATTTTTCTTTTCTTATTTTTATTCTTTATTTATTCTCTCTCTCTCTAAAGATTCTATCTCTATATATATATTAATTCCTTATATATATTATTAATTTATTACTTCATTTTAAGAATTAAATGAGTTTAATTTTTAAATGATATATGTTAAATGATGCTTGGGATGAGAGAAATCCGAGACGAGAAAGAAGGACTGCTAGCACACTCGCATACGTGTAAGCAGTTTATTGGCTGCTCACTTTTTTTGCATTGATTGCATTCACACCGGATCAGCTCCCTCTCTCAACTCCTCTGTACTCTCTTTTCTCTCTCTATGAAGAACAGGTCGCCGGCGTAGGCGCGGGTTGGTCCAGTGAGGGTGCGAGACTGAGAAGAGATCGCCACCACTCACCACCGCAATGTCGCCCCACAACCACCTCCACCACTAAACATCAGTTACCGACCAACCCGAACCCTAACTTGGCTGAGTCCAACTCGTTCGCCATTAAAACTTCGTTCGAGTAAAAAATTGAGCAAACCAAACGACGTGAGTAACACACCTCATCTGGACAGTGTGAATAAAATTTTTTTTTGAGAAACCGAATATAATCTTGTTGAGATCGCCTCCAAGGACAGCCCATTCCAAACGGAGAATCCATTACAGACGAGTCCTGCGAGGA